TGGACGTGTAGGGAGCAGACTTTGATGAATGTTGGTCCTTCAACGTTGATCGTCCGAGGATGTCAATCCTTGTCGGACTTGCATCTGTCAAGTGGAAGCTTGCCTAGCCCATCTCCAATAGTCAACTCCGTCATGGACGATTTGTGCGTCCAAAGTTGTGCAGCTAAACCTAAACATTGCTAAAAGCCGCCACTCCACTGGAATGGGGGTTTTGACAGGTCGGCAATGGGCCACTGCCACCACCATCACAACCCGAATACGCATTATTGGAGACAAAAAAAAACAGGGAATTCAACCACAACGGAGGAGAGAAGACGGGCTTGGCTGAAAAGTCTAAACGCAATTGATCTCGCTAAAACAGCGTGGCCTCGCAACGCGTCAACCTCCTCCCACACCTGGGTACATCGCACTTCGAGCTGCTAGGTATCCCCCTCCCATCATGGCCTTGGTGTTTGTCGAGAACCAGCATAACACGCGCATTCGCGTCCCTCGGCTGCTACCATTTTTTGTGTAGGGGGGGAGTGTAGTGACCCTAGCCCCAGAGGTGCGACGTTTGACCCCATTGCTACTCGTAAACTGGGTAAGGACTCGTCGGTTGAGCCGCTGTTTACAGTCGCTAGCCACTGCACGACGCATGGCCTGACCTCGCATGCATGGGCAATTCTCATCTCCGAGTCCGGATACCGACACGCGACACTCCCGGGCCCGGAGGGATTCGCAACTCCGGCCTCAATGACAACCTCACTCGGACTTCCCCTCGATCCTTCCCAAGTACAGGAGAGCCGGGCAAGGAGGTCTGGCGCGACTCGAGTGGCCTGGGACGAGGACATCCCGCGTGCGGACAATGCCACGGCGGACATTAGCTCCGTTAGGTGAACATCGAACCAGAGCTCTGGGACGCAGTGGATGGCTCGAACAAGCAACGCCGCACTTCTCGTAGCCTTATTAGCGCACCTCTAGGAAGAGCTCACCGTCCCATGCATCTACTTCGTAGCTAGCCATCCAACCAGCCAATCTATATTCTTCCATTCTTTGTTTAGTAATCGTGGTCAATGGGGATGGCAAGCTAGGGGCCTAGCTACTGCAACAAGCCAATGCATACCTACGTGCGTAACTAGCACCGAGCAGTAGCGCGTTGGACTATGAGTAAGTCAGTGTTTGGATATGCCATCTCCATCCTCGACGCATAACGGAAATATCAAGGAACTGTCTGGGCGCAACACGAATGGAGTTTTTGTGGCCCCTTGCCAAACAGAGTAAGCCCCCGTCCGGTACTTTGGCCGGCATTTGGACGCCGCTAGACGGACTCCGTAGGTAGCTTGGAGGAGCACATTGTAGGTCATCCCGTCGATACCTTTGGTTGACAAAACCTGGATGCATTTCTGCTCTGCCAGTATATCAACCTTGGATATCTGCCGAGGCTGCACCGCCGGTCTCCGCCGTGTTGATACGCAACCTCTGCGTAAGCACTGCAGCCTCGAGGCTCAATTGTCTATCTGCACCAGCAACTGGTGCTTGAGGCGTCATTGCGCTCGTTGCGAGCAGGTTTCCGCGTAGGCCGGACACGCCATCCATCCACCACGCCAAGGCACGGCGATTCCGAGTTGATGGCTATGGTACGTCCCACAAGGCACAGGAACAGAGAGTGTTTGAAGAGACCATGCCGATTATGTTATGCGATTTTGAAAGCCATCTGCGTACGCCTCTGGAAGTCGCATGTATGCTCTCGGCCATTCGAGAAGTCGAAAACCTGCGGAATAGGAGTCGAGGCAATGGTAGACGTTGTGCCTTTCTTATTATGTAGTTCCACACAAAGAAGCAGCCAAGCAAGGGCTACCCTCAGGCTGGCTTTCTCGAGGATGGCGATCATCGTGGTTGAGATCCTGGACGTGACGCGGACAGCTTCCCCAACAATGAAAATATTCTGGTTGCGGTGGCACCAGGTTTCAAATGAAATGTCACGAGTGCGTGTCCATCTACGTGGCAAGGACAGCAGTCAAGTAATGCCGGCCAGCTCTTCAAGAACGAGGGGGAGAGAAGACCTTGGTTGGGTCAACCGTTGTTGAGATGCGGTTGTTTCAAGGCACTAATGCTGTAATAAGGTGTATCCCACTGTCTCATCCCACCACATCAGCCATCACGGTTCAACCCAAATCGCACCGACACTCAGCAGCGAGAATAACTCCATCTTCATCTCATTGCCAATCTTCTCTTAGTCTCCTCTCTTGCCCCCCATGTCACGCAGCCACCACCCGGCCCAGCCCTCGACGACAACGACGACAACGCCACGACGGCGACAGCGGCGACGACAAGATAGACTTCTGCAGCTAAGCGTTGGTGATGTTTCTCGATATCATCGGTGCCTACGGAGTACGCTTGGAGCTGCCGGCCCACGAACGGGCCCACGAACGAACCTAGGTACTAGGTATGAAGTCCGCCGGCGTCACAGGCCAGCGGTGCTCTCTCCGGGGCCAACTGTCCATTGGTCAGATCTCAGGGGGTGAGTAGTCGATTGGATTCTGCTAAAATATGCGTGGCTTTCATCCGAATGCATCCTATGATCGGCTGGTTGGAATGTTGGGAATGTTGGGTGCACCTTTTCCACACCTTCCCATCGACAAGACCCAAGCCATGCCCTATGCAAACTCACAACGGGGAGAAAGAAGTCACCGCTCTGTTTCGATTTGTGCATACGGGATAGTTATAGTTTTGACTTCTCCTGTGGATACCTTTGGGGCCGATTTACGATATCTTCACGCCCAGACACGCGCCCTCTTCGACACCAACCTCTCGGGAATACGGTGCTACAAGCACGCAGATCGATCTCTCTACCACGGCCAAGCAATGTCTTCCGTCCCGTCGACATCAGCCACATGACAATCGAAGCGGGCGATAATTGAATGCGAAGGCGGGCTTGGTTGGGCTACGAATGTCTCAGTATGGGGATGTGAAAAGCTTCTCTTCATGGGCGACTCTTCGATCCCCTTGGAGCATGCATGGCGGCGGCTCTGTGTCAGCAATTTGAGCTCCTGGACTGCCGCCTGATGCTCCCCTGGGCTTTGCACAATTATTTCACATCGACTACTATCCGTCCCCCCTTCTCCGGCACCGATCGTGCCCCAAGGATCAGTTACATATCTCAAGTTTTGCTTGTGGAGGTACGTGCAACCGTGATGGGCTCTGCACCTGGCCTTGTGTATCCCCTCCTGTGCTTCCCACACCCTCCCTGCCTGTGAACCTGGACGATGCATATGGCACGCGCGTTAGGGATGGCCTGGCTTTGCTCGACTGCTCATCGGGCAATTTCATCTAGCTTTGCAACCGTCGTGGACCGGTCGGGGCACGCAGCGGGGTGGCCCAGGATCCCTGTCCATCGAAACGACACGGCATGCCTTTCTCTGCCCCTACCTACGGAGTACCTACCTGGCCTGCTGCTACCGCTGCCTCTTGTGGGTCCTCGTCTCTCCTGGCTCGTGTCACTTTTCTACCATTCCGTCCTGTTTCTCCATGGTGTATGTGCTACTGAGTAGTACGTTGTAGGTACTCCTGGTCGGCCAGGCATGCAGCATCCTCCACCGCCACCCAGCCATTCTCATGTGCTTCTGTACATTTCTCCCTTTTTGGGACCCCTATCCTGGTCCCTGCTCGATCATCCCGGTAGGCCAGAGAAGCCTGGCACACACACACTCCCTCTCTGTCTCTCTCCCCACCTCGCCCGTGCGAGTCCGTTTTCCCCCTTCAAATGGGAGGGAAACGCCACAGAGTCCACACGGCCGGCTTCTAGCGACTACTAATTTCTGCGTTTCGGTTTCCCAATGATCGAATGGGGGGCTCCTAGGGTTGGCTGGTAGACTACGTACTTAGGCTCTCGAGATGGCTGTCAACGCTAAACGGACCCCTGAGCGTCTGCCCATTAGACACACTCCCCCCACCGTTTTCTCCCATACGCCGTCTAGCCCTCGTCTCTCTCCCTCCCAAGCGCGCCGCCGTCTTTCCATCCATACCACCTCTACGAGCAAGTATTGGCACCTACTGACCTGACCTCCGTCGAGTGAGTGGGTGCTATGTCATCCTGGAGACTTGGACCCATGCTCTTACCATCGACTTGGCCTGGATGGGGCTTAGTTCTCTGTACCCATAAGATCTGTCTCTTGTCTCTCCACACGAGAGTACGTCTCCTTCGAAATGGTTCAAGTTATTTATGTATCCGTCTTAAGACGTTTCCTTCTCCCACTCGCTTCTCTTACACGTACACGTATCTTTCGCTGGTCTCGACTGTATCAACCCAAGCCACCTCGACGAGGCTTGCTCCGGTCGATTCCACTCTCCATTACTTTATTCAAGCCAGTCCTTGGATCACGCCGGTTGTTTCCCACCTCGCACGTCGTCCTAGACCTCTTGCTCGTCTTGGCACGAAGCCGCCGATCACGCTCTTTCCACTGCACCAAGCACCGGTGCCCCAAGAAACAGTCCTTGCTGTCTTTCCGGGAAACGTATATTCGATTTGAACTCGACGGCCTCGACTAGTCACTGCATTGTATTGGTTTCTATTCAACGTTGCGTCAACGACCTTGACCTTGAACATCCTCGGCCACCCGCTTCGTGTATCGAGCTCGAGCTGAGTGAAAGCTTGACTACTACTTGCAGCCGTAGAGATTCCTTGGGTGTCTTGTCTCAGACAGGCCATAAAGACGCCAGATCTGAGACCTGGAATCAAGTCATACCCTACCAGTTTACTGAAGCGAGATTCCGGAGCATTTCTTGTTGGTTTTTGCAAGGCCTGTCCCTCAAGGTAAACGAATATCTCCGTCAGGAACCTTTCCCGGCCTCGAGAGGAGAGGCTGTCCATGATACTAACGACGCACCAGTATCACCCAACCGCTGGTCGGGACTCGGTCTGGTTCCGGGTGCTTGTTATGGAACAGGGCCCTCCGCGAATTGAGATTTCAAGTCGTGTTCAAGAGCAGACCGAAGATCCTTCGAAAATGTCAACGCTTACCATGCCCGCTCCCACTTCATATCCTCCCTTCCAAAGGGACTATCCGTCCGAGGACCCCAGGCCGTCTCCCTATGCATCGTCCAGACCGAGGACAGAGCCCGAAAGGGTCGCTCTGCCATCCATTCGACAGGTATTCTTCGAGCCCGTGCTTGGGTGACTCGAGGATGGCGAAGACTGACGAATCTGCACAGGCTTTCCCAGATCTATTACCCATCCGGCCAAACCCTAGAGACGGCACCGCAAGCAATGCCTCTCCGACCGCCGGCCTCCCAGGGCCGACTACGCCACCAGAATACGTTCACTCTCCCAATTCGGGAAAACGGAGGCGACTATCCTTCGAAGAGGAGCGAACGAGCCAGGTTCCCAGGCTCTACGCAAGTTCTTCCGGGTCGATGCCACGACAGAGCCGCGGTACGTCGCCGGGACTTCTACCGAGATCGGCCACCGAGAATTGGGGCTCAAGCTCCAGGACGAGCCCCTATCCCCCCTCCCTGGGTGGGCCTTCGTCCATCCACTCGCCAGCCATACTCGAGCCGCCAGAGACCGTTGAGCACCGGCCAGCCTTGCCGAGTCTACCACCTCTGGCCTTCGAGCGAGAGGCTCCACCTCCAGCAGCCCCAGCACGCCGGTATTCGAGGGAGGAGTACCCCAGCAGGTCTGGGATGATGCACCCTTCCCAGCCCGGGATGGAGTCTGCCTACCGGCCGGCTGCGTACGGCGGTCCTGGCTATCACCACTCGAGCAGAGGACAACAGACTGTCCCGATGGGTGCTCTGCACCCTTACGAGCGCGCCGCCATGGGTGGCCACGGTTATGGCCAGTATCCAGACTACATGCGGATGGGAGACTACGGCGGAATGAACGGGGACATGATCAAGCAGCGGAAAAGACGCGGCAATCTCCCCAAGGAGACTACCGACAAGCTGCGTGCGTGGTTTGTGGCTCACCTTCACCACCCATACCCTACCGAGGACGAGAAGCAGGACTTGATGCGGCGGACCGGTCTACAGATGAGTAGGTTCTTATTACCCAGGCCGGGACTCTTTGCTGCTGAGCTCTCAGGAAATCCTTTGTGGGAACTAACACGACGCAGATCAAATCTCAAACTGGTTTATCAATGCTCGGCGGCGGCAACTGCCCACCATGATCAGCAACGCCAAAGTCGAAACCGACGCCATGTCGAGTGGGCGGAACTCGGACGACAGGCTGATGAGGTCGACGGAGAAGTCGGAATACGACTCGAGGAAATCGCGGAGCCCGCTCAGCGAGGGCGGCAGCAGCCACTACGAGGACGAGATGGACGACATGAGGAGGAGAAGCCCTGGGGGCAGAGGCATGAAGCGCGGGAGCGTCTAAGTGCCCCCCCACGGAATGACATGCATTTGATACCCCCGAAATGGACGCCTTGTATTAGCATGGCAGCGGCATTGAGCTTTTTTTTCTGGGTTTTTTTATTACTATTATTATTCTGTTTCGGGAGCGCCAAGATCATGATCATTTGCATTTTTTTCCCTTTTTCATGGAACAGAGAAAATGGGCATTTTCGATCTCAATGTTATTGTTCACATGGCAATGTTCCAGCACTTGCCGGTCGAGTTTGACTGCTGGATTTTGCTTGATTTGGTATGGAAGAGAGGCAGCTCTGGATGCCGGGAGGAAGAAATGGAAAGGAATCTGAAGCCGTCACACCTGCTACTGCACTGCTGTACGGACTCTCATCAGGGCGGTGCTGGCGCACCCAGGGAGGGAGAGACAGATACGGAAAGACGAGAAATGTCAGATTGATCAAGATACACGATATATGCAGGACACAAGAAATATGGCCAAAGCTCGAGGCATAACGTACTTGCAAGGTCTTGCCTCGAAAAGTCCACTCTTATGAGACACTGTCCTTTCCCCCCCCTATACCACCGCTGAGTGAATACGAGAAACCACATCATGTATCCCACAACGATTCACCGCGAGCTAGTCCCAGGGGAAAGAAACTGGTGGCTCATGACTAACAACAGACAGGGACTGGCGGTTCACCTGTGCCTCGGGATGGCAGGCGGTTCAGGTGGTCGACATGCCGGTGGGCACACAACCTGTCTAGACTCCCGGGGCACACCAGTGAGGATGGTGTCTCACAAGCTTCTTGACATGCACTCTTCTGCTTCTTCTCCTCCCCCTCCTCCTCCTCCTCTTCTCTCTCCACCCTTTCCCATCCCCAGAGACCGGACAGGCACCTATCCAGCCTAGCTGCTGGATTCCGGCCGGTGCCAGAAACACAAAACCTGCCGAAACGGGGCGGTGCGGTTGGCAGGGGTATGCGTGCGTGTGTGTGTGTGTGTGTGTGTGTGTGTGTGTGGACTGGTAACAAAACGGGGTCTCTTCTCACGCTTCCCTTTTGCTCCTCTCCCGGTCACACCTGATCTGTCCTATTGGTATATTTTTGGCCGTAATCAACTGGCCAGGCTACGGCATCGAGGTCACAAAGGGCCAACCTTTTTTTCTGTGTCATCACCAGGTGTGCCGTGCCGTACGAAGGAGTGGTTGGGATTGATGGCTGTGTGAAGGGTGTTTGCAAGCATGAGAAGAAGCTTACCTAGTCAGCTGCCACCAATCTCCCTACCTCCTCCCTACTTCGCCCTACATGACGCTGTCTCTCTCCCTTCTCTCTCTCTCTCTCACCCTTGCGGGTTCCTGGAACTGGCATGGGGCGTTGTGCGAGGTGAAGCTCTTGCGTTCTGGATGCTTTCTTTTTGTGGTACCCAGCCTTATAGTGGGGGCCGCCGTCTGTGGCCACAGGGTGGACTGGGAATGAATAATAGGTACATGCCTAGGCCGTCTACCAAAAGGACCAGACGAGGTCTCACCTATTCCTCTGTCAAGGCCGTCCGCATATGCTTGTTGTGACTGTGATTGATTGTGATAACGGAGGGAAGCCCCTGGTTCTTTGTCTACGCACGCTCGGAGGTTATGCTTTCACAGTCCCCGGGGACCACCCTTGTTCACCTGTATCCATACATCGACTTGGATACATCTCCCCTAGGCTATTGTTAGGGAAAATAGGCGAGTAGCTGAAGTTTAGAGGAGTGGTGGAGCCGCAGAAGTAAAAGAGAGGACGTGAGTATGAGCCAGAAGGGCCGAGGCACTGTGGGTAATGGACCGTTTGAGAGGGGGTGGTGGATGCATGGAGATGTATTGCAGCAGCAGCATGAGGCCCAGAAAGGAACAAGGCAAGAGAAGCAACCTTGGGACGAGGTGAAGGGATACCCGGGCAAGCTGGAGGCCAATGGGGCTCCTAGGTAGGCCTCGAACCTTGGTTGAGAGTTTGGTAAGGAGAGTGAGGCCAAGTCACCTGCATACACCAAGACCCCAAGTCTCGGAAAGGACCGCCTCGTCACCTGCCGCGGCGGTGCTGGGGTGTCCCCTGGGTGCAAGCCCCGAGGTTGACAGGAATCCGTCGATTTCTCACGCTGCTGCTGCTGCTGCTGCTGCTGCTGTGCCTCTTCCTCTCTGGACCTCCACATGGGAGAAGCGCTGTCTTTGTCAGAGAGGAGCGTCCGCGTACCCCAAGAAAGGCGGTGTCGCCTCGGTCGATGCGCGCTACGATGGCCTAGCCCTGGCCCAAAGGTTTGCAGTGATGGTTGGTCTCGGACGTCGATCAAGCGCGCGCTGCCGGGGTGTAGCTCTCGCGATCCATGACGTGTGGCTGAACTGAAATGAGACCGGTGAGAGATAGCTGTCAAACACCGGGCTGACTGGCACGGAGGCGGCCGGGCTCACAACAACACATTCGACGACACGCGCCTGTCAATCTGGGGAGGGAAGGGGGGAAGGGTGGGGTTACGATGTAAAACATGGAATTTTTGGAGAATAAGCAATTATCTGCATAAATGCGATTTCTTTTGTTGGTTTGGGAGCGCCCGGAACATTCGCCGATGCAGGTCGTCGGTTGATCAGCCCGTGCTTGGGTACAGGGACTGGACGGAAAGGCTTGACAACCCGGCCTGAAAGCTTTTGGTTTCTTAAGATCAGCCAGAATTATTACGCTTCTCTGATAGTACACCCCAGGCTTGGTGTTGGCCATTGCAGCCGCCGTCTTCTTCCGCTGCTGGATGCAGATGTCGTTGCTGCCCATGCCGGTGTCAAGCCATCAAAAGAAACGAACACGACCAAGCGAAGAGGTGTCTTGTCTCACAACCAGCAGATGACGGGCAAAACCGTCAGCCGCCAAGAGACCCGGACACTCAGCTTTCCCTGTCTTTCTCGTGGCCAGAGGGAGCGGAGAAAGGGAGAGAAGCAATCAGTTGGGCTGGATCTCCAGTCTGTATCGGGGCATTGGCGATCTGAGATCGTGTTTCGGCAGTCCGAGGCATCGGAATATTTTGGCCACTGATCTTCGCCCTATTCTGAGATGTGTAGGATCTACTGGCTACTGGATAGATCTCCCGTCAACGAGGTTTCTACCCCGTTCTCGCTCACAGTTCCGCACATCTCAACCATCAAACATCGAACCAAGTCTCGGCAGTAAGCCGACTGTTGAGCGGAAACTCTCGTCCCCAGGCTAGGCCACCGTGGACATCTTTGGGAGGTGCCGTCGCTCGTGGCCGCGTAAGGGCATCCTCGCCTCTTTTGAGCCACACACACAGTGACGTGCTTGAAGGGTCCCCCTCTCAGTCTCTTATTCTTTCCCTTTCCTGGACGCCTCACTTTGCTTGGTCTTGTGATGGCAGCGGCTCGTGCGGACAAACCAGGTGGCATGGCCAGATCAACATGAGTGTCTCGGATGATGCAAGTCGCTGCGACTCTGCAGGGCAATGGGGTCTTCTCCCCTCCCTCCCTCCCATTTTCTCTACCGACCTCTCCACGCACACACGTAACGGCGTTTTGATGAAAGGACGGCCTCACCCCCCTGCGCGGGCTGCGGCACAGCCAGCCGGCGAGGACCAGACGGGCAGCAAGTCTGGGTCGATGCGGTTGTGTCAGTGCCTGTTTCCCCCACCAGTTCGCGCCGTATTCATTGCGGTTGGCCCTGGAGCAGAGGTTGCGTGTCCCCACCTGTCAATAAAGTCGAGCCACAGGCAATGGCTTGATGTTTGATACGTTAGGCAGGGTGGTGATGTGCGCGGTCTACCTTGGGTGGTGGTGCTGCTGCTGTGTGTCTGGATGGATGCAGTCTGGCGCAACTGTATCTGGAGGAGATTGGGGGGTGGGGGGTGGGTGAAGAGAGGGTCCGTTTATTCCTAATTGGGGCCAACGGTGTGTCTGGGTCCCCCCCCTTCAATTCGAGTTAGTCTCGCCTACGGTACCCACGGCACGCGGTAAATGCCGCTGGATGGACGTACCTTTGCACCGGTACCAAAACGGTGAGGCAGGCGAGACGGAAGGTGTGGCTTTATAACACCAAACATTCAACACACACGCACACACACACACAGAGGAAACGTTGAAACGGCCACTGCCCCCCACCCACTCCCTCATCACAATACACACTAATAAACGAAACAGATAGAGCAAAAAGAAGCTTTAGGGCCACACGTTCTATTGGTAAAAACTAGGAGATGGCCACCGTTTCCTAGGCAGTGGACTTTTGCCGGATGTGGCATGCGCCCGGCGATGTATTGAGGCCGAGAGCGCCACGACATTCTTTCTGATCGGGTTTGGAAGCTTGTCGGTGGTTGTGTCCTCTCTAGTTCTGTAGTTATTAGGTAGTTAGAGTTGTGCTGTGGCATGGATGGATGTGAATGGGATGCCTCCGTTTTCTCTCTCCCAGCTGCCCACCCCCGGGCCCGCAGAAACCCAGCCCAGCCGTGCTCTGTTGAAAGCGACCCGCTGGAGGATCCATCATTCGAGGGCCCCGCTGGAAGGGCTGGACCCGCCACAGCTCGTCCCCCACCTGAGACCACCTGAGAGAGCCTAGAGGCCAAAAAGACCTGCAGCTGCCAAGACAGTCGGCACAAGGCACGTCAGTGCCTGGCCATGCCGTATTGACTTAGCCCCATGTCCAAGCCTCACAGCTCTTCGGTATGCCCTTTTGGGTCAGTCTGCAGCTCGACTGGGCTTGGCAGAGAGCTGTTGTCATGACATGACAGCGAGACAGCAGTTACGTGATCTGATTCAACGGTGTCTGAGCAGAGGATTGGACTCTAATTACATAAGGTGACACCCTTTTGATCCAGGGCATCCGAACTCCCAGCGGTCCCATAGGGCGGCGGAGTGTCTGTTGGCTTTCAAAGCTCTTCCAAGTCTCGAGGAAACGAATACCTACCTACTGACGGAGAAATAGAACTGGGCACGTTGGTTGTTCCTTGTCCACTACTTTAGTTAGCTCGGCGGCTTCTGCACTGGCATCATGCACCAGCTCCATTCCTCAACCCCCTCGACCGGCCCAACACCTGCTCTGGCAATGATCATCGATTTTGACATTCTCACATCCCGAATGCTAAGATCGTCGTGTCAGATCGGCGCAGAGCCTGCATACGTACGCACCTAACTCGTACAAAAAGTATATTCATAAACTAGAGTCGGCAAATCTAGAGATACTCAAATCGGACCGTGGCCCGACGCGCACCTAACCTACGAGCCTACCTACCTACCGCTTATGCTTAAGGTATGCCTCCGTTGAAATGCAAATGGCTCAATCCGGGCCCAAGTCGCCCGTCAGCCAAGACCGGTTGGTTGGTTGACACCCCTTCGTGCTCCGTAGGTACGCCGTTACTCCGCAATTCCCTGCAAGGCCACGCCAAGGCATGTTGCTATCCATCGTTCAGTCACATTGTGGCTTTTTCGCTTCCGATATTGGCCCGCAGAGCAAATGCGATGGGATCTGAGACAGCATGATTGGCGGGTAGTAGCGAGCAGCCAGATAGACAGGCAGATTCGAAGATGGTGGCTTGACGGGAGGAGCAATCTTGCCCAGCATTCCGGGACGCGCTATTGCTCGTTGATGGGAATTGGATATTTGGGTTTATATTCTGATTAGTGATACGCCTGCTAGCACTTGTGGCCGACCCGAGTAAGTCAATGTTCATGTCATGCGAGTGAGTTACAATTACAAGTCGATACAATTCCGGATTGACGGCCCCCTGGCAAACACTTTGCTTGGCGGGTACCCCAAAAGGTCTGGTAGTAGCCGGGCCCGTCTTCCGTCCGCCCGTCCGCCCCAGGTAATGCAATCTGGGCCATGCAAAATCCGCTGCCGGGTTTTGCGAATTGCATGCATCTTCTGGCCGGCCTCGAGAGTCCAGACGCCTGCTGTCTTTGCCCACCGAGCCACAGCACCCACAATAGGCAATTCATTCGCGTTGGCTTGCTAGCTAGCTGCGGCGCTACCTCGAGCAAAAAGCACCCTTGACAGCTTGTAGCGCCTTTCTAGCTCTGGGACGCGCCCCAGAGGGAAGTACCTGCGGCTCGCAGGCGTTGCTCATGATGCTTGGACGAGACATCTGTGCTTTGTTTGTTTTTCCCCCCTGCGGAACTATTCGGTGCTACCGACTAGGTAGTAGCAGAATCTACGACGCCGGAAGTCAAGCCACGTCTTGGAGCGGCGGGTCCCGATGTACAAGTATGCCTCAGTCGATTGTTGCCATCATCCAATGCACGTCAGCCACAAGCGAGTAGTGGACCACCAAGCAGGCATTGTGGCATTCAAAGGAGCCACATGCTGGGGTTCGCAAACGCTTGTCTCTGGCCTTTGGGTGTGGCCATTCCAGCTTGTGGAACAGGTCCTTCGTTGTCCTCCTCCAAGGGATGTCCCGCCTCCCCGACCAGCATTCCATGTCAAGGCCGAAACTTTTCGGAAAACCACACACCAGGTCTGCGGGCCGTCGCTTGGTACGTACTTTGTACAGACCTGGCTGCTTCTTGCTTACACCGGCTTCGCTTGGCGCAATGCAGTTTCGATGGTATTAGACTAATAGTTTGACGGTAGGGAGAAAGGAAAGAAGCAACCAAGTTGCCATCCAACGGCCAGGACACGGCATGTCAGGCGTCAATGCCAGTTGTCCAAATGTGTCAGATTGCTTCTTCTCCAGTCCAACCGCTGACAACCCTGTCAACGAGATAGAACCTGCCGCATGTGGCAGGGAGCATCCCCCTCCCTCACCCTCCCCTGAAGATCGATTGTTCTGAAAGATCTAGACGGGCGAATGAAATGGGTACTTCCGATACACCGCCCACGGCAACCCGCAGGAGAAGGCCCCAGCTTCCATCGAGTAATGTAAGGCCTTGGATATTGGCGACACATAACCCTGGCAGGGGCAGTGCACAGCTTCCCAGCGGCCTGCCAGGGTGAAGAAGAGCTCGTGATCGACAATGCCATCCGAGGCGATCCGTCAGCGCCATCTAGTTGCCTCAATGTACTTGTAAGTTTGGGGTCCTTTCCCTGGGACGTGCCGTCTGCTTCCCAAACCGACGACATGCTAGATGGCTAGCTCAAGAGCTTGCAAGGAACTCTGTCCCCCTAGTGAGAGTCTAGTCGGGCAGCAACCTCCTTCCAACCAATGCCCAAAAAGCTGGGATGCGAAAGCCGGCAGCTCTTGCGATCTTCGATCGATCGGAAGTTGGCCACTGGCCGCAACTCTGCAGTGGTGTGTACCTGGACAGATACGGAGTAGGTACTGGACGACACGAACACGAACACGCGCGATGCGATTGGCGGGCAGGCAAGCACAAGGTTGAAACCGATCGAGATGCAGCAAGCAAGGGCTGATTTCAGCGCCCCCGGCCGGCAAGTCACCGCAGGACCGATCGGTCTTGGATGCATCCGTTACGGAGCACTCTTCAACCGACCTCCCTTCTCCAGTCTAGTTGGCCTTGTACCAAGGGTGACTCGTCCGTGAACGTGTCTGTCAAAAGCAACGAACATAGACACTAGGCCAGCGACAACTTGGATCGCGGACAATATCCAGCGAGATGACAAGAGACTTTGCCGCCCATCATTCGCCAAGAATGATGCAACGGCTGCAGTAGGTAATGCAAGTCGCCCGGATCGATGCAAACTTAAACTGAAATTGTCCGTGGCAAGCCCCGTCCCGGATGACAACGGGTACAGCGCCCCAAGGATAGTATCAACCCGAACTCTGTTTCCCCATTCCGCACCATCTTCCGGATCTTCGTGAACCGACGCAAGCCAGAACTGGCTCACAACGGGCAAAACAAGCACCGGCTACGATTTCCCGGGGGACGGAAGCTTTCGCCGGCGCGGTTTCATATGCAAGCCCGTTCGATGTGACTGATGGTGGCGGATGGCCGGCCCTGCCACACGGGGTCGTTCTGTGGTTACAGCCAGCGGCTAGCAGCTACAGGCCGCCGTCAAAGCTAGACTGACACCCATCACGGCGGCTCCTCCGTCAAGACGAAGAGAATTGGATGGCAGTTACCGTCTGACAACTGGCTACTTTTGCCGAACAAGAACAAGAACGACGTAGTCTCACACTCAACTTTCTCTGGGGGCGATGCGTGGCGAACAGGTGCTTCTGTGTGGATGGATGAGCAAGCGCTCTTTGTCATGCCCACGAGCTAGACGCCCTGCCGCAAAGCGTGAGCATCACCAAGTAGTCTGACGGAGAACTATCCTCACGTCCCTGTGACAAATCGCGGCCGGACTGAACGTTTTCCTCCTCTGACGGGCAAGTCGTCGCGAGCCGTTGTGGATGCCAGGCAGACGGTCACATGTCAACATCACTTGTTAGCTGGTCGGCCGAATGCTCGTGATAATTGGTCTGCAGCTCCTCGGCTTTCCGTCAGTGAGCCATGAACCCCTGCATCCTCAATTTCGTCTATGCATCACCAAGAGAGAGATAGTTCAACGAATGCATTACCCTCACGCAAGTCCACATTGCCCACAGCTTATTACAGATACACCCGCCCCTCGAGTGCAGTTCGTCACGACGGACAGGCATACGCCGGTCGATGGAACCACACCCCAGGTATCGAGAACTCCCATCTCTTCCTGGTCCGAGAGAATGCGGCACTAGAGGATCCGAGCAGCCCGAGGCCTCCTGTAGGTGCGTCCAAGAGCCTTGTTTGGTTGCTGGTGGTGTCTTCCAAAGTAAGTTCTCAAAACATATTCCCTCGTCCTCGAATGTGCAACAGTCATCAGGTTGGAGCTTGAAACGGGGCCGGAGGGCCATAGCCACTATTTTCGTAGACAGATTCCCAGATAAACAAACACTTGCGTAGTTCATACTTCAAGACGACTGTTTCAGTATTTCATAGGCATAGGATACTTTAACATGTCCTTTCGCCACATGAGATGCACTCTATTAGGTCTTTACTGCTAGAGTCCAGGCAACTCCAGAGTCCAAGAAATCGGGACCTAGATACCCTTCTATCTTGTTGACATCCTTCGTCCGTCTGTGATGCTCGCTCTTGCCACAGTATCTCTGTCTTGGGAAAGTTAATCTCATGTGCTACAAACCACCACAGTCATGGTACACCATCTGCACGTCTAGTTCCAAGCAGGGAAAGTGATGGGAAGTCTCGCAAGCTGACCACCTTTTTATGAGAGTGGAATTTTCAACACCTGTAATGCTAAGGTCGTATGAATCAGCGAACCTTCACAAATTCTGGACGGTAAGACTTCACAATTCAGAGTGTCATGATTTGCCAGCCATGTCCCCTGTTAGTGATCCTATCTGCAGCATCCAGAGCAAACATGTCTGGGTTAAAACTACCGTCATCGCAACCCCTATCTAGAATCTCAATGAATCAACTTGTATGAAAAAGAACAAAGTAGCTTGTCGATAGTAGATGTTACAACAGCATGGTTTTATGCAAAGAACGACATATATCAAATACAGTATGGTACAATGTATGTCAAGGATATGTATAGACTCAGGTCAGGTCAAGTCATTATATTGGCGGTGCAGTGTAGCCAAACCAGGCCCTAAACCGAGTCTTTACTATGATGCATGTCTATATCTAACAAAACAAGAACGCAACACCTACCTGAACCCCCTTATGGACTCTCACCCGTGTCTCAGTCGAGCCTGCCCCAGCTCCATATGTTCAGCCCGACCTTGACCCCCTTCCGCACCGGCAGCCCGGCATGCCAGGTCTCTTCGTACCCCCTCCCCGTCCCGTCCGGCCGGAAGTTCTCCCAGAACACGGCATTGCCGGGCACAGGCTTGAACACGACGCCCTCCGCCTCACCCTCCTGGCCATCGCGGCCGCCGCCCTCCCCCTCGGGACACTCCACGAACCGGCACCAGCGCGGGTCCGCCGGCCGCCGGAGGAAGGGGAACTCGGTGCCGCCGCCCTCGAGGCCCCCGGGCGCGGCCTCGACCCACGCCATGACGCTGCTCACGCGGCCCCAGCCGCCCCGGCCCGAGGACCAGTCGTAGTGGTGCGCGTAGTGGCCCGCCGGCGCGTCGTAGCGCTGCACGCGCAGCCGCTCGAGCCAGAGCTCCGCGCGCCAGCCCTGCAGGGCGCGGGCGCGGGCCTCGACGCAGCGCACGGGGCCCGTGCGCGGGGGCATGGCGACGGAGGAGTCGCGGACGGCGGCGTCGCGGTGGGCCGTGTCGCCGCCGTCGTGGGTGACGGTCGAGGGCTCGAGGAGCGGGGTGCTGTTGCGCTCGGGGGTTAGCGGTGGTTGATGGTTGCTGATTTGTATGGTATGATATGATGGGGGTTGTGTGGTTACGTGTATATGTGTGTGGTATCTTGTGAAGAAAGGGTGAGGGGCGGGGGGGGGGGGAGGAACAGGGGCCTCACCTGATCTCGAGCAAGTGCGAGCGCTCCTCGTCGGTCAGGAAGTTCTCAATGTAGAGCACGAGCGGCTCCTTGGAGAAGATGTGCACCGAGTACGCGTCGGGCGCGCAGTCGAGGGCCGGCTCCTCGGCGGCGGTGCCGTTGGGCTCCAGGGCCAGCAGGGCCTCGTTGAGCTGGGGCCGCGGGCTCCGGCGCAAGGCCGGGGCCTGGCCGGACAGGAGCTGGGTCACGGGCCCGTACAGGAACAGGGCAAAGACCGCGATAACGGCAGCGTAGGACAGCATCGTGTGGCTGCGGCTTGGTGCGTGTGGTGGGAGAGGCAGGCAAAGGGGGGCGTCTCTCTCTTCCCACACCGGTCGTTTCATGCGTACCTTGACTTGGACCGGACCGGACTGGGATGCTGTGCAATGAGCTCAACGGTAGGTAGTCAAGCATGCAACACGGGACGTCGAAAAGGAGAAAGGGGTGTGGGGAAAAGGATCGAGAGCGGTTCACTGCTACCGTTTTCTGTCCCGATCGTTCCGCCCCCGGGAACGGTGGGTTTTGGTGGACCGGACCCACTACAGCCCGTCTGTATGCCTGTAAGCTGACAACCACTTCCTCAGTTGACAGTTGACTCTTAAGGCGACGATGCAAGGAAATCGAACGAGTGACACAGAATGGTTCTTTTATCATGCATGCCGTGGTTCGTGGACACAAAGCATACCGACTTCTCAAGCAAAGTGCAGCTCCAGGCTCACTCCGGAGCTTGGTCCAGCTCCGGTTTCGCCATCAATCGTTGGATGCAAAGGAAGTAATCGTCTATTGGTCCTGTCGATATCCCCATATGTTCCAATATTATACGTATGGTGGCTGGCAACTAGCATGGCACACTCACGATCTAACACGCAGGAGAGTTCCTAGGCTATCAAGTTCAGAAGACGACATGAACCTGCCAGAGCAGACCTCCGGTAGGATGCATGACCGTCTTTGCGCCTTGTCCAAGTAATTCGCGCCTTTGTCCAAGTAATAATCGGCTTGCATTCTCGTCCACAGGACACCAGAGGCCGGGAAAGGCAGTCGGCATCCTTGCGACTAGGACCTACCTACTAGTCACAGATCGACAGCCGTTTCTGTCAAGGGCGGCTTGATATTGGGTGACACAAGAGTCGGAGTCAAGTGACAGGCACAGCCATGGCGCGGCTTGTCATGCTGTTCAACGGTGGTGCGCAAGCATTCTATCTAAACAGACACCATGGCGGCGACGTAGGAGCCTGCAACGTCTCTGGCATGGACCGGGTACGACTCTAGGCGAAGTCGTACGGCATCACGTCTGGATCGGATTTAGCATGACTGGTCATTTTCGACATCTTGATAACAGCGCCTTCGGCCGAGAGTACCGTGCATGGGGTGGGTGTGACACGGGCGCGCATGTCTGTGGGACAAAGGGGCAGATGAGACGGCAGTCTTGCATCCCTTTGACATGCTCTGTGCAGTCAGCAAGGCATGGCCCACGGCCGATCGGCTGTGGTACGCCTGTCCTCGAGGGATAGGCAGCCGATGGCCCTCTATTACGTGGAAATCGGACCACATGTTGTGCTCGGGTCCTTGGGTGCTCTCGATGCTGTGACCGGAAGGGTTCTCCGTGTGACATATCCGCTGTTGCGCAAAGAGTAGGACAACGTGCGTCTCCTGAGTGGTCGGCGACCAAGGTGACGTGAATACAACTGTCAGCTTTCCTGTCCCCGTGCGTGAGCCCGCTTGGCGCCTTGCGGTTTGGAAGCCTCGCCCGGGAAAGCCTGAGCCCCCGGATGATGCGGCCTGGCAATTTTGATTAAGGAGACAGGGGAGACGGACCAGAGGGGTAACGCGACTCCCCAGTATGTGTTCCACGGAGCATACAGAGCGTGCTGGCTTTTTCATTGGCCATGGAAAGGGAACATCCCAGTGGAGGATTTGGCATGCAGACGGCAGGATTGTGTCAGCTTCCGCACTTTGGATGACCAGTCGGGGTCTGCTTATATCAAACGGCAGCATGCTCTCTGTCACCTGCAGTCTCACCGCAAACGAGGGAGTGGGCTCGACCAGTAATATGTGACGAAGAGGAGAAAGCTGCCCGCTGCTTCAGAATAAGCAATGTAGAGTAACATGGTGAGGGGACCGGGTTTGCAAAGTCGTCCAGCTAGAACGGTAGACAAGAACCGCGTCGACATCATACCTCTTCCGTAAGATGCCTTGACCTCATAGCGTCGCCTGATTTCCAGTCAAGGGTCCCCTCAAACATTCCTTTGGCACGCTCCTGTCTTGCCTTAGTTTATTAGTTACTGCGTCATCCACATTCCTCCCTCGCAGCCAGAATATCAAGTTATCCTCTAGACAGTGCTTGACGCCTGAGCCGAGTCATCAACGAAAAACAACGAGTTCATTTCGACTCACCACACGACCGGAACCCGGAACAAGTATCAGGGGACGATCAATTCGTATTGACTGTCGGCCCAGGTCGTGAGAAGGGTGGTGGTGTGCGCTAGAAGCCGTCAAGCTGAACCCAAGGAGGGTTCTCCAAGGCATTCTTTGGCTCGTGTAAGACCGCGGGGCAGCCAATGGTGTGTCATCGGGCTCGCGAGGGGGGTGCCTAATCTGGACGATCGCTCGATACTGACTGGCTGTGACGTGTGGCCGTTCCTTGGCATTTCTCGCAAACGAACTCCAGGGCCTATTCAGGCGTCATGTTGCGGCGAGGCAATGCCCTAGGGCTGTACCGGTAAGTCGGTGTTATTCGGCCTCCAGTTTGGAACTTGGCCAACAATTGAAACACTGGAGCGTGAATTCAGGGTTCAACGCCTTGGATGCTTACTGGCATGTCTTGGGCCCATAATGCTTAAACTTGATAGATGCAGGGGGCAATCTATGTTGATGACGATCAACCCTCTTTTCCTTTTGTTGGCATCATCATGGGTCTCTGCTGATCCTTCAGCTCATGTCATAAGCATCACGAGGGATGAACAGAACAAGGAGCAGTACGAGATTTTTCGGGTGCCCATGTTTATAAGTTGCGATCGAAACCCGGTTGGGCGAATCGAAACAACGTCCAAAGAGAAGACCAACATCAACAGATCCTTCACCACATAGACATATCTCACCCATTACTTCAGAAATCTATCTTTCTTCGATAACATGGAGGCTTTCCTCTTAGTGGCGGCCATTGTTTCGGCTTGCCTCTCTTTTGTAGCCGCGTCGCCGATCGAGAAGCGAGAACTCGGTGGTGTAGGTCTTCACATCTAATGCGCTCCGTTGAATCACCTGGATACTTGACTTACCGACAGCTCGAAACAGGTTCTCATTTGCAATGGGGCCAATGCTACAGGCCATTGCACGCACGATGTCTATGCCATGGACACCTGCTACAACATGACCGTCGAGTTCATCCACAATGCCGCCACCTTTGCGCCTGATGGCGAGAATTTCTACTGCTTCCCTTACCTGTAAGCGGTTTCGCCCCGCGGCTCTGTCCCGGTCCCTCTTGTTGACCCGTCTCTGCAGGTATCCCTGCGGTGGTCTTTGCACCTCGCCAACTGGCTGCACCTTTGGCTCGGTCGACTTCAATTACACCAACAAGTACAACCTCAGCGCCATCGGCTGGGACAAGTACATTGAGAGTTTCGAGTGCCACATCCGACAGCCAACAGACCAAATCAGCTCTTATTAAGAAACGGCAAGGAAAAGAAAAAGGGGAAAAAGAAAAAAAGAAAAAAAGACACTCGAAGTGTCTATGGCTCATGACTTGATTTCCCCCCCTTCTTAACGAATATGACCTGCTGCTTTCTCTCTATACTCTTTCGTCAGGACACATACTTGGTCGTATCCTTGAGCTGGCAGCGCCTTTTCGGGGGTTTAAATTCCACCGGGCCACGGCTTCCCACGGGCGCATTGGTGGCGCTGGACATCTGCCGGAGACTCGGAGCGGGCTCGGCATCTCTGCCCCGCATGGTGGGGTAGGCCATGTACACTGGGGACGATGATGGGTTGGGGAATGGGAGGGGAAGCTGTTATCACGATGCCAAGGGAATAGGGGGGCTCCCTTTCTACTTCGTCTTCGTGCCGTCTTGGAACCAATCTGTAGATACTTTATCTCTTCTCCTTCAAGGTCTCATCTTGAGAGTTTTGTCAATATCAATAACTAGACGTCACTCTGCCATACCGCGCAACATCACCAACCCCAGGTACAGGTAGAGCTTGCAAGCCCCATTCAATTGCGCAGTGCACGTATCTCAAAACGTCATAGCTTTTCTCATCTCTCGGGGATCCCCGGATAGCAACATTCAGACAACCCCGACCGAAAAAAAACCATGGCTTTCACCACCAAGGCCTCCATCGCCAACTTCGGCGGCCGGCTCCTCAAGCTGAGCCACAAGTCGGCCACCACCGGCACCGACATGGCCGTCTCGGTCTTCCTGCCGGCCCAGGCCCTCGCCGGCAGCCGCGTCCCCGTCCTCATCTACCTCTCCGGCCTGACCTGCTCGCCGGACAACTGCTCCGAGAAGGGCTTCTTCCAGCACGGCGCCGCCCGCCACGGCGTCGCCCTCGTCTGGCCCGACACCTCGCCCCGCGGCCTGAACCTGCCCGGCGAGAAGGACTCGTGGGACTTTGGCGAGGCCGCCTCCTTCTACGTCGACGCCGCCCGCGACCCCTGGTCCGCCAACTACCGCATGGAGTCGTACCTGACCCAGGAGCTGCCCTCGCTGCTCTTCGGCGGCCAGGCCAAGGCCGGCTTCGAGGGCGCCGACAGCCTCGACGGCGGCCGCGTTTCCATTACCGGCCACTCCATGGGCGGCCACGGCGCCCTGACCCTCTACCTCAAGCACCCGGGCATGTACAGGAGCGTGAGCGCCTTCGCGCCCATCGCCAACCCTTCGCAGTGCCCCTGGGGCGAGAAGGCCTTCACCGGCTACCTGGGCGAGGACCGCGAGGAGTGGAAGAAGCACGACGCCACCGAGCTGGTCAAGGGCTGGAAGGGCGGCGACCTCAAGATGCTGATCGACGTGGTGAGTAAATTGCTCTCTCTTGCGCCCCCCCTCCCCCTCCTAAACTGTCTTGCTTCTCTGTACGGGCACGTTAAAACCCCGGCAGAGACACAGCGGACCAGAGGACTGACGAGAACAATGCACCTCACAGGGCACCGGCGACAACTTTTACAAGCAGAAGCAGCTGCTCCCCGAGAACTTCGAGCAGGCCGTCAAGGGCGCCGGCCTCAGCGGCCTGACGCTTCGCTACCAGGATGTGAGTATAGCGGTTCTTTTTTCTCGGCAGGTGTATATTGCCACCCGCCCTGTATGCGATGCTGACCATACTCCAACCTACCCAGGGCTACGACCACTCGTATTTCTTCATGTCGTCCTTCAGCGACGATCACGTCGCCCACGCAGCCAAGTATCTCAACGCTTGACTCGGCCCGGCGCCGCGGGCAAAGCTTTGTTGAGAGAAAGGGGGATGTGTCTATGATAAGCAGAAAAGAAGGCTGCGTTTTATGTATTGTCAAGAATGGTCAGAAATATAGCTGCGCAGGGGCTGGACCGGGGGTATGTGCAATGCAAAATGCATTGGCTGGGCTTCATATATGCCCACAAGTAAAAGAGCTTATCCAGCGTAGCAGAATAAAAGAAAAATATAAAATCAATAAGAGGCATCCTCCCAATTCGCATTTCCGTAGCTTCATAGGATCATAAGGCGTAGAGAGATACTCGATGAAAGCCATGGTGCTAATGATCGCGTGAGGGTATCATGACAGAGCGATGCCGGTGCTTTTCGTGTCTCATGGATGGTGAGCTGCCTGCGTGCCGTTCAGCTAACACGCTTCTCCACGTCGGGACTGAATCCTTCCTTCTCCAGCTTGGCCTTCATCTCGGCCTCGACTTCTTTCCGGATACGCACAAATGCCAGCTTCTCGAAACGACTGAGGCCCTTCCACCAGTGCTGGCCCGCCTCGTGCTCTCCTATCCTTTCGAGCAGATCGGCCGTCTTCACCCTAACGTCTTTGTCCTTGTGGAAGAGGCCCAGGCCGATGTAAAACAGCCCGGCATGCGACTCAGGCGCGACGGAGAGAAGGAGGCAGATATCGTCGTACGAATGGACATACTTGGCAAAGGCCAGGTAGATCTCTCGACTCTGAGCCGAAGTCAGCCTCTGCAGCCGGAGGCGGTCATGCATGTGGTGCAGATCGAGCCCCTTGAGTGGGCGGACTGTATAGAGTTGGGCGAGGTCCTGGTCGTCGGTTGTTAGAGAATGCCCGTGGCCAACGGGAAGGAATGGGGTAAGCTTACCTGGATATAGCTGTAGTAGCTTCTTGTATTCCTCCAGCCCTCGATCCGGGTGACGTTGCCTGCCAGCTCTTTCAGCCTAGCACTGTCGTCGGGCCACACATAGCCGTGCCCGCTGACTGCCATAGACCCGTTGTCAAAGTCGTCGCTCCCGATATACAAAGCACTCGCCCCATAGACGCCTTCTTCAAAGGCAGCAACGATCCTCGTGAACTTGAGGACCCAGTCCCGCCATTTGGCCCGGATCACACGCTCACCAAGCCTCGCGCCTATGCTCTTCAAGATGTCATGGATGAAGGCGTTGTCTCCCGTGAGGTCGTTGTTGACGGAGCTGCTCGACGACTGTGCCGTCACCAAGTTTGCGTAAGCCGGGTTCTGCTGCTTGAAGTAGATGAGGCCCTCGGTGAGAGGGGCATCTTCGATCTTGCTGCTGATCTTCATCTTTCCACTCGGGAGATCGCACAGCAGGTCCCACCACTCGGGATGGTGCTCAAAGGTTGGGTTTGTGACTCCGGCTATGAAGCCAGGCACGTTGAGCAAGTCGTCAATCTTGGTTAGATCCGTATATGGGAAGGCATGTCTCGTGAAGCCGCGGAGCAGCCCCCCAGAGGCCAATGCACAGGCTGCGAGCACGGCTTCAGCCACGTCTCCCGAAGGCATGTTGTAGCCCAGGAATATGACTCGCTTTTGTGTTAGGAGCGCGTTGACGAGGACGATGATGGGGTGGGTGTTGGGCCCATTCGTCGTCAGGTGGGGGTGAAAGGGGAAGGGTTGTGGCGACTTTGCATGCGCATCCGAGAAGTTCTGGATGAGTTTAATAAGAGAGAAATCTCCGACAGTCTCCGGCATGATGGCTACGGGCACCTTGATAGGGATAGGTATGCCCTTGTACATCACTTTGCTCTCAAACTCGTGGGTATCCCGTGGTACTGAATAGGCGGACTGGCTCTCGAAATGCGCCTTGGTGCCTGCTCGGGAAATCTCGAGTTGCTTGGGCGGTTCTCTGCTGGCGTCAAATACCTGGTCCGAGACACCCTCGCCTCTGTCCTCGGCCATCCTCATTTGTACCATCTTCTCGAACTTCTCGACAAAGAGGTCTTTGTTGTCGCTAGCCTGCAACAAATGCCGCTCTAGGAGGCTCAGCTTAGGCATCAGAGACAAGTCCATGTTGTTAACAGCTTCATAGAGCATAGACAATGTCTCCGGGACTGGCGACTTGAAATACTCCTCCAGAGCAAGCAACAGAAGCGGCTGCTGAGGGTTAGCGAATGCGATATAGTACAGAAGGAAGAGAGCAGCGAACCTTGTATATATGGAGGAACGGGTGTCGTGTGCATATTGCCATGGCCTTGACAATGGCACCTCGCTTTACTGTTTTATCATGCTTCGTGTTGACCAGATTGAGCACGTATATCAAAGGGGCGCCCTCCCCACCCTCCACCTCCGTCTCGGTCGAGCTCTGGTCGTCCACATCATCCCAGTCGTCATCATCAAGGTCATCATCGTCTTCATCGTCGTCCTCACCATCGCCCTCCTCCTTATCAACAATACCGGCGGCCCTATCTCGTTTCCTTTTCCTCCTCTTCCGCCTCGCATCCTTGGCTTTCTGTTCCTGCTCCTCCTCCTCCTGGCTTACGTCCTTGTGCAGGAAAAACATGGTCCAGTCCTGGTTCCGGGCATGGGCCTGATCGGGCAACATTAGCTCAGCCAGCATGTGCTCGTCCCCGGTGATGGCCACCGGATATTGATGTTCCATGACTGGGCCGCGGTCGATGTCGAATGATGCGACCAGTATGTATTCGACATGATTCTCCGTGCCACCTCTTGGGTACTGTGATCTAAGCTTGCGACCAGAATGAGCATCCGGATTGTATCTTCGCGGCCCAAGCGCCGACAGGGACGAATGTTGGGACGAGGCCCCCGTCCCCGTGGACGGGGTCTTGGACTTGGAGCTCGGGTTGGAGGTGCGGTCGGTCTCAGACATGCCGGCGACGGGCGGTTGCGGCGAGCGGGATGGTCTTGATTGGAGCGACATTTGCGAATCAGAGCGCGACGACGGGAAAGACGACAGTGACGTTCTCTTGTTTGGCGTTGCGCCACCGATGGTGGTGTACGGGCCGTTCGATTTGGCGTTGCTGGCCTTCCGGTGAACAAGTGGCAGAGCACTTTGATACAAGGAAGCCATTGCTATTGGTGCATTGGTATTAAGCTGCCGGACGGGCCGCCGTGCACCTTGCCCCTGACTGAAATCGCGGTCTTCAGATGATCAGGCGCGTATTGAGGAGAGTCGCTCTCGTGAGGACTCCGTAGTCACACACACCGAGACTGCCTGCTCCCGAGCCAGCGAGGCTGAAGCGTTCACGATTTGGATGTCGCGGATCGATGTCCAGAAGCCATGCGACAGTGGCCTGGGCGAATTGAGCAAGAATGGGGCTTTGTCAGAGTGCAGCCGGGAACGCGCCAAGACACGGAGTAGCTGGCGCTGGCGATCTCACCGGAGCACGATCGTAGGCTGAGATATGGAAAGAGTGTATTCTGGAGACCGACGAGTTGAAGCTGGTGACAAGAGTAGAGGCTTACGAAGTCATAGGTGCGAGACAGAAGGTGGGAGGCTGACACATGGATACATGATCTGCTGAGACGTTTGATGCTTCTCCTGGATCTAATTCCTCTTTGGGCAATACCGTCCTCAAGCTGGCCCGTCTCTCCCCTCTCTCAAACCAGGGGGAAGGCTCGAGTAAAACGAAAAGGAGGGGCGGCTTGCGGAAACCAGCGCCCGTCTGTGCTGTGTGGGACCCCTGTTCCCTGTTGCCAATTTCGTTTTAGCGCTGCCGCTGCTCCCAATCGTGGTCTCAAATTGGCCCTGGTGGCTGCTGGTTTGGGCATATCCCTCGCCTGTTCAAACCACCTGTGGGTACCATTGTGGCCCCTGGAAATCCGAAACACAGTGGCTGTCACCCCGCCAAAAACTGCAAGCCACAGGGAGCAAGCCACAGCCAACAGCAAGGCTGTCCTCGAAGTTGCACGGTTGTCGGGTCAACTTGTTTACTTTTGACAGCCTTGCGCAACAAACGGGCCACCACCGTTCTTCAGCGTGTATCTCGTGTGCAACACGTGTGATGTACACTTACTTGCCTTGGAGAGTTCGGCACGCTTCTTTTGATACATGCGGTGAATATTTATCCCTGAATAAGGCCTGTATTGTTTCTTCCGCAAGTTGAGCTACAGAGGTTCAGACCGAAATTATTTACTTCTAGGTATTCGCACTGGAGCCCGTCTCAGGTCTGGAGATTGCGCTTCTGGGGCGGATCGCCTGCCATTTATCAAAACATGGTGAGCACGCTAGCATTCCCGCTCTCCGGGAAAGCGCATTCTTGAATGACTGCGCTTGCTGACTCTTGATTTCCCAGGCAATGCCTTCGAGTTATAAACCATCGCCTTTGAGCTATGGTTCTCCACAAGCCCGCAGTTCTCCATTCCGCCGTCCAGAATCGCCAGGCTCTCCATCTGCTCTTCGACAGACAACACCATCATCATCACCAACAAAGTCAGCATACATAAGCGGCAGCTCTCGGTTCACCAACCCTACGACACCCACCAGCCCCGGCAGCCGGGTTTCGAGGGGTCAGGCAGCGTTTGAGAACATGCAACAATCTCCCATCAGAGACAGTGTGCGGCCCCAGGCGCCCAAACATTCAGTCTCTAGTCACGGCAATGCGCTTTCTCAGCTGCAACCCTCCCAGGTGCGAACTCTTCGGGAGGGATTCCAGATCCTCGACAGAGACAGCGACGGCACTGTCGGTAGGGAGGATATTGCCGACATGTTGAACCAGCTAGGTGCGCTCCCTCGAATCCCGCGACGGCAGAGAGCACTTTGAACTGACGCATTGCTGCAGGACTGCCATCAGGCCCTTCTGATGTCTCCCAGTTCTTCCCCCCCTCTGCGCCCCAGACCATCCAGCTCGCTACCTTTCTAAATTCCATTGCCACCGCGCTTGCATCGCTATCACCGAGTTCGGAGCTATTATCTGCTTTCTCGGCATTTGACGACGACGACAACGGACAGGTGGATCTGGTCGAGCTTAGAGACGCACTACTCCATACTGCACCCGAGCCCGGTGAGCGGGCCCTCTCAGAGATGGAGGTGGATCGGGTCATGAATGGGTTCACAGGCAGAAGAGCATTCAGCAAGAGCAAGCAGGGTGGCTTGGGAAAGCGGGGAGAGATATTCAAGTATCGCGATTTTGTGCACTCGGTTTCGGGCAGTAATGGTGCATCTGAGGCTGCGTCTTCTGAAGATTCAGAGGAGTCGGGCTGAGCTGCCGTCCGTTAAAGCCTCTCGTCGTCATTGTGTGGGCCCCCTCATGGGTTGGTCATTCAGATCTTCGACGAAGCTCGAAAGTTCTGCTTATGAGCTGGACGTGAGAGGCAACGACATAGGATACTACTTGTATATGATATGGAATAAGGTCATTGTACCTCTCCTTAAAGGCACTGGGCATTTCGAGCGGCTCTTGGTTTCAAGGAGGTTGTCAAGGATTCCCTTTGCTACTTTAAATGATCGAGGAATTTTCTCATTGCTGGGTTGGGCTTATACTTTGGTGTACTGACTTTGCTGGACTATGTGAACCATTAACTTGACTTAACTACATGTAATCGATTGATGGAAGACGGAACCGTAGTGGTACCGACCTCTGTATCTCCAGTGACATCATTTTTGATCCCTCTTGCTTAGAGGCAGGTTGCCGGGAGCGAACAATGCCCTGTGCGGGCATGCTGGTATCCGCTCTGGGTCCAAGACTCAAAGGTTTGAGGTAATGCTTCCTGTTAGGAGTAAGTATGTACAAAACTCCAGAGTCATTTGACCAGCCTCCTTTACTTGTAGTTTTTTTTGTGTGTGTGCATAAACTCCCTAACTTGTACAATAGGTACCTACTTCATCTACCATCTTACTTGGCTGTGAGTGGGTACCATGTCTTCTCCTGTGTATTTGTCGAATCTGTCATCTATCAAAACCCCACAGAAGCTTCGAGAATCTGGTCGGAGAGGTGCAATAGCCTGGCGGAATATTGACAACAGGCACTCCCGAGATGACCGGGCAGCTAAAACGGGTGGCGGGTAGACCCCTGAAGCATCCCTGTCAGTTGTTGGGGCCGCATGTTGGCTTCCCGCTCCGCTACAGACTCGCATTTGCTGTCTGGGTGCACTGGTGCCCCGAAGATCTGGTAACTAACGGCGGTCCATGGATAGGATGGAGGTGGGCATGTCTGTATGTCAGTAGCTCCATGCGAACGAACTGTCCTGATCCCATGCACTGATGCACTGATGCGCCGAGAGATGCGGCCTCCTCTTTGCTGGTGCTGGCCACCTCGTCCGAGGCCATTGGGCAGTAATGCCCACAATGCCTTGTAGAAAGTGAGGAGGTTAGGAGACGCATCAGTCTGCTGTCTCTACTGGTCAGAGCTGCAGGTGCAGATGGTAAACAATGCACATCTCCCCCAGACAATTGGCCGGCCATCACAGTGACTGGGCGGCTGTGGGGGGCAGGTTTTACGTATCGAAGACCTGCATTGCAGCAGGGTGCAGCGTCTTGTCCAGAGGTACAGGATACCCCGCCAATGGGCGCCTGAAGGCGAATGACCCTTTCCACAAAATTTCAGAAGCACCCCCAGCAAGCACATGGAGCATTCAGGAGCCCCCAGCCCAGATATCTCGTTCCAAAAATCGCAAATCACAAGCGACAGGGCTACGTGATGTGCTTGTGCAGCTCATAAATTTGCTAAAATCCCTTTTGTTCAAATCCCAAACCGTCCCTGGTTGCACTTCTCCAACAATTCCTCACCAACATCTCTCAGCATCCAAAGAAGCTCGACGTGTGGGGGGAAGCCTCCATGTCTCGTGTCATCCGACCAGTACCTTGAATTCAACAAAGCAGTGCCCTGTCTGACAGGCAGGACACAGGAACAGAAAAAAAAAAAAAGGCACACAGCAGAACCAGCCGGCTGAGCCTGGGGCCCGACAAGAGGACAGACTGCTTGCTCTCCTGCTCACAAAGTCACATCCTGTCCTCTCACCGACAACCCATTCTGCAGTATTCCACAGACCACAGCTAATACGCTCCCGACTGATCGGATCCTACCACAAGGAAAGAAGAACAGGTATGAATTGCTGGGCGCGGTAATGCGGTGTCGGAGTCGCTGAGGCTAAACTTTAGTTGCGCGCTTCAGAGCTACTTTTTTGGCCACCGTCTTCCCAGGTTCCCTGATCCCGCACACCATCAGCGGGACAGCTAAGCCAGCACAGGTGGTATCGAATCCAGTTAGGGGAGAAGAGCGGGACGGAAAAAAAATTAGGTTCCCAGCAGCGCTGCTTTTGTGGACTCAATGAAGTTTTTCTCCAAAAAGTCGAGCAAAACCAAAGCATTCGCGGACGAAGAGGAGGAAGACTTTTCCCATTCAGAGCCCTCCTCACCAGTCAAGCAACCCGCCCGCCCGGCTTCCAAATCGCCGACAAAGTCGCCCTCCAAACCCTCCACCCACAAGTCGGCGCGAGCAGCCTCACCCTCGCTTCGGGAGACCAAGTCTCGGTCTCCACGTTCCTTCACCAGGCACCCTACCGATCCCGGCTCCGGCTTCTCCTCCTCCTCACGTCGAAAGAAAATCGACCCCGACATCCACCCTCTGAACCTGCCGCCTGAGCAGCGCAAAAGGTTCTCCGCCATGTCCAACCGCAACTCCATGGATATCGACCGGGAGCCTGCCAACGGCAACCCCTCTTCTCCCCCGCCGCAATCGTCTCCGGCGCCCTCCGGACCTTCTCAATCGACATTCACTGTCCCTGTCACCAACGGTGCGGCAAGCCCGGTGACGAGCCCTGTCAACGGCAACGGCGATGGCGATGTTCCTGTGCCCCCTCCTCACAAATCGAACCCGTCCAGCCCCAAGCCAACGCCTGAGGACGAGGCGGAGGAGTTCAAGAATGCTGGAAACAAATTCTTCAAGGAGAAAGATTACCAGCGGGCTATCGCGGAGTACACAAAAGGTACGCTACCCTCGGCCTGATCGACTATGCGATACGTATGTTCATTTTCTAACCTGTTGCAGCTGTGATGCTTCAACCAAACTCGGCGACCTATCTCGGGAACCGTGCCGCGGCATACATGAGCGCTGGCAAGTTCGAGGATGCCCTTGAGGACTGCAAGCGTGCGGTCGACCTCGACCCCCAGAACAACAAGATCCTTCTTCGGTTAGCCCGTATCTACACCAGCCTGGGCCAGCCTGAGGATGCCATTCTCACCTTTGGGCGCATCCAGCCGCCCCCTTCTGCGAAAGATATGGCCCCTGCTCGGGAGATGCAGCAGCACGTCAAGGCCGCCCAGGATGCTTTGCGAGACGGCACCGCCGCCTCCATGGTCCTGCATGCACTGGACATGGCTGAGAGGCAACTTGGTATCGGAGCACTGAAGCCCCGAAAGTGGCAGCTGATGCGTGGTGAGGCCTACCTTAAGATGGGAGGTGTCAACTCACTGGGCGAGGCGCAGAATGTGGCCATGTCTCTGCTTCGGCTAAACAGCCAAGATCCGGAGGCGTTGGTCTTGAGAGGTAGAGCGCTGTATTGCCAGGGAGAGAACGACAAGGCGGTCCAGCATTTCCGCAAGGCTATCAGCTGTGATCCTGACTTGCGAGATGCCGTCAAGTGGCTGCGCATCGTGCAGAAACTCGACCGCATGAAGGAAGATGGCAACAAAGAGTACAAGGCTGGCCAGTGGCAAGCAGCCATTGACAAGTACACGGAGGCTTTGGATGTCGACCCTACCAACCGCGGAACAAACTCGAAGCTGCTTCAAAACAGGGCACTGTGCCGTATCAAGCTGAAGCAGTATGACGAGGCCATTGCAGACTGCGAGAAGGCTATCAGCTTGGATCCACACTACCTCAAGGCTCGGAGAACTAAGGCCAACGCGCTTGGTCAGGCCGAGAGGTGGGAGGACGCTGTCAAGGAGTGGAAGGCTATTGCCGAGCTGGATCCCGAGGACCGCAACATCCAAAAGGAAGTGAAGCGCGCGGAGCTGGAGCTGAAGAAGAGCCAGCGCAAGGATTACTACAAGATCCTCGGCGTTTCCAAGGACGCAGACGAGAAGGATATCAAGAAGGCCTATCGCAAACTGGCCGTGGTTCATCATCCTGACAAGAATCCCGGCGACGAGCAAGCCGAAGCCCGCTTCAAGGACATTGGTGAAGCGTACGAGACTCTAAGCGACCCTCAGTAAGTAGCAACGACACTACTAGCCAAATTGGGAATGAAAAGATGGCTAACACCTCGACCAGGAAACGTGCCGCCTACGACAACGGCGATGACCTGATGGATCCGTCAGACATGTTTGGTGGTGGTGGCATGGGTGGTGGCATCGATCCCGAGGTGCTGTTCAGCATGATGGGAGGCCAAGGCCAAGGCGGCTTTGGAGGAGGCGGCTTTGGAGGTGGAGGCTTCCCCGGAGGCGGTGGCTTTCCCGGTGGCAGCTTCCACTTTGCCAACGGAGGAGGCTCTCGACAGCGTGGTGGATTCCCGCCCGGTTTCCAGTTCTCTTGACAATCCGCAGGGGAGGAGGAAGACTACGAAGACTCTGAAAGCGAGGCCACTTTTACAGGAATCCCGCCTGCCTCGGAGCAACAGCAACGGCGCCGCCGGCCCAGTCGGGCCGGAAGTGAAAGATGGTATGAGAAGGACATGGGCGAAGCAAAGGCCGCGGCCCAAGTGCACAGGGACAAGCGCGAGAAGCAGCTGGAGCTGTTCCGTCGCGTCGGGTTTGGCGCTCTTGCAGCGATCGTCCTTCTTCCCCCGTACCTGTTGGGACTACTGGTTTTAGGATCTGGGTGTGTGTACATTTGCATTGTTCTTGCGCGGTCCATGGGCATGAGGAACTGGTAGGGCGTTTTCTCATCACATACAGACTGGTTGCGGGATAGACAGCACGACATGGGCAGCAGCAGAGCAGCAGCAGCAGCAGCACGACGTGCCATCCAGAGGCGTACATGGGTATATCGTGTCTCCTACCTCGAATTTCTATAGGAGGCTGCGATGTTGTAATTTTCCAAATAAAGAAACAGGGCCGGCAGGTCTTCATTGTGCAGCTTGTTTGTGTGTGTCATGGGAGCGTGTGTGTCTCAAAGACGGACTGTGTATGAGATGACACCACTTAAACCTTACCTAAGTTATTGAGCAACCACATAAAGCACAAAGGTCCTTAGATGGAACACTCAGTTGCCCCCTATGGAAAAGGGTAGGTTCTTGCTGAGAGGGATGTAGGCAGTTCCACAAAGAGTGAGAGAGCACTGGCAGGTGCTGACAGGCACTTGCGGGCCAATTAAAGTTAAAGTACAAGCTGTCATCGCCCCCGCAGCCCACGTCCGGTTGCCGCACTGACCCCTGTCCAAAATTTCGAGGCCACGATTCACGTTAACACCTTTGGATAGTTGATACAAGGTGTCCACTGTGTGTGAGCGGCAAGAATAGCACACACACCTCGCTCGACTCGCCCACCGACGACCAGAGGCTTCCTCTGCCACACAACACCACCGGTGACTGCGACACCAAGATTTTCGGACGTGGCCTCAGCTTTATCGAGTTGTAGTCTTGTATCTGCTCGACCAAAGCGCAGCCCAAAGGTCTTCCTCGCCAGGATTGCTGAGGAGCCTTTTCGCAGCTTGACCAAACCGCCCTCGTCAGCTGTCACCGCGGATTGCCCTCAACCACGGCGGCAAGATGAGCTCCGACTACAACTATGACGAGGAGGGCTACCTCTGGCCCTTCTTCGTCTTCACGCTCACGACCATCATCACCCTCCCTATGACCTACATGCTCGTCAACCGCACGCGCGATCCCGCCTCACTGTTTCCTCGGATCCAGTCTGACTACAGGCCCAAGCACGATGATCTCGTGGCCGCGCAAAAGGCCAAAGACAAGCGCGCTCAGCGCAAGATTGGCCTGACGCTGGCTGTCATTGCAGGATGGGCTGTCATGGGTTACATGCTCTATCTCATCCAAAACACCGAAGTTCCCACGCAGACTCTCTGGAACCCGTATGATATCCTGGGCATCTCAGAGGTATATGCTCCTTCCAGACCTGCTGCATACAGCCAAAGACCTTTTGGCTAACAGAATACAAACAGTCTTCGAACGAACAGTTGATCAAGAGCACCTACAAGAAACTGTCCAGAAAGTTCCACCCCGACAAGATCAGGCCTGACCCGGCCAAGAACGAGACGATGGACGATCTCAATGCCCGATATGTCGAGATCTCCAAGGCATACCAGGCTCTGACTGACGAGGAAGTGCGCAATAACTACATCCAGTATGGCCACCCCGACGGAAAGCAAAGCTTCTCCATTGGCATCGCTCTTCCCAAGGCCATGGTCTCCGATGGAAACGGTAGATATGTCATCCTAGTCTACTTCATCCTCTTCGGTATCCTGCTTCCCTACCTAGTTGGTTCATGGTGGTACGGAACACAACGCCAATCCAAGGAAGGTGTTCTTATGGAGAGTGCCAACAGGCTGTTCCGCGAGTATGAGGAAAACATGGACGAGGGCGGCGTCATCACGGCTCTCAGTACTGGCAAGGAGTACGAGGAGATCTTTAGAGGCGACAAAGTCGACTCGGGTCTTGCCAAGATTGAGTCGAGGATTACTGCTGCTGGCACTGGGTCACCCTTTGCTTGCGGCATGTCGGTCAAGGAAAAGGAGAAGCTCAATAACCTCGACAACGGCGTTCGAAGAAAGGTCCTTTCCCTTCTTTGGGCATACCTCGGTCGAGTCGAGCTGGATGACGAGGCGCTAGAGCGAGCAAAGTTTCAGGTCGCACCTATTGCACAGGCACTGACCAAGGCCTCCACGGCTATCGCCCTTGCGTACAGCAACACCACTCCTATCCTCGCATCTTACTACGCAAGCCAGCGCATCATTCAAGCAATTCCACCCAAGGCATCCCCCCTCCTCCAGCTTCCTCACTTCACCCCTGAGGTTGCCAAGGCACTCGACGGTGACTCCAAGATCCCCATGTCTGTACAAAAGTTCATGGACCAGCCGGATTCAAAGAGGAGAGCCCTGACCACGGAGAAGGGACTCCTGAATGACAAGCAGTACAAGACCGCTCTAGATGTTGCCAAGCAGTTGCCTTACCTCCGTGTTGCCAAAGCTTTCTTCAAAGTCACTGGCGAGAAGTTTATCATCCCCTCATCTCTCGTAACCCTTGTCGTCAAGGGCCGATTCATCCCTCCTGGAAGCGAGAAGGTCCCCCAGATCAACGAGCTGGATCTTGAGGACATCGATCCAGCAGAGGACGACCTAGACGCGCTCCTCGGCAGGACACCCAAGAAGCCTGTTGGCAAGACAGTCGACGGCAAGCCCATCATGCCGCCTGCCAAAGAAGACAAGCCTATCCTCCCTCCCCTAGCCTACGCCCCTTACTTTGGTCGCGACCATTCGCCCAGGTGGCATGTTTTCCTCACAGACTCAAAGCAAGGCAAGATGGCTGTGCCTCCCTTCACCTTTACACAGTTCGACAAGCCCATTCTCGAGGCTGATGGCAAGACACCGACCTTCGCCATGCAGACCCTCAAGGCCCAGTTCCAAGCACCCCCTCAGGCCGGCCACTACACGTTTGTGATGCACGTTGTGTGCGACAGCTATGTTGGGTTTGACACCAAGATGGAGGTGACGCTGGTAGTGGAGGAGGCCAGTAGGGCAGCAGAGATGGCTGCTGAGGACGAGATCAGTGAGCCTGACGAGGGTAAGCAAGCTTTCATTCCAGGATCGCCAAATTCTACATATGCTAACTTGCAACTTTAGATTCCATTGCTGGCATCATGAACGCCGCAAAGGGCGGAGCGCCACCGCCCAAGAAGAAGAAGGCAGTGGAGGAGGATGACTCAGATGAGGAGAGCGGAACGGAGGAGGAGGAAGACGACACGAGCGCGACAAATACAGACACGGAGCCGGAGAACTAGATGGGGCGTCTGTTTCTGCCTTTTCATCCATGTACACTAAAAAAGCTACCAGCTACCATTGTCAACGGAGCATTCTTCAGGGGGGGAAACGAAGATGAGCCTGAGGGCAAGGCTATCGTTTGAGGATTTCAGCCCTAGCTTCCAATAGAGAAAGCACTTGATTTGCATTGTACAATAGGGACAGATCTGGAGCTCTGTCTGGCCCCGTCTGCTGATTATTGCTATCTGAAGTGAGGCCTATCCGACTGTCTATAGCTGCGTCTGCGTGTCAGCAAGAGGCGAGCCATGTCTTTGTGGTCAATGCCTGTCTTGGATGGGTAGACCGGGATTTCGCCCGAGATCACACTCGCAATATTGATATGAGTAGCAGATTATTGACGATGTTGGGACGGCTGGCTGTACACATCAACAATTCGGGCTGTCAATGAACTGGTTCTAGGTAACTATCATAACCGTAACGCCTACGCTAAATATGATCCGCCTTCCCGACCCCTCCTTTATTTACTGGACATGCCCGAGCAGGGGTAACTTTCCGCCAGCAACATGGAAGCAGGGGGCCGTTGCTGCTGCTCTGATGGCTATATGCGAAGACATGAGCCCGCCTGAACGGTACGGCATTACTATTGCAGCAGCTCCTCGCAGGTCCAGTCCTCATAACTAAAAGCAGGCCAAGGTCAGCAATCGGGTGTGCTGCTCCCGCAGAGAGGGCAAGCGTGATATTTCCCGCCATCCATCCAGAGAGAGCAAAACTCACTATCCATCGGGCATGTAGCGCCGGACGATCAGGGGGATCTTCTTCTCTCGGAGCTCCTTGATCGCGATCTGGAGAGGATCCGTCTCGCCCTCGAGGTCGACGAGCACGGGGGCGTTCATGCTGATCTGCAGGGCGCGCGTGCCGAGGATGCGCGCCTTTTCGTACTTGGTCATGTAGGGCGTCGTCGTGCGCTCCTCGGTGGGGATCTTCTTGTCCTTGTGCGACTTGTCGCCGCCGGCGCCGCCCTTGCCCGCGCCGGCCGCCGCGTTGGGGTCGCCCGAGACGATCACGTCGGGCTCCTCGTCGTCGTCGTCGCCGCCCGCGCCGCCGTTGCGGGCGTCGACCTCCTCCTCGGCCTCGGGGACCTCGGGGTCGTAGTAGTCTTGGGCGTCGTCCTCGTCGTACATGGGCTCGTCACTTTATTCCCTAGGTTAGCGACTTGTTCATATCGTCGGGACGAGATGGCCAATCCCTCCCCCTCCTGAATGCAAGCATGCATGTAGAAGGCCAAGGCATAGCAAGCTACTTACGCGCCACCAGCGTTGTCCTCATCGCCAAAGTCAGACATGTTTGCTGCTTTTTTCGAGGTGGTTTCACCTGAGGAGAGAAGAAGATGCCGAGTATGTGGTGTCGTGAGGGACAAAGGTAGCAAACCTGCGAGCGAGGTCGACGGTGGTGGCCGGAGGGAGGAAAGAAAGGTGGCCGCTTTGGTGTCGTCTCTTTTTTTGGGCTTTGTTGGAGGGGGAGTGGAGGGCTGAGAAAAAGGCCTGAAAATTTGGATTGGATGCAAGGCTGCGAGCAGTGAGTTAACCCCTGTCGGCCAACAGAAAGTCGCTGGTGCGATAAGATAAGCACGCTCCACCAAAAAGTTCGTTGTACCTTTTGTCGCCCACCATCTCCAGCCATTCACACTGAATCAAGATCTGCCAAAATTTACAAAAGTGTAAAACTAATCGTGCAGCAATGGGCGCAAAAACTCGGTCTGCACAGCAATCATGAAGCGACTCGCGGCCGAGCATGCCGCCCAAAGCCCGGCCAAGAAGCAATTTGTCCAAGCGCCTCAATTCTCGGGTAGGTCACTCTTCCGGAGTCTCTGGCTGTTAATTGATTACCTGCGGAGTAAAGTGACGGTTTGGCTAACATGTCCCCAACAGCCAACAACCCCCAGACCGGCAGCTTTGCCATGACATTAGATGATGCCTCTGATGTCGAGTCGCATTACCCAACCCAGACCGAGCCATCCAATACATCATCCACACCCCTCACCGCCCATTCCACCACATCCCGGAGATTCCCTTCCGACCTGAAGACGATCAAGTGTAGCTGGCCAAACTGTACCAAGACCTTCAACCGCCCAGCACGGCTCAATGCACACTTGCGATCACATACGAACGACCGTCCTTTCAGATGCGCCTATCCAGAGTGCGACAAGTCATTCCTAGAGGAGAAGCATCTGAAGCAGCATATCAAAGGCTCCCATACAGGCGAGCGAGATCATGTCTGCCAATACCCTGGCTGCGACAAGGCATTCCTGACAGCAACGAGGTTACGTCGGCATGCTGCTGTTCACGAGGGGGCGGAGCGCTTCCGCTGTAGAGGCTACGACGGCTGCGATAAGACATTCCGAAAGCACCAGACATTGCAGAGGCATATCCGTACGGATCACCTGGGCCAGCGCGCTTTTGTGTGCGCAAATGCCGGATGCGAGGCAGGATTCGACTCGGCTGGCGCGCTGAAACGCCATATTGACCGTGAGCATGGAGAGCCGAAGTACTGGTGTGACGAGTGTGGACAGGACAGCGACGATCCTGAGGGCCAGGGAGAGAGAGTCGGCTTCACCACCCTCACCCTTCTCGAGGCTCACATGCGCCGAGAGCATATCAACTGTCTCTTCTGTGATGTACGTTGCCGTGGACAGGCCGATCTCGAGCGCCACGTGGAGACATACCATTCCGGCAGCACTGTCGAGGACCGCAAGGTTGTCCCCTGCACCTGGGATGGTTGCGACAAGAAGTTCACCAAGAAGTCGAACCTCAATGCTCATATCCGGAGTGCCCATGAAGGGGTGAGATTTATCTGCGGAGAGGTCGACCTGACGAACATTGATGATCTGTCCGGCTGGGACGGCTCAGATGCTTGTGGCAACGGATTTATCAGCAAGATGAAGTTAGAGGAGCACGTACGATTCGTGCATCTCAAGATGGAGAGGCCAAAGGCCGCGAAGACAGTGGCCAATGACGATGACCCGGCTGACCTGGTCAACTTTTTGGCTGGAGTCGATAGCAAGCGAACCATTCGCTGTACATACCTCGGCTGCGACGCGCTGTTCAGCCGACATCATGACCTTCAAATCCATCTGGGCAAGCATCAAGAGGGTGCCATCTCAGCTGCAGGTGGCGCGGATCTCCTTGTGAGCCCTCCTCCCCTGATGGCGTACGAGACAGGAATGGAAGTCGACGGCGCGACCCCAGACTTTGACGGAAACTTCTGGATTGGAGACGGCGCCGAAGATTTCGGTTCGGCTTATGCGGGCTTTGGCCAGGACGAGTGGTTGCAGGATGAAGCGGAGATGCGAAGACTGGTAGACGACGGCCCCGGACAAGACATGGCTGGCTTTATCGACCCAGATCTGTTTGGCGTGTGATGTTCTGGGGATGTTATGTGGTTATGACCAAGAGAGCAAAGAAGCAGAGATACCCATCCTTGAGTTACATGGAGAATTTTGTTGCGGGTCATAGTGACGCCCATTGTGTTTGGGCGCGGTGGTGTCAACTTTGAGAGCTACTTAGATATAAAATGGGCAAATGGCAAGATACCAGATTGAGGTCTGGTACGAGAATGAAGCCTCTTGTTACTAGTTTCACAATGCTACAAGACCAAGAGCGAACCTGTGAATGCTTTCCTCGCTGACTTATGGACCTATCTAATCATCAATCAACGAAGCCAAAACCCTCGACTCCTGCGTGAAAATGCAAAATCGACTTTGAGCCACTCCCCGGCCACCGCTATAACTGCCTTATAATGCCAGGAACCGGCTGACAAAAAGACCAATGCCAATACCAGGCACTTAGATAAACCAAAACGCAAACCGCAAACGATCAGCTAGTCCTCTACCTCCTCCCTCTCACTAGTCAGTGACGAGGGCATTGCTCAAGCCCAGCAGGGTCATGCCCAGGAAGGCGAAGCCGATGCTCAGGTTCCGGTTGTGGTTGAGGCTCAGGCTCTCGACGAACAGCTGCAGCGCGACGCTCGTCATGATGCCCGCCGTGGCGGCGAAGAGGCACGCGTAGGCGACGCTGTTGATGACGAGGTTGCCCCTGCGGGCGAGGCGGAACCACAGGGCGGCCATGCCCGCGCCGGCGGGCTGGCTGAGCCCGCCGAGCAGGGAGGACCAGGCCATGGCCCTCCAGCGGCTGTCGAGGGCCATGTAGAGCGGCAGGGCCATGGAGAAGCCCTCGGCGATGTTGTGGACGAAGAGCGCCATGAAGACGTTGAACCCCAGGGACGGGTTGGCGTGGTTGGTGGCGAAGGTGATGAAGCCCTCGGGGAACTTGTGCAGGGCGATGGCGATGACGGTCTGCAGGCCGATGGACATGAAGGCGTTGGTCGGCACGTGGTGGTGGTGCTGGGCCTCGAGGTCCTCCGTTTTCGTCGAGGCGGCATCGTCGTCGAGCTCGTCGTCGCTATCCCCCGCGTGATCGTGGGCATGATCGTGGCCGTGGCAGCAATGGTAGTCTCCGTGCGAGGCGTGGGAGCTGCTCCGCGATAGATCCCGCGATCGGACTCGACTCGTCCGTCGCTTCGGACTAGTCAGCGGTGCCACTGAATCACGTTCTACGTCTTCGGGCAAGCTAGGGTAGACGAGATGTTGATGTGGAATGGAGTTCGTGGTCGTTCTGATGGCCGAGTTGCGAGAACTGAGATGCTTGAAGCATTCCTGCCCGCAGGGGTCGGTGTAGCCAAAGCACGGCCCAAACTCGTCACAGTTGGACTTTGTATCCTTGACAAAGGACAGCACTCTGTCTCGCACCTGCATCATAGACGGGCGGCGGGGTTCTGGCTGTGTCCGCCTCCGGCTCTTCAACAGGCTATGCGAATGTTGGTTCGCGGCGTCATGCACACTGTGACTGTGTTCTTGTGCAAGACCTCCTTCACTCCGCGTATGAGGGCCCCTTAGCAGTCCCTGACTCGACTCCAGCAGCGGCGTAGACTCTGAAGCTACGTCTTCGAGGCCGTCACCGTCGGCTAGTGTGGAGTGGGATGTTTTGTGCAGGGACCTCCTGGAACGTCTGGGCGCGCCGTTGAGTTCTGAATGGGCATCCTTAGAGCCGCCATGTCCCTCGTGGCTATGGTCACAGTCGACCACGTGAGAAGGCATGAAGCGGTGCAGCACCCTCGAGATGATCTGGATGCCGATGAAACCAGCCACAAAGCACCCCATCATGATGAACCCCGCTGTCTGCTCGTCGACACCGCCTTTGAGGAGGTAGCGTTTTGAGGACGGCAGCATACTATACAATGCCGAGAAGCACTGTTTGAACACATGGAACGGTAAGCGGCTGTTAAAACCTCGTCATCTTGGTGAGTCAGGAGGAACGTACCATGACGCCAAAACTGAGGCTGAGAGAGCATGCGAGAAAGCCATTGCTGTCTTGGATGCGGAAGTTCCGCTGACCTGGTATCCTTCGTATGAGGACGTCGACACATATTATGCTAGCACCAAGCACACAAGCTGTAGCCAGGTCAGTAAAATGAGCCAGGGCGAGTTAGGCTTGAGGCAAGACGAAGGGAGTTACCACGTACCGACTCCGCTCACCAGACACATGATCCACCCGCGGGTGTCATTGTCCACTCCTTCCAGCGCCAACATGGTCGGAGCTATCGCAGCCCGGCGATCCCAAGCTATATGGCCCTGAAAGTGCTCAAAAGAAGCTGTTTCTTGACCGCCGAGACGAGCCTGGTGTAAGCGATACCGATGGGGCTTCTTCTTCTCGAGACAAGATCTCAGCGCAACTCGGCACTAGAGATACCGGACAAAGTGTACCTTCTGGTTTATAGATGATGAAAAGACGGGTCAAATCGAATGAGGAATGGGCAACGAGCAGACGGAATCTCGGGGTGAGATGTCACAGCGAGTGCTGGCTCGAGGACCTTGATGGCCAGAATGTGGCTTGTGACTTCTGTACCCTTGCAGGCGGTCTGCAGTCGACCAGCGCCCTTTTTGTAAGCGGCGCAAGCCCTGCAGCAGTCGAGAACGAGCGATGCAGCACTCTGTCTGGCGTTGGCGCGGCCGGAGCACACCTCGATACGGGAAGCCAGAATATATGATGAGGCCTGAATCACCACATATATGAGGCGACGTTGTGAGAAAAGGCCTTTTAGCCACATGCGATTCATGGGCCTGGACGATTTAGAGCGCGACCCTGCGCTATGCGCTAGCTCTCCAAAGGCAACGTCATATTGATTACCTTAGCCTGTAACTAGGCCTGTGGGCCAGGGCGTGTTGGTAAATGGAGCTCTGTCATTTGCCACTGAAGGATGCTACAGTAAGCCGCAGTGGTCCAGCCAATCTCCACCTCGCTTCAACCTCGAGGGTTTCGCCGACCCAGCGCTTCGGGCTTGAACTATCTAGTAATGTAGACATATCGAGAGGAGGGCCTTGCTACTTGCAAGAGACTGGTGAGGGAGGTCTGCAGGAGCTGCTCTAGCCTCGCTAGGAATCTGGAGATGGAGTAGAAGTCCCTTGTGGTGTATCCTTTCCACCGGGCAGTGAGCAATGCCCAGGTATCTGAAGGAGATGATGGTTGGTGGGAACGCATTGCGAGCCATGCATCATGGCAACTGAGAGAAGAGCGCTTTGCATTTTCTCTTCAGCATCAGACGGTCGGCCATAGATAAAGCAGCCAGGTTGGCGCTTAGCAAGAACAGCCGAAAAATTGGATCGCAAGGCGCGAAGTTAAGCAAAAACAGAGGCCTCTTTCTTCATCTTGCATTTCCACTTCCTCTCAAAGTCAGACCTCCCCTCATGATATTATACCTATCGATGATGTAGCTTCTAGCCACTAGAACAAGCTTCTAAAAACTGAAAGTGCGGTGGTTAAGAGAAGCATACAAGCTGATCTCTGCTAGCCATGGTTGATATATATTATATCTGCCTGTACCCAACGGCGTCATCCGCAAGAGGGACTTGAAATCTGTTCCTCCGCGTAATGGTGTGTACAGGTATCTTTGAGTATCTTCAACCCAAGCTACGATCCATGGGTGACATCGGCGACATCAGCCCAAGACGGACCCGACAGGCAGGTCGCCCAGGTACCATCAGATCGATCGATCGTGGACGCCTGCAAGGAGCAGCCCAGCTGACGCGCGCGGGCTGAACATGTGGTTTGTCGCAGCCTTGGGAAGCTGATCTCGCCCCCACAACACCTGCACAGGTCACGGAGCTGGAGCTCAGCTCTAAGAAACCCCCACGTGCTAAAGAGCCCTGAAATTCAGCACAGGAGACGCGCTAGCATCTTCCCCACACCCAAAACTCCCGTCCCTATCGGTCGGTAAACCCTGCGTCGAGCCGTTAGATAACGAAAAATATTTGGGACAAACCGCCAGCCAACGCGCCCTTGTCTTTCCTTGGTCGAGACACCACGGACCCGGCCTGTCACGTCTCTCCCACACTACGAGCAGACATCACCACGAGGCCCGTCGTGCGTGGGCAGTAGAGGCTCCCCATAGCAGGCAGCAGGTCTATATCGCCTGACTTTTGCACAGCTTAAGTCTTATATAACTGCAAGCTTCGCCCACAGCCTCACCCTCTCGCTCTGGGGAAAAAGGGATTCCCTTTCCTGCCCAGCATGTCCAAAGCTACCATCGCAGTCATCGCAGCCGTGAGCGCTGGAACCGGCGCCGCGGCCACCATGGCAATGTATGCAATGCGATCTGACAGCAAGAAGCAGCTACCAGACCAGACAAAGACCGTCACCGCGACCTCGACCGTCTCCTCCACGGGGCCCCCGGGACCCGTCCCGGCCTCCCAGATCTTCGCTCCCACGACGGCATCCTCCTCCTCCTCGGCAGCCGCCCTCAAGCCCGCCCCCGTCAACCCGGCCGGCCTCTTCGAGTACGGCTTCCCGGGCCCCGTCGCCGACGTCGCCACCCGCCAGGCCCTGGTCTCCTCGTACGACCGCCGCCTGCGCAACCCGCACTGGGTCGTCGAGCACATCACCCCGGCCTCGCTGGCCGCCCGCGACGCGGACCGCAAGCACTCGGTCTTCCTCGAGGACGGCGCCGTGCCCGACAAGTTCCGCGCCCGGCTCAAGGACTACTTCCGCTCCGGCTACGACCGCGGCCACCAGGTGCCCGCCGCCGACGCCAAGTGGTCCCAGGCCGCCATGGACGAGACCTTCTTCCTCAGCAACATGTGCCCCCAGGTCGGCGAGGGCTTCAACCGCGACTACTGGGCCCACTTTGAGGACTTCTGCCGCCGCCTCACGCGCACCTACCCGAGCGTCCGCGTCGTCACGGGCCCGCTCTACCTGCCCAAGCGCGACCCGGCCGACGGCAAGTGGTACGTGAGGTACGAGATGATCGGCGAGCCGCCCAGCGTCGCCGTCCCCACCCACTTCTACAAGGTCATCTTCGCCGAGGACGGCCTCGTCGGCGGCAAGGTCGCCCTGGGCGCCTTCGTCATGCCCAACGCCCCGATCCCCAACGAGAAGCCCCTGGCCGACTTCGAGGTCCCCGTCGAGGCCGTCGAGCGCGCCAGCGGCCTCGAGTTCGCCGCCAAGCTGCCCGTCCAGCGCCGCAAGAGGCTCTGCGCCGACACCTCGTGCGCCATCGTCGTGCGCGACTACGCCGACAGGCAAAAGGCCTTTGCCAAGGGCGGCGCCGGCCAGGCCCAGCTGCCCGCGCCCAAGAGGTAGCACATAACAAAAGGGGGGTCCGAGGGTGGTCTGAGATTTTTTTTTTTGGAAGAGCACGCCGTAAACGAGAGCGCCCAGGTGTGATAACTCGGAGGGCTTTCCGTATCCCACCACCACTGGCATACCTACTACATACATACATCACCACGTCATTGTACACATACTACAAGCATGTAACGCACAGTCATGTACCATCAGAGTTTCATTGCAAGCATGAGCAGCCTAGCATGGGAAGTCTACTGGGGTCTTGAAACCAGAGATTAGATATTTTCCAGCCCTGCATTGGGTATCTAGATAGCGATTCACATTAACTCACAACATTTCACGACCGCTCCAACTGTTTTGTTCCCTTGATGGCCCCCAAAAAGAAAACGCTTTTCCTTTGTCAACGCCAAGCAAAGTCCCATCATCTGAATATACATGTGTGCACTATTGATACAACCAAAAGGTAGGCAGGCGAAACTCCTTCCCACTTATCGTACGCGTGTATAGTTTCCCTTGCTTTGCTCCAGACGCAAGCTCTCTTCCTGGCTCGGCAGGGGTCCTCTTCGTCGCTTGTTGGCTTCGCTTTCCGCATCCGATCCAGCTCCCGGGAGAGACATGCCAGGAGGCGGAGGAGGGAAGCCAGGCGGCAACGCAAAATTCGGCGGAGGCGGGATCAACCCAGGTGGCAGCATCCCTGGGGGCAGAGAACCGGGTGGCGGAAGCTGCAGGCCCGCTTTTTGAATCATCTCCAGCATCTTTGCCGGATCCGGAGGGTTGTTTGGGTCCATTCCGGGGATGGGCGGAGGCATGCCGGTGAAGCCCGGGGGCGGCGGGAAAGGCAATGGGGGTGGCGGGGCGGTTGCTGGTGCGTTGCCCATACCAGGTATTGCTGGGGGAGCGCCTGCTCCCGAGGACGGATGCTGTGGCAAGGATAGACCAGGCAGGCCCGGGAACGCAGATGCTGGCTGCTTGATGGGCATCTTCTGATCGACCAGGCCCTCCATCTCGTCCTCCATCTCTTGCTCTTCCTCTTCCTGCCGTTGCCGACGGCCACCACGACGATCCCAGGTTCCATGGGCTTCGGCAGCAGCCTCGCCGATATGGAACCTGTCATGCGACACATCGGTATCGCCTGGTCTCCCTCGTGTCCAGAACCGAGTGATCCGATCATTAGAGCCCGATACAAGAATGTGGCCCAGAGGATGCCAGTCTAATGACCAGATGGCGAAGTCGTGTGCATAAGGGATCTTGTGTGCTGGGTAGATAGCTTGGGCAGGGGCCGTGGAAGGATCCGGGCTATCGTATGGAGCCACGGATGTTGCATGCCCAGGGGGAGTGTTTGGCTCGTCGAGAAGATAATGGAACAATGATCCGTCGCCTCCACCGGTGGTCAGAAGGTTGGAATGAACTGGGTGCCAGGCCAAGGTAGACACATCCTTCTCATGGCCACGCAAAAGACAGATATCGCGCATCATACGAAGATCGAAGACTCTGGCGGTCTGGTCTCGAGCCGAGGTCGCTAAGCAGAGACCCCGAACGCGCTCAAATAAGGTCTTGGTGATGGTGTTCTTGTGGCCATGCAGCGTGGTGAGGCAGCGGGCCGTCCTTGGGTCCCATAGCTTGACGAGATGGTCCTTTGATCCTGACACAATGAGGCCCTTGGTAGGATGCCAATCGCAGCTCTTCGCGTCCCAGCCATGGCCTGTCAATGAGGACTCGGCGACGCCGCCAGCAAAGTCGAAGATCTTGAGGGTCGAGTCATCGGAAGCTGTGACGAACTTGGAATCTGTGGGACTGAAAGCAAGGTCCCGGATGGGATCATGGTGACCACGGATACTCTCGACGTTGTTGAAGTTTGGCTGCCAATACTTGATGACACCGTCGTGATCTGCCGAGATGAGCCAGTCGTCACTGTGGGAGTAGGACAGGGCCCGAATAGCAGCGTCGTGAGCCTGCATGATGGTCTCGAAGTTAAAGCCGGTACCATTCCAGAGCGTGAACTCGCCGCTGCTCGAGGCTGTCAAGAGCCGCCGACCCTCGGGTGTCCAGCGCACAACATTGACAGGATGCCTGATTTTGTTGAGAGACTGATGAAGATGCCGTGTAGGCACCGTGTCTGCGGGACTGGCTGTCCTTGCATAAGGCGGTAGCATCTGGAGGATGGTTAGCATACCTAGCAGGATGGGGATACAGATGTGAAAAAGCATACATCGACTATATAACTCTGGCTTGGCCGTTCGAGCTCGCCAGTATATGCGCCCCTGTATCGCGGGCGACGATCGCGCATCCAGTGCACCAGGGTGGCGCCATAGTCGGTGACAGGACCTACGCAGGTGTTAGGACAGCTCGACAGAGCTTGCGAATGAAGAATTCACGGCTTGTGAGATGGCTCCAGGTGAGATGGAGTAAACTTACGCCGTCCTCTTGCTCTCATGTGACCCCCATCCTGGCCACCGTCGCCGCCTCTGAAGCCTCCTCGATCACCTCCGTGATCCCCACGAGGCTCGTAAGACATGCTGACGGCTAGAACATAGAAAACGCACTCTCACAGATGAGATGTCTCGGGAGTCAGAAGGATATTGGGCGGGGTGGCTTCGATATGCGTAGGTGATTGTGACTTTGTTCTGAGATGAATGCCTCCAGCGAAGCTTTGAGGTTTACCTGAGATTAGGTACCGCGCGCTGGCCTTGAACAAAGGCGCGAGCGGACGGGCTGAACCATTCCAGGTCTCCACATCTGACCAGTGCAGCACTAGACACCAGCTTATCTTATCTATTATCGCTTATCGCTTATCGAGCGGCCCTTCTCCGTCTGGGACCTTTTAACTATGAAGCTGGATTGTTTAGTACAATAGTGGTATAAATTACAGGCATGAATTTGCCCCCAGCTGGGGCTCAATCACATGCAAAATGCAGCCCTCAAGAGATTTCCTAATCTGACCAGATACATGTGTACTTACACAATGCATACAGATCTGTTCAACTGCAGGATTATACCGGTGAAGAGTGATATATGTTGCAGCTGCATATGTGCGCGCTTGTTTTCTCATCGATATCGACGTGTGAGGAGCATTGCATTCAGTGCAGGTTGATATCCAAGACACCGCATTCCACCCCTCCATTCCAACCCCAACACTTTTGGATTCCTCTGCCTGCACTCTTTTATTTTTGGAGTACCTACCTGGACCCTTCTGTTGTTTCAGCATTGATAGGTACCTAGGTAGTCGGCGCCTGCTTGCAGTAGCTTCCTCGCACTGATTGCTGGCTGGATCGGCTAGGAGGGTTTGACTTTCTCAACAGCGTCGCTAAACGGGGATAGCCAAGGCTCCAGAGCTGCTTCCGGTTCCCCTAGCACGATCGCCTCGTTGTATTATTACACACAGGCGTCAATCCAGCTCCACTGTATGACCGACCCAAGTGCACTTCGTTTTCCCTGTCTTACCTCTTTGGGGGAGGCCCAGACCCTGGTAGAGTACGGAGTATGGACAAAACTCCCTGAGAAAAAGGCATTGTTATCACTTGGGAACGCCCTCCTCGAGTCTTCCCCCCCCACGCTGTTCTGTCAACCGCATTCCATCAAGGCCCCAAACTCCAAAGCTCACAGGCTACGTTTTGGATTTGTCTGATTACTCCACGATATTGGATTCTTCCCTTGGTCTCACAGCTTGCAATCTCTCCCAACGCTCTCGGTAATCGAGGAATGGGCGAGTGGCACCCTTCATACTTCTTCCACTTACACTCCAGGGCCCTCGGGATGCTGGTGTGGCGCCCATGCAGCGTCGAAAACTGGGAAGAGACATAACATAATCCCACCCGAGTCGCGCCGAGAGAAGCACGGAGGTCTTCGCCACCCCTTTTGAAAAGACTTATATCCTCCTTCGCTCTCCCTTCCCCTCGACGCGCTGCTTTCTGGCAGAGCTCCTGTCCTTTCTACAAGGCCAATTTGCTTGGTTTCGCTTCTTTCGTCCAACAGCAACAACGGCAACCTTGGAACCAAACCCCGATTGCGTCACTGGCATCCAGCGCAGGCGCCCGCGCAGAGAGAGAGCCATGAATTCGGCAACGGTCACCAGCCTGGACACAGGCAGCCACGGCCGCTTGTCCGCGCGCATCGCCGGTACCAATGGCTCGATCCCCGAGTCTGCCCAGAACATTGGCAGAATTGACGGTGTCGCAGGCAATGGCTTCGAGCCGAAGCGTGGCGAGGCCAAACAGGAGGGGACCGCCGATGATGCAACCATCGAACTCCGCAAGGCATTTCAGCGAAAATATCGCCATATTGCCGCGATGCACTCAAAAACACAACCGTCGTGTCTGAGCCATGATTCCATGTCCTCGCCCAGCTTCTTGGGGTTCCGGAATCTGATGGTGATTGTTCTCGGTACGTTTCTATCCTTTCATCGCCTGTCAAGTCTTTCTCTCACTTACAAGCAACCCCAGTGGCTGGCAACCTGCGTCTCATGATCGAGAACATACAGAAGGTAAATTCAGACAAAATCCGTTGATTTGTCAAACGATAAGGATCAAGCTAAGAATACGACAGTATGGTGTTCTCATCTGCGTCAAATGTCATGATTTCCGCCGACAAGATGTCATGCTCGGCTTGGGGCTCTACCTCGCCATCCCCGGCTTTCTCTTTGCCGCTTACTGCATCGAGTGGCTCGCCGCACAGAAAGCCGAAGTAACTCGCAACAAGACTGTCAAAAGGACCGGCACCACGAGTCCCACAGAGGATGAGTACCAGAAGTTCTTGTCGACCTGGAAGATCATTGCCCTCGCGCACGCCATCAACGTCACGGCCGCCTTGGTCATCACCACCTACTGTGTCTACTACTACATCCACCACCCTCTTATCGGAACGCTGACGGAGATGCACGCCGTCATCGTCTGGCTCAAGACCGCCTCGTACGCCTTTACGAACCGAGATCTTCGACATGCGTACCTCCACCCGGTCAAGGGTGAGCTCGAGGCGCTGCCCGAGATCTACGCGCAGTGCCCCTACCCCAAGAACGTCACGATGAGCAACCTGTGCTACTTCTGGTGGGCCCCGACTCTGGTGTACCAGCCCGCCTACCCCCGGACCGACAGGATCAGGTGGATCTTTGTCATCAAGCGCCTCGCCGAGGTCTTCTGCCTGAGCGTCTTCATCTGGTTCGCCAGCGCCCAGTACGCGGCGCCCGTGCTGCAGAACTCGCTCGACAAGATCGCCTCCCGCAACTACGCCGCCCTGGTCGAGCGCGTCCTCAAGCTGTCGACCATCTCGCTCGTCATCTGGCTGGCCGGCTTCTTCGCCCTGTTCCAGTCCTTCCTCAACGCCCTCGCCGAGGTCACCCGCTTCGGCGACCGCGCCTTCTACGACGACTGGTGGAACAGCGAGAGCCTGGGCACGTACTGGCGCACGTGGAACAAGCCCGTCTACCAGTTCTTCAAGAGGCACGTCTTCTACCCGCTGCTGGGCAGGGGCTGGCATCCCGCGGCCGCTAGTGTCATGGTCTTCTTCATCTCGGGAGTCTTGCACGAGATCCTCGTCGGCGTGCCCACGCACAATATCATAGGTACGTAGCGCTCCCAAAGCCCCGAGTATGACTCTATCTGCTAACTTCTAACGACAAAAGGTGTTGCTTTTTGGGGCATGTTCCTGCAGCTGTTCCTCATCGCTCTCACGTCCGGGTTCGAGAAGAAGAAGACGCCGCTAGGGAGGCTCATTGGCAACTGCACTTTCTGGATATCATTCACGATCTTTGGCCAGCCGCTAGCAGCGCTGATTTACTTCTACACCTGGCAGGCCAAGTTTGGGAGTGTGAGCAAGCAGTATTCCGGCCCAGTCGCTCGTTAGGGATTGCGTTATTACTTAATTGTCCTACTACTGCTCGTCTTTACATGGAAGCTTATAGTATCACATCTGAACCACATATATCAGATCCCCGAGTTCGTCAGGACACACTACCTGGGTTTGGGAACCGTGCAGTAATGAAACAATGCTTTTAATATTGTGCCTTGAACGTTCTATGTCGGGGCGAACAAATAAAAGTCTATGCTGCCTTGCCGATGCCTCGTCATATGAACGGGATCCCGACGCCTACCCTCCTCCGGTACTGGACGTAGTCGTCCCCAAAGAAGCGCACGAGGAACTCCTCCTCGTGCCTGATCCTCGCCGAGAAGAAGCGCCACAGCACGGCGGCGTAGGCGCAGAAGCACACGACGTTGCCGAGCACGAGCTGCGTGCCGAGCGCCCACCAGAAGAAGCCAAAGTAGCTCGGGTGCCGCAGGTAGGCGTACACGCCCGACGTGACGAGCACGTGCGAGTCGCGCTTCTGCTGCTGCACGATGTGGTTGAAGCTCCGCCCGGCCTCGGCCATGGCGAGGCTGCGCACGGCCTGGCCGACGAGCACGAGCAGGCCGCCCGCCGCCACGAGGAGCGGGCCCGCGCCGGGGAGGAGCGGCGCCGCCAGGTCCCGCGCCGGCCAGACGAGGGCGACGAGCAGGCACTCGAGCGCGGCGGCGGCGTGGGCGACGGCGTAGCCCGGCCAGTTGGCGCGCAGGAGGAAGGACGAGACCTTGGCGGCGGGGGCGTTGTAGCGGGCCGTGGTCCAGAACTCGAGGAAGTGGAAGGCCGCGAGGGCGGCGAGGAACAGGGGCAGGCGGCCGAGGCGCGGGGCCGAGGGGCGCGCCGCCAGGAGGAGGTAGGCCGACAGGGACAGGCCGAGGGCGGCGGTGAGGCCGAGGCAGAAGGAGCGCAGGGCGATGCCCGCGAGGGACCTGGGCCCGTCGGGGTCGTAGTCGCGGGCGGCGGCGGCGGCGGCGGCCTCTTCGAAGGCGCGCTGCTGCTGATAGAAGGCGGCTTCGGTCGTGAGCAGCGGTGGGCTTTCGGAGCGGCGGTTGTCAGCTTGTTGACCCGAGAAGGGCGGTGGTTCTGCGGAGGAGGTGGTGCGGGAATCGGCGGAGGGGTGGGGGAGGAGGTCGGGCATTGTGGTTACGAGCTTGAACATGCGCATGAGGGTGGGCGTGCTGCGTGATAGACTGGTAGAAGGACGATGAAGAAGGGACAATGTATCTGAATGTTCGAGGTGCAAGTCCCAATGTCTCTGTTCCAAGAGCAATGTACCAGATACTGTGATCTTTATAAAGGAAAACCGCTTGCTCTTACCTCCCGTTCCCACGGCCGGGATAGCCCTGATCCGGAGGGCTATCCATTGTGCCCTCGGGCTTTCTCCGTTTTTAAGACACGAATTCGACGGAAGCAAACACAGAGTTGGAGGTAGGAGGCCGGAAGGAGAAGTTTTCTGTGATGTGGTGCTGCTGTTTGCTTCCAGGACAATAGGGAGCCGCCGATTGTTTCTTTGTTGGTTTGATGCCGATATCAAAGTAGCGCCCGAGGGGGTCAAGTTTAGTTGTTTGCCGAACGGAGCTCCCTGTAGCTACGGGGTCCAATCAGGCGGAGTTTGCAAATGTAGCAGTGACGCAGGCCCTGAACTCAGAAGCCCCGGCCCCTCCAGACAGCAGCTCATCACCCCACAGCACAGGCGGATTAGGCGGCGCTGCTGAATCGAGGGAGGTTCAATTACAAGTACAACACTGCCTCACTTGTGGGTGGGGCTTAGAAGATCGATTGACAGGATCAGGGCAGAGACGCGAAAACGATACGAGGCAACATTAGCTGCACCTTTCAAACACTGAACAGTGTGCCTTGGTGCATCGATTAACATTTTGCTCACGCATATTCTCATGTTGTGGTCTTATCCGGACTCACTCCGTGGCAGTATTCCGTGTTGGTAGAGATACGCGGGACTATTCCTTACAACCATCACCATGGCGGCTCGAGCACCAGATGGGAAGCCAATTGACCCTGTAGAGAACAAGCGCCGGATGCAGGCTGGTGAGCTCTATTACTGCTTCACCCCGGAGCTGATCGCCGAACGTCGAAGGTGCAAATCGGCATACCAGCGCTTCAACGCGGCGGGCGACGTCTCTCGCAGGGAGTATCTTGAACTCTGGAAAGAGTAGGTGGCCCTGACACACAGTCCCCTGAAGCAGGGCCCTGCTTAACCTCAGCTTGCTTGCGTGTAGTCTCGTCAACGACACGTCCCCGCTTCCTCCACCCGCTGCCACCCCGGAGGAAGACGACGCTCTGCTGGAAGATTTTCCCTGGGTGGATGGGCCGACCAGGATGGACTATGGATATAATGTCAAGTAAGGCGTATATCCCCATGGTTGGTGTCGCTACCCAATGCCATTTGCTCAGAGCCCAGCGTCGCAGACTCGGAAAGAATGTGTACATCAACACAAACAACACCTGGGTCGATACTTGCCCCATCACTGTCGGAGCGCGCACCCTCATGGGGCCCAACTGCTCCTTTTATAGTGGCACGCATCCCATCGACCCTTTCCTTCGCAACGGCCTCCGCGGCCCCGAGAGCGGCGCGCCGATCAACATTGGCGAGGACTGCTGGCTGGGAGGAAATGTCACCGTCCTCGCGGGTGTAACGATCGGAAGAGGCACCACCATCGGCGCCGGCTCGGTCGTGACCAAGGATATCCCGCCTTTTGTGGTTGCAGTCGGCAACCCGGCAAGGGTTCTGAAAAAGATCGACGCCCCCGAGGCTCAGAAGGCAGAGGCTGAGATCTTGACTGGCGAGAGTTTCAAGAGCACTTCATAGGCCGCCTTGTATAGAGAATGAGGATATGATGAGCACCAGAACATTGATCCAGCCCCAGATGAACGGTATCCAGGTCGACATCCAGAAGTAGCCGGCGTTGTAGACCGCACCGAGGCTGGAAATTTGTGATGTTGTTAGATGTTTGTCTCCGATGAGAACATGACCAGAGAGACGAGTAATGATTACTCACACCAAGCCGACGATGCTGCCGGCAAATAAAGCCTCGACGCCGGCCACGATACAGTATATTATGGGAACGCTTCCCATGTAAAGCCAATTCGTCTGCTTGTTCCCGATTTGCATGGCCAGAGCAACGCTGGCGCATATCAGATGGACAATCGCAAAGATGGTAATGGTCCACAGCAAGGTGAAGCGCCAGATATCAGACAGATAGTAGAGGCTGCCATCTAGCTGCTGTGTCTGCGGTGGCCAGTAGAGCGCCGGGAAGGGCGGCGTTACGTAGTCGGCCGGGGGGTAGCCGACGATTCGCGACATGTTGACAGGACTGCGAGTGAGAATATGTTCTCAGCTCAGCGGTAACTCGTGATTCCGTGCGCCGGACCGTGTGTGCAAGGCGCTGGTCGGCAGCGCCAACGCTTCGGGGTCGGGCTGTCAAGGCTGCATTCGTCTCCGAGCTCGAGGTTGAAGGAGGTGCTGTGTTTGTGTGAAGATCGTCAATATGCATGCTCCAATCCAATGCTGTCGTTGTCGAGCCTCCAAATTTGGGGGCGAGTGGATCTCTCTTAGGGTGCCCGTTTGGCGGGATCCATCCATGGATGGGTGCTTTGGGGCCTGCCAAGCCTAACATGCGCGCCAGGTGTGGAGGTTATTAGGTGCTGTACCTACTGTCCCTTGCCTCGGCAAAACGTCACACCAGTCACGACTTCAGGTGACAGCGACTGCGATTCAGCCGAGCTTGATCAACATCTCGCATCTCAACACCCTGCAGCGTCAACTTTCCGAACCCGTTCCCAATCATTGCCCTCTAGCAATGTGTGCAATTCCATCATTTAACATCTGAGAGCAAGTCGCTACGCAATCTCGGCCTCCTTGAGGGTGACCATGTCGTCGTTCGAGCGCCTGCTCGGGACGGTGCTCCGCCTCTACCAAGACGTCCACGACCAGGCAAAGACAGACCAGATCCTCGGCACCACCACGACGCTCCTGACGCATCTCTCGAACCCCCTCAACCTCTCTCTCCTCACCTCGCACTTCCTCACGGCACCAGCAATATGGAACCGGCCCGATCCGGGTCTGCGCACCTGTCTGCGCCTGATCAGCATCTTCAACACGGCCGCGATTCACGTGCGCCGCAACGAGCTGGACGCGGCAAACCAGCCCCGAACTACTGCGTCCGCCGCCCCCGTCGGTGGAAACGTGAGTGGTAGTGGCCTGTCTAGTGAGGCATGGGCCAGAGCTGTGGTCAAAGGCGCCGACGATCGTTCCGCTCGATGGCAACATCTCTTGATTCTCACGGGCATGCTCATGGGCCTCGAGGGCGAGGAACGCCGATCGCTTTCCCAGGGGATGCGACACACACTCGAGGAGGCAGTGGTCACGGCGGCAAATCTCGCGCTCAAATCGCAGGGGAGAGATGGTCCCCAGGCTTCTGGGGCCGTGGTGCTGGCCCTCAACTATGCGTTTCCGCTGTTGTCGGAGCATTCCCAGAGTCTGATCGACTGCGATTTGCTGTTGCCGGTAGCAGTCGCATCAATGATAGGCCCTGATGGCTTTCATAATGGCATCTTTCTGGGACACATCAACACGGATATCAGGCATGCCAATCAACAAATCCATTGGCATAGTTCATCGCCGTCGTTCCAGGCGCTGAAGCAGCTCTCATCCAATCCCTTAGTTGCGGGCGCAGGTCCCTTGTCAAGGCTAGTCGCATTTGCGATCGAGCGAGCCCACGACCCCAAAATTGTCCTCGCTGCTCAGGAAGCGCTCCTCACCTTTGCTCGTACCCTCGAACACCAGTGGAATGTCAGCGGGAACCTTGCGACTCTAGAGATATCTCTACAAAGCACCGCTCTAGGCCCCGAGACTGCGGCAAGCACTTGGCCAGTGCTGTGGCAGTTGTTGAAGAAGATACTCTACTCGACAGTCATGGTCCTGCAGGCTGTCGTTACCCGGTCGTTGCTCGACCCTCGTCTACGCAGTGCTGTGACTGAGACATCTCTGGCTACGAAATCTCTTCACATATTCCGACACTTGTACTTCATATCCTCCAACCACGGCGCGAATGCGTTCCAGGTCTACACTTTTACGTATCTGGCCTCGATCGACACTCTTGTGCGCTATCCGGAGGCTTCTGCTGCTTTCCTGCGAGAGATCATGCCGCACATCACGGGGCCCGGCACCGGTAATCCGGTTCGCCTGACGTCTGAACTATTCTACCTCAATCTCGCCGAGCACTTCTCGCTGGTGCTATCGCCCGAGGTATGCGACGCTCTGATAGTGCAGCCGGCTATGTTGTACTTGTCTCCCTCCGAGACTACACATCCTTCTATCGCCATGTCGCCGCGAATGATCGATCTGTTCGAAGCTGCTCATAGCGCCGTCCTGTCAGTAATGTCGTGCCCTCAGAATGCTGCCATCACCACGAGGCTGGCGCCCTTCTATGCCGAAGCACTGTTCTCGTCTTTCCCGTCGCATATATCGCCGAGACAGTTCCGTGTGGCCTTCAAGACGATGATGCAGATCTTGTCACCGCCGTTCCCCATCTCGGCGACTGACCCAGAGCTGGCGGAGACCCTCTTGGAGATGGTCCGTATCAAGGCTATGGCAGCTGCCACGGCGCCTCTGCCTCCGACGGCTGATGAGGAAGCTCAGCAGGCGCTCGGGCATGTGCCAGCGCCGACATCCGAGCAGAGCGCGCTGGTCCTGACCATGATCGACGCGCTGCCTTTCCTGGCGCTGGATATCGTGGAGGAGTGGATGACGGTGACGGCCGAGACGGTGTGGCAGATTGCAGACCCTGCCATGAGGGAGGCAGCCAAGAAGAGATTCTGGGACATATTGGTCAGCGGCGAGATGGACGTGGAGAGAGCGGCAATCGGGGTTGCGTGGTGGGGGACCAAGGGAGGAGGAGCGCTGGTTCTCCACGGCCCGGCGTCTGGCACAGCGCATGCTCAAGACCGCTTTCTCATGAGCGGTGCTCTACCGGCGCAGCGAGACACGACCACCGGCAGTAGACTGTGAATGGCAGCTAGCTATGTCATGTACATAACTGGTACAATACTACGCCTACTACCAAGCATACGGAGTACATACCCAACTTGTGTGATTTGTACTATTCTCTAGAGTAGAGTCTCCGTCCTATCTCCCAGGCTTGGAGCTACGAGATCACAACCCATCCCAATCCATCCCACCATGGCGTCGTATAGAGTGCACAGTCTGGAAATTGCCGCGCAATCTACAAGTAGCTGGTCACCCTTACTGCCCTTGCCCAGCTGAGCAGAAGGGCACCATGTGGAGGCAGGCTGTCTGGTTAGTGGTCCGCAGCTCCCCAGGCCCGCAAACCCTTTCCCCGCCGAGATCATCATGCAGCACTAGTCCTGCAATGCGTTCTCTTAGACAGGTTTGTCCAAAGCTGGATCCTGGTAAAGCTGCGTACCAAACCAGCTTGCCAGCTCCCACCACACCACCCATCCATCGACTGGAGAGAGACCTGCATTGCCCGTTCTGAGTACGACGTTCTTCGCATGTTGTACGGATCCTGATCAGTCCCAAATGTACCCCTGATCCCGGTCCATTGGAGCTCCATCGACCGAACCCCAATTGACCCATGACGCGATCTTTCCTTGCAAATCTGGGAACCACTTGAACCCTTTCTTGGCACCGTCTCGACCCCGAAGCAGACGGAGAGCCCTCCGCTCCCGCTCATGTCTTGGCTTTCGGGGGCTTGGGGAGGCGGCGATGCTTTGCGCCAGGTTCGCTTCTTCGTTGACATGCCGTGCTGAAGAACGTCGATCTGGGCCCTGCCCTGCTGACGCCATGGGTCCATGTCTTGTTTTCAGACTGAGACCATCTCCCCCATCGCCACCACCATCAGGAAAACCAAGCTGAAGAGTGTCCTTTTCCCTGATGGAGGTACTTTTGCATGCAAGATTCCTAATGCAGTCGAGCGGAGAGCGCAGGTAGCTACATGGCCGGGTCCAGGTAGCTACTCCGTACCTCAACCCGTAGTGCGCCCCCGGCTCGGGCGACGTGATGTCAACCCTCCTTCCCCTGCCAAGTACAACGACCCTCAGCTGCCGGGTCCCAGTACCCGAATCTGATATGGCAGATCACTCCCTCGCTGAGGTACCGTACCCATCGCCAACTCCGGGACGGGAAGTCCTCATACCCGTTTTACCATGGCAACCTCCTCCCTCCAGAGACAACCTTCATTGGAGTCCACCCTACCCGGCTGGGCCGATTGACGCCATCTCATCTCACCATTGTGCCCACAGTCGGCATGTTGCGATCCAGAACAAGGTTCGGCCATGGCTGCGCACCCCAAGCCGTGTGACGTAGAAGCCTCCAGTCTACCCCTCTCCCTCCTGCACAGGATCACGATCGTGAATAAGAAGCTGTCCTTTCCCCTCCCCTGCCCACCCTTCTCCTACGCGTCCCTTCTGGTCTTTCCATCCACAGTTTCCATTCACTAGCACACCTACACACACACACACACACACACACCCTAATCACAACCAAAGACCGAGTCTACACCATGTCCTACAACGACGATTCCAGCTACGGGTCTAGCGGCCGGCAGCAGGGTGGAAATAGCTTCGGAGGCGACGATAGCTATGTAAGTGGCCTAGCTCTAGCATTCCCAAACCTTCTCTCTGAATGCCATCGACTAACAACAAGGGTAGGGCTCGTCTGGACGAGGTAGCGGTGGAAATAACTTCGGAGGCGACGATAGCTATGTATGTGGCCTAGATCTGGCACTGCCAACCCTTGTGAGTATCAACAACTAACAAGGAATCGACAGGGCTCCTCCAACCGCACTGGCGGCTCGGATTCGTATGGATCTAGCACCGGAGGGGTAGGGTCTGATTCGTATGGGTCGTCCCGGCAGACGGGAGCGAGCACTGGGGGCCGAGGCTCCGATTCGTATGGATCTTCCTCGGGCAACGACGACAGCTATGGCTCCAGTGGCCGAACTGGTGCCAGTGACCAGTACGGGTCATCCGGGCGCACCGGAGCCAGCTCTGGGGGCCTAGGCTCTGATTCATATGGGTCTTCCTCGGGCAACGACGACAGCTATGGCTCCAGTGGCCGGACTGGTGGCTCGGATTCATATGGGTCATCCGGGCGCACCGGAGCCAGCTCTGGGGGCCTAGGCTCTGATTCGTATGGGTCTTCCTCGGCCAACGACGACAGCTATGGCTCCTCCAACCGCACTGGTGGCTCGGACTCGTATGGGTCGTCCGGGAACACCTATGGATCGTCGGGCAACAACAACAGCTCCTCCAACCGCACTGGTGGCTCGGATTCCTATGGGTCGTCCGGGAACACCTATGGATCGTCGGGTAACACCTATGGATCGTCGGACAACAATAACAGCTCGTCGGGGGGCGACAGCAAGGTCGGCAAGTTCCTCGAGAAGGCCGGCCAGGTGCTCGGCAGCGACAACCTTCAGAGCAAGGGCCGGGACAGGCGGGACCAGGCCGGCGACGACTACTAAGTGCCGAGTGCTGTCAAGCGGTCCTGTTTCTCTCTCGCCGTCGCGGGCAGGAGGTCTTTCTTACACGACGTGTGTGTATTAGGCTGTGATTAATGCGAACTTGGTCATGAAACGAAAGAAATGTAGACACGTGCAGAAAGTGTAAATCGGCGTGATGATGTGTTTTGATGCCGGCCCTCTCGAGAAAGATGGCTTCCTACAAGTGATGGGCAGATTCGTTGACGTGCTGCCGACAGAAGTACTTGGCTATCCATCAAACCCAGACGGACGGACGGATAGCTTTTCGCAAGTCCCAGAGCAAGGAGGATGTGCATTGTTAACATCAAGGTAAATCCTGCCGAGCTTCCGTCAGCTATTCTCCCACGCTTGTTCGTGTAAGTCTCGGGATCACGCTCTCTCATTGCGGTACGACCAACTATGTACAAGAAGAATTGAAGAGCCCATCCCACCCCGGAAGTCAATGCAACCAACCACCCATGCAGGTCTCGGACTTATGAATTTCCCTCTGAAGTCATTCCTCAAGCAATCACAGGCACTACATCGCGGCGGAGACAAGGTCAGCACATCCGCACCCAACGCATCTCTCCATAACGGCCGAAGGAGAAAAGGAAGAGAAGCGAAAGCTCACCTGCGAGTAGTACTCGTTCTGCGCCGTGCACCTGGTGCCCGGCTCGCAGAGGAACGGCCCGTTGAAGTTCCTGCCGCCGCACTGCCCGTACCTCTTGGCGGCGCGGTTGTCGGGCAGCGCGAGGATGCGCTCCGAGGCGCGCTCGGCGGCGATGACGATGTACGACGTCGGGTTGGTCGTCACCATGCCCGGGAAGATGGAGGCGTCGACGACGAAGAGGTTGTCGGTGCCCCAGACGCGCGCGTCGAGGTCCACGACGGCCGTGCCGCCGTTCAGCCGGCCGTCGTCGCTGCCCAGCTTGGCCGTGCCCATCCAGTGGTTCGCGCGGCGGTTCGAGTACGAGACGAGCATCTGTTGGCCAGTCTCGTCAGAGGTTATATCACCGGGCAGACAAGGCGAGGTTTGGTGGGGGGTTGTGAGTGGTAGGATGGCAGGAGAGAGACGAGGGGAGGAGGACACTTACGTTGTTGACAAAGTCCTCGACGGTGGTGTTGGCGTCGGGGTAGTTCCAGGTCAGGTTCTTGACGTTCCTGAGCGCGGCCTGCAGGTTCTTGATGCCCTGGATGACGGCCTCGGTGTCGTGCGGGTCACGCAGGTAGGGCACGGTCGAGACGACGGTCGACAGCGCAGGCGTGATGGTCATGCGCCCGCGCGAGGTCATGCCGCGGCCGAGGTACTGGCTCATGGTCATGGCCTCTGTTGTTGAGGTGGCTGGTCAGCGATGTTCACAAATCACACATACAGCTTGCGCCAGGAAGAAGACGTACTTCCGTTAGGTACGCCGGCGCTGCCCTCGGCTCTAGCAGTCCAGTGGAGTTGCCTGACGATGCCATCGGAGCCCTTGATCTCGTCCCAGAAGCTGTGGAAAGGGGTCGGGTCAGTCCAGAAACTTGCTTTGTGCTTCAGGAGTGCGATGTACTCACATAGGACCAATGTTGGGAGCAGCCTGGGTGAGGATACCGGTGCGACCATCTGCGCCGAGATTGATTAATTCTCTGGGCGAGATGAAAACAAGCCCGACTTGACTTACTCAGGTAGTGATCCTTGTCCGACGGGATGGGATCAGTGTAGGCCTGGTAGAAATCATAAAAGACCACGTCAGGGTGGGAGACAACAGTGTCAGTCTATGCCTATCCGTCAGTGACCGCGACATTTTCCCCTATATGATCGATCGTCAAGGGGAACAAACTCACGTTGGTGTGATCAATAAGATTATACCCAACAGGCAGGTCGATCCAGCTCTTCTGGTCGATCATCGTCGACCCGTCCGCCGACGAGTTCTGGACGACCTGCAGCTGATCCTTGGGGCCGATGCCGCTCCGCATGAGGATCTTGGCGCTGCCAAAGGTGCCCGCCGAGAGGACGACGCGGCCAGTGACGGCCGTCAGGTTGACGGTGCCGACGTACCCGCCGTCGCGGAAGGCCTCGACCTCGAGGCCCGTGACGTGCCCGCCGTCGCGCACGACGCGCCTGACGGCCGTGTTCATCCACAGCTTGAAGTTGGGCCGCCCCGCCGCGCTGACGAGGTACGTCGCCATGGGCCCGCCGCGCTCGCCGTGCGCAAACATGTAGGGCGTGCGCGCGAACGTGCGGTTCTTCTGGCCCGGCGCGTCGTTGGCGCTCACCTGCCTCCAGCCGCCGGCCGCGAGGCCGCCGGCCAGCACGTCGAAGCCCTCCTGGATGTAGACCTTGCCGTCGGCCGAGGGCGCGTCGGTGCCCGGGATGCGCGAGAAGACGCGCTTGGTGGCGGCGGCCATGTCCGACGCGCGCCAGCCGGCCGGGAAGTCGGTGTCCCAGTCCAGAGTGTAAGGCTACGGGGTTGGATTACAGTCAGTCAGCATACATTGCTACGAATGTCATAGGAGAAGGAGAAGGGGGGGGCCGCTTGAGCGAAGTCACTAACCTTCCACCAGAGACCAGCGTTGATAGCAGCACCGCCACCGAGGACGCAGCCAGCCATCTGGTCGGTGTCTGTGCAAGCAATGCCCGTCGAGTCGACCCAGATCTGGTTGCAGAGACCGGGGACATCGAACCTCGTGAGGTTGGTGCCGTCCAGCCACGTCGGCTTAAGCTTACCGCCCCATCGCCCGGAGGAAGGGAACCCCTTCTCGATGAGCAGCACGCTCTTGCCGGACTCGCTGAGCTTGTCCGCGATGGGGATGCCAGCAGCGCCCCCGCCGACCACGACGTAGTCGAACGTGGTGCCGGTCGGGACGGGCGTGGCGGCGATAGAGGTGGTGACGGGACCACCGCAGCTACCCGTGACCGTCTTGGTCGCGAGGGCAGCCCAGGCCGTGTACGAAGGGTTGGCGACGTCCTTGTTCAGCTGGCCTCCCCAGATGCCCTGGCCGTTGTCGTGCTGCAGCAGGGTGATCTGCTCGGGGCAGCTGGGGTTTCCCGGCGCGGGGAAGGCCTGGGACCAGCCGAGAACCAGAAGGGACTTGCTGGTCGAGGCCTTGCCACTGCTGCCGTTCATGCTCCAGGCCAGGCAGTTCTGGCACCGGAAGATGAGGGTGTAGTGGCTGTCGGTGATGGTCGAGGAGATCTGGGTGAGCTTGGCGTTGCCGGTGTAGACATCTGGCATGCTGTACCCAGAGGAGTAGCGGAACGAGGTCAGGATCTTGCCATCGTTGGGCCAGGCCATGAGCAAGAGGTTATTGGTCATCGGGCCGCCTAGAGACATGCCACACCAGCCAGTCTGTTTTGCATCCTTGGAGGAGCATTGCTGTAGAGTTCTATTTAGCCTCTGCTCACCCGATGGTCCTGAAAGTATTCAAGTCATACCAGATAACCGATGAACTCGGTAGCATCAACAGAGAGGGCGTCGGACGGCAGTGCCACACCAAAGGTCAGGCCGCCCTTGGTCGAGCTCTCAGGGACGGACCATGTGTTGAAGATGATGCCAGTATCCGCATCAGTGAAGGTTGTGGGCGTTGAGCTCTGTGCAAGGGCAGAACCGAAGACTAGGGAAATGTTGTTAAAAAGGGATAATAGTAACGCAACAACGGACGGGGACACTTACACGATACCGCGGCTAGAGCAGCCGTCAAGACTCGGGAAACGGCCTTCATGATGTCGACCCGGACGCGAAGTTCAGTATCCCGTGGATGTGGAGGGAAAGGCGTTGAGAAGCACGAGAGCTCATCTCGACGGAATCGAGGCGGCAGGCCCTCAATTTAACGTTGCTCACGGCAGGCCACCTCTGCAAGGTCCGGGGTGGCCCGCTGGGGAGGACCATGCGTAGATCTTTCCATGCTGGAGAAGTACAAGTAGGCAATTCGGGGGACAGGGCAGCGAGGGCGGCAATTCTCCGACAGGTGGGAATTGGCTCGAGGTCACCCTGTCACGGAGCTGGAGCCAGAGTCCCCAATGTAACCGTCAGGGAAAGTAAGCATGGGTAAGCACCGGAAGTGGGAGACAAAGAAGGACAGAGGCTCCGTCGCTGCGGAGAAGTCGAGAACACGGGAGCGACGGGATCGAGAGGTCGGCCACGCTGCACGGCGCATGGACCGATGAAGCGGGCCAAGGCAGTTTACGACAAGAACAAGATCATCAATGCCAAGCATCCGACCGTGTCCGCCCAGGCCCAAGGGTTCCTGGCCAGCCGCGACCTCAGTCTTGGTCGTATCAGCGAGCCCGTCTCACCAAGCAGGCTGCCGTGTGTGCTCCCAGACACCTGGGCTCGCCCTTACCAGGTTGTGTGCTCTTTGATTCTTTGTGAGAGAGTCTTCATTTCATGGACAGTCCCCCTCGGAAAGGCCAGTATTTTCAGGTCCATCCCAACACCTGGAAGAGGAAACAGGAAACACGCCGATCTGGGTTCGGGCCAGCAGCCAGTAGATTGCGAGTGATTACGGATGGATCTTCCGCCATACCGTCAACCTGGGTAGCCTACCCCTGTAGGTGCAAAGCGCGCAGTTGCATCGAGAGATGGGGGGGGGCACTGCGGCAAAGCCCTCGCACATGTCTACCCGCCGCCGCCAATGATACCTGCTTGCGGCCCAGGCCACGGCAGGCGGGTTGCTGACACAGGCCGCTGTGAGATCTACGCACGACAGTGCAGTCGTCAAGGTCCATGGTGTCCGTCGGACCAGACTTTGGCAGTTGCGAATCTTGAGAATGCCGGATCACAACGGCTAGAAGGCGAGGAGTTGATAGATGCTTGAGATAAGAGCAGGTAAGCAAGATTTGTTGATCTGCGGCTAGCCAGACAGGCTCTCTGAAAGTCCAGGCCCTGCCAAGCTGGACTCCCCATCGTGAAGCTGCGTAGATCTTGGCGCCCTATGACCAGGAAGGTAGGTAGGATCGATATGTAGGTACAGTCATCCGTGTGTCTTATGTACGGCGCGAATAATACAACATCGCCGTTGAGACCCCGCCGCTAGGAAGCTGGGACCCCGGCCTTCCACGACCATCTTGCCGCTCTCCCGCCGCCATTCCCCAACCGTCAGGCACGGGGGACTGCTCTCCGCATTCTCGCTTCCAATCTCCGAATCGCTAGACCACCCCATGTTCCTCTTCAAGTCGTAACTAGTCACTACATCCAGAGGATCGGGCCTACTTATGTCTTTGGGCATCCTCAAACCATCAGGCCGCGAGGATATCCGGTCACATCACACAAGGACTGTACTTGTAGATCACTGCGCCGCCTGCACGCCTCGCTTCATTCAAAGGTATCGCCTGCTGTTCTGTCTGGCCTTGTGATAAATTGAGACAAATTTTCACACGTTCACTGCAAGCAAAACACTGTTTTCTGATAGAAATGATACTTGGATTAACACCACAACAAAAACGTATTCGTATTCATTCTTTAAAACCGCAACACCTTTTGACACCCAACCTGAAAACGCCTATGTACTATTGTTTTTGCAGCTTTTGCGCGCAAAAGGAGTGGTATCCCATGCTCATGGCCCCTTGATGGCCCACGAAAAGTTGAAACATTTCCCAGCCTGTCCAGAACCTGCTCTCGTCATATCATTGGAAATAGAGCGCGCGGAGTGCAAACCCCCCAAAACAACAGAATGCATGCAGCCATCATCAACCCACACCGTAACTCAAGTGTCAAAGGCGAGAAACGGACTATGTACAGGATATCTTCACCAAGGAGCACCGGATAATCTCAATCTAGTCGGCAGCCATCCGGAGCGAGGGGTACAATGGCCGCTCGGCGGGCTTCTCCTTGTGCGAGTCGATCGACATGGGATCGTAGCGATGCTGCTCCCTGGTCTCTTCGTAGTCGTGCCTCTTGAGACGATCCTTGACGTACTCGCGGAGGTACTCGATGAGCTTGACGTTCTGCACCCAGGTCTCATAAGACTCGGGTTCGCTGCTCGAGTCCGAGGCGTCGGAGGGAGAGCTGACAGACGACATAGCGGACTCGCTAGCCTTGGGGGTGGTAGACCTCTCCTCTCTGCCGTGTCGGCTGGCAGCCTGGAGCATGCCACCAGACAGCCGGCGCTCGATAGGGTTGAAGCTAGATCCCAGGGTCGAGGTCGGGGTTGAGCCGGGATAGGCGACACTGGTCACAGCGGGGAGGCTGGGATAGGCGACGGCAGTGGTGGACCCATGGCGAGAGCCTGGCGACAAGGCCGAGGAGGACGCGCCTGGCGAGTGACCAGAGGTGTAGGACATGCTGCTGGACGGAGGAGTGACGGCAGGAGAGCCGCTATGGGATGAAGAGACAGCCGTGATAGGAGACTGGATATGGGCAGCCGAGACGTTGGCAGCGTAGTGGTCGCTGACGATGGTGGGGCGTGCAGCGGGCGACTGGTGACGCATGTCGAAGCCGTGAGGGTAGTGCGGGTTCGGGGGCGAACCAGAGTTCTCGTAGACGGTGGTCTGCATCTGCTCCAGAATCTGATCGATCTGCGTGAGATCATCCTTGGTGCGCAGACTGGGCATGGGAGGCAGATAGTAGTGCTGAGCCAGTGGTCCTGCGTGGGAGGGAGGGCCGCCAACAGGCACGACGCTGGGAGGTGGCGGCGCTGCCATGTACTCTGCGCCTAGGCCGCCCGTCTGCATGGCCAGAGCCCCGTGCAGGGGAAGCAGAGACCTGCCGACCTGGGCGTAGGAGGACGGATCGACCTGGCGGCGCTTGGCGCTGCCGAAGAAGTCGTTGAGGTCATCGAAGCCACGCTTGCGGGCATCATAGGCAGCTGCCTGGTGGCCGAGGTAGTCGCTGCGGGGGTTCAGGGGCTGCTGGAAGTACAGAGGACCTCCGTAGGACGGGGCAGGCTGGGAATAGTAACTAGCGTGTCCGTTGGGGTGCGGCTGACCATAGGCGGCCGTGTTAGTACGAATGTGGCCATTGTGGTCATAATAGCTGGAAGGAGCTGCGAGGCGTATTAGCCTCCAATTGAAATAATAATTTGAGCAGACGGAAAATGCCCGGACGAGGGGAGGAGGAGTGAAGAGAGTGTAGGGGAGGGCCTGCAAGGAACAGTGTATACATACCTTTGCCGGGATGGGTGCGGTAGGCGCCGCCGAGACCGACGCTCTGGTCCTGAGGAGAGCGGCCGTTGAGGACCGAGTCATCGGCATGGGTCTTGACATGCTTCTTCAGGTCCTGGGGACGCTTGAAGGACTTGCCGCAGAAGTCGCACTTGTGCGGCTTGAGCGGTACATGGACACGGATGTGAGAGGTGATGTGATCACGCTTCACGGTGGTGGTGCGGCACGAGTTCCATTGGCAAGTCAGGTTGAGGTTATTTGTGCTCTTCCTGCCGACATGGCGCTCGCAGATGTGGTCCTGGGGGGCCGGGTCAGTGTTGTGCGCGTGAGTGAGTGAGTGAGTGAGTCAAGGGCTCGACTTACATAAAGGGTCTCGGCAGCATTGAAGCGCTCGTTGCACTGGTTCCAGCGGCAGACGAGGCTGTCATCTTGGCTAGAGGTAGACTGCTGCGAGGTGGAAGTGGCCGAGGTCGACGGCGCGGGCGTGCTGCTGGCATTCGACGCGGCCGAGCTGACCGACTGTGCGCTGGAATCCTGGGTTTGAGTGCCGGTGGACGACATGGTTGCGGTTGAGAGAGGTGGTCTGTGCTCGATGCCAAGACCGGGGCCGTCTTTCTGGTTCGCTGAATGCGCTCTCTCTCTCGTCTTATGTAATGCAGGGCCAGTCCCGACTCGGTCCAAGTCGTGTGCCTCTGACAGAGAGCGATGACTGTTCCCAAGAGGGCAAAGTATATTACTGTGCTTTGATGTGATAGCTGGTGGGCGGGCTCTGGTTTTCTCGTAGCCACACACACACCCTCACGTATCGGCTTCAGGCACAGCACAGGTCGTAAGAATGGTGGAGTTTGGTCGTTAGCCTGGGCAAGACTGTGGAAATCCGGACCACGGTCGAGATGAAATACTTTTTTAGAAAAGAAGAAGAGCGTTGCGTCCCCCCCTTCTGGGGGAGAGAGCGAGAGAGAGCGTCTCATTATGTCTTTATTATGGCCTCTCACGGCTTGGGCGAGTCCTGGCGTGAGTCTTGGCAAATTCTCTTGGCAGTCGGGGCCTCGGACGCTCCCTGCCCATCATTGGCTGGCCCAGAAGTCAGTTGCCCGACCAAAGTCGCCCCTGATGGTGGGGTACCTGGTGCGCCTCGAGTCATAGCAGCGGTGCAAAAGTCTCTCCTAGCTGCGAGACTCGGAGTGCCAAGAAACGCCAAGACCATGCCAAGTCTTGGCATTGTTGGTAAAGTCTTGGCGTCGGTCCACTGCCTCACAAATGGAACCTCCCCAGGCGGACCCGGCCTGGCGAGCCACCACCACGGCCACCCTTTATCGCCTTCCATCATCGTGTCATCGTGTCCGGTCTCTCTCTTGTGAGTGTGTCACTCGCTCTCCCACCACTTTCTGTCTTCTTTTAGGCGGCTGGGATCCCCTCTCCCTTAGGTATCTCTTGTAATGCTCGCTCATCTCGGTCTGGGTTGGTAGCGGCCTAGCCCTTTTTTTTTTCCACTGTCCCCCCGCGATTGCCGGACTCTTTCTGTCGGGTCTACTTGGAGTTACTCCAGCCTAGCTAGGCGCCGCATAAGAGAAAGGTTGAATAAAGTGAAAAATACCTACCCATCAAGACCAACCAGGGAAGTGGAGAACCGGCTTTTGGTCACGTCAGATCAGAGACTGTTTTTCTACAAGTACTTGTTCCCTCATTCTTCGTCTGTCTCTACCGCTTACGGCAAGGTTCAACCTGTGACAAATGACAAGGCCGATCTTGGTCTCCCGGACCGGAGGCCATGCCTTCCTTGACCTCGTCTCTCAGTTCAGTGATATGATGATGTCCGTCGCTCTTGTTGTTGTTGTTGTTGTTATTCATCTTATCTATCCCGTTGCGGGCGCGTGCCTTTTTGCCCTTCGTAAACCGTTTCCCGAGCCCGTCCTCGTTTTGTAAACTTGCGCGCGCGCGGGAGGGCGCGTCCTCGACCACAACCACAAACCACCACGTGTGTGCGACTTACAAGAAGGCGATCAACAAGCACACAAGCACTTTGACCATCAGCCCGCCAAGGCCTTGTCCTCCGCCAGCCAAGACCCTTGGCAGGCTTGTCGTTTTCCCCTGGTGTTCATTTCTGCCGTCGAGGCGCCAAGAGAGAGAGCCAAGACCCAGGGGGTGGTGGGGACCTAAAGTCTCAAAGTTATGATTTGTCTCTTGTCATATCAGGTCTGCCAAATCTGTCTGTGTGCCCGGCGGGCTATGCACAGCCTCATCCACCCTCCTGGCTTGGCAATCCTGACGGTCGATATGGCTACCAAGCTACCTAGGTACTTGTACGTACTCCCGAAGCCGCCGAGCCTTTCTGACACCGAGTCCAAGAAAGCTTTGCATTCTCCATTTGTTCTTGGGACATACGCCGCGTATAGGTTCATGTTGCAGGGGGAGGGAAAAGGCCAAGTGTCGCAGTAGGCATCTTGTACTTTGTGCGTACCTACATACCTAGGCTGGGCTCAGCCATGTGTACGAGCATGCTCGTAACCAGCGAGGTGAAGAGAGCGCTCGACGTGGCTCGCCTTGCCATCTTGGGACACACCGTTTCGTGAGATTACTTCGGTTTAATCTCTGACCTACACGTATGTACAATAGTCGAGTAGCTACCACAGACTCGGGTTGCCACTAGCAAGAGAACAACCCAAGTAGGTACCTGATGTCGGCAAGTATACTTGTCTCGCCACACACAAGGCGCAACGGCCTCCCGATTGAACCCTTCTGATCGGGACCCCGGCCCCGTGACACGCATCGCTCACCACTAGCCCCTCTGTCGCCATTTCTTGGCCTCGGCTTGGCATATCATCCGACTTGGTGCCCAGGAAAAGCCCAGGAAAGCCCAGAAATGCCCAGCTTCGCCAGGACTGCGGAGAGCTTTCTCTTGGCCCAGTGTCCTCCCTTCTGTGGGAACTGGCTGCTCGGCTCCTGCATTTCAGCCATGTGCCGTGTCTTCCACGTCCGACCCAGAGTTGGTTGTTCGCTCACCCCAAGCATCCGTCCTCCCGATCCGCATGACTTGTTCTCCAGTCTGTCAGGGCACGAGGGGGAGGGGGAGATCAGAGCCTTGGCGGGCTGGAAGTGCCTCGGCGTTCCTTGGCCTGACGATCTAATGGTCCGGTTCAAGGACAAACGCTCCCACGTTTTATTTTACCCAGACTTTCACCGAGACGGTTCACCAGTCCATGGCCCGAGGCGGCCAAGTCAACGAACCACTGAGGAGGAATCCACGTGCGAACAAATAACGGACCAGTGACAACTGTGCAGACAAAAGTTTTGACGCTGCTGGAAGAAGATGATAAACGAATTGATATAAAAGACAATCGACTTGTGGCTTGTTCGAATTAAAAGTCTCATCTCAGGAGTAAAATGAAGCCGCGCGCAATAACAGAGCGCGCCAAGACGCAAATGAGATAAGCTTGTCTTCGTTCGCCCGCTCCTCCACATCGCCTCCTCCCATCAGATGCACGTCGGCGAGATAGGTAGCTAGGGATCTAGCCCTATCCATCTCCCCGCGAAGACTTAACCTGTCTTCTCCCCGCACGGAGAGTGCTTATCAGGTCAAGAACTGCCGAGGATGAGCCTGGGGGGGGGGGGGGGGGGGGGGGGGGGGGGGGGGACTCGTTCATACCGAAGGACGCAGCATGCCAACATGGATGTGCACACAGGCTCGAGGAGGGCAGCGTTCAAGAGAGGTTTGAGGGACGATCGCGCATTGACAGGCGATCAACAATGTCTGTTTCTTGCTTTGGGAATGAGAACAGAGAGTTTTCAAACACCCAGTAAGACTACAGTAGCTAAACCGGATCATCGGTCGTCCCTCCAAAAAAAAAAAAAAAGGGTGCGCAGCTTTTTTTTGATTTGGGAGTTCTGCTCCTCTTTCCGTCTTCGTATCAACTGAAGACTTCCCCCGTTCCGAAAGGCCTCAGGGGCCGTTTTCGCCTCCAGGTGCTTCCCCGAGCAACAAGCCCATCTCTCAAGCCCAAGGCCTCGTTCCGCAGAGACCAACGAAGGTTTCCATACCATGACCATGCCCATGCCCTCCTGTGCCGCCTCGCAACTTTGATGCAGGTTCCAAGAAGAAACAAACTGAACAGTGCCGCCCCCGCTCCCTCCCCTCCTGACATTATAAAAACCATAATTTCCAAATAGAATGGCCATGCGTTCCAGCTAGGCCAAAGAGCCAACACATTCGGTAACCCGCCCAAAGCGTCGTATTTTCCCTCCACATGCGTGTTGAAGTGGAGTCCATCCTCGATCCTTCCCAGCCAAAATAAAAAGCATAAATCATGAATTAAGTGATGTGAAGCGTAAAGGGGGTATAAAGTGGTAGTGTGTGCAGATAACTCTCATCCTCCAGGGTTGAGTAGAATGCGCTTTTGTCTTCAAGAGCGACCCTCCCGTTGACCAAAGATAGACCAAGACAAGCCAGGTCAATCCAGATCCGCAAAGAAATAGTGATGGCGAATAGCCCTCGTCCTTGTCCCTCTCTGAGAAAGCGAAAGGCAAGATGGTGACGAGCGGGAAGTGCAGCATCGCAAGGCTACGGATAGTAGCGAGCTGCTGTAGCCACCGAAGCGTTGCGAGCAAGACAAAAGCTCCATCGATCCCAGAGACGGAGAATTGTTGTATGCACGTTGAAATGTGCAATGTCGTAAAGTGCATAAAGGGGGGGTGTGGAAAGAAGAAAAGGACCGCTATTTCCAAGCCCGGCAAGACTTGTTTTTCCTTCCAAGTGACCGGGGAAACGCCGTGTGAAGCCCATTGTGTGAGAAGGAGCGATGCAAGCTGACCAAAAAGAGGGCGCCGCCTCGATCAGATAGGATGATGATGATGATGATTCCAAGTGCCGCCTGGCGCACCCCAACCAGACCAGGCACGAGAATAAGCCCCCCCAAGTCCACCCGATAGAAGCAAAAAAAAAAAAAATGCTGCTCGTATGTGTCAAAACGCCGGCCAATGCAAAGTTGTCTATTATACAGAACCCAGCCGAAGCAGGGCTTCGACTGCGTCGCGTTCCTGAGCGTCCGAGGCGACGCCCATGGGAGTGAAGCCAAAGTCGCGGGCCCCCAGAGGCTCGCGGGCCATGCCACCAAAGGCATAGGAAGCGGAGCGCATGCCAGGGCCCGAAGCATGTGCACGCGACATGAAACCCGGCTGTGCCGACTTGGAATAGGAGTTTGCGCGCAGGGCGGCCGCACCCATTGCGCCCCAGTCTTCGTCGTCGGTGGCATCCTCGGGGTCGTCGTTCATCATGACATCATCATCTGGAGCCTCCGAGCAGGAGGCAGAGGCTGATCCGTCCATAGACATCCTGTCCGCCTCGTGTTCCATCATCATGATGTCGTGATCGTCGTGCGAGAATGCCGCCGACTCGCCCGGGCTGGCTCGCCGTCCAGCCAAGCGAGCTCTCTCCGTGTTCCATCCAGAACCCTGAGTGATAGGGATCCCAGACGGGTGCGAGGTTGGGGACAGCCGCTCCGTGCTCGTTGCCCGTCGCGGCTGGCCCCGGCGTCGCGCATCCCAACGCCCCCAACCAACCTTCTCAAACTCCACGTCGCCTTCCAAGCCGCCACCTTCGCCGCCACTTCCTCGGCCTTCTAGCGCGCCGACCACCAGTCTCCTCGCCTTGGCAGGTGGTATGCCGGCGAAACCGGGAACCGATGTCGTGAGATAGCCCATGACATGGCGGATCGCGAGCGGGCCGTGGTTCAGCAGGATCTCCGGCAGGTGATACTTGGCGAGCATCGACGGGGTGATCGCGCCGGCAGAGTCAAAGGGGGGAGACCCGTACGCGCCGGCGTTGCCAGGCGCTTCGTGCAGGTCGAGGTCTGAGTCGATGGCTTCGAGCTTCGCCTTCTGCAGCTGGGCTTTGAGCCCGTGAGGAGGGAGGGCAGGAGAGATCGAGTTGGGAGGGGTAGGAAGGGGAAGAGGGTGAGCTCTCGTCACAGGGACGCTCCGGGCCGCTACACCAGCTAAGGTGTCTCGGGGGGAGGTCGCATGGATATCGCGAGCAGCAGATGCCATAGTTGCCATGTTGACAAATTTGGGGTCCGAGATTTGCTTCGAGACGTGTCTGCGACACAGAAGAATAGGTCAGAACGATGGGCGACGAGGAAGAAGGCGATGCGCGCCGGGTCGCGCGGTTGTGGGCGCAAGGGCAGGTCTCTGTCTGCCTTTGGGGTGTATGGTGTATGGGGGGATCGGCTGAGTCACTTACGCTACAGTCCGAAGCAAGATAGGCGTGTCGGAGATAGGCGGTTGGTTCTGATAGTGGATGATATCAGGGCCAAGAGTGGACAGGCAAGGATGGCAAAGCTGATGCGACTATCGTGCTGTGACAGGAGATGACTCTCGATATTGAATCGTGTGTATGAATTCGTCTTGTTTGTTGTCTTTGGGGATCGAGAGAGGGAAGGGGAGGGAGAGGGAGCGCAGGGGCGCCGTGTATTATGAAGGGCTGCTTTCGTCGAGTGCCAACATGACGGGGGGGGGGGGGCGCAAGTAGGCCCAAGCAGCCCAGTTTCCTTGCTTCCTGGCCTTTGCGACAATGGATGGATGACTGACCTGGGGGGTACCGGAAAGGGACGGGGCCAGCGAGAGACTCTATGGTGAAAGGGGAGTGTGGGAGGGTGGCGTGTGCGGATGAAAGAGGCCCCAGTCTCGCTCTCACGGAGTCGGTACGGAGTCGGTACGGGTGGGCTGGACTGCCCGGAGCGAATGACTAACACTAAAACAGGGCGTGAGCCTAGTGGGCATTTCTGGAACAGCTGATAAGGAAGAGAAGCCAGCCCTGTGCGAATGCCATTTGACTTCTACTGTGCCTCCATCGCCAGCCAGCATCAATCGCCAGCATCGCCCATGCCGTGCCATGTGCGTTCTACCTTAAAGAAGCTGACACCGACCGACAAGCAGTGGCTTGAACCTTCTTTGTCCAAACGGTTGGATTTGATTTCAACGGACCTACGATGTAAGCCTTGTCGTTTGTTCGTAAAGGCGAGGGACGAAACACAAAAAGCACCTGTAAAGTGAATTGTTACGCACAAATGGATCTCGCAATGGAGACCGGATTCTGGCTCCCGGCAGCGCATCCATGCACATATCAGAGAGAAAAGGGGAAAAGTACAGGGAGCCGTTCAGTAGTTTTTTCCCTCACCTCGCTAGTTGAGACAGCCCAGACAAATACTGGTCTGTGCTATATCATATCAAATTTGAGTACTCCGTAAGCCAAATAAGGGGAATTCGATGGAAGCAAACAGAGCAACAGCCATTCTCCTTTTGCCGTCCTCTCTGGCATAGGTGCCATGCCTACACTTTCTTTTCATCTTTACTGTATGTAGACCGAACGTTCAGGGCAGTCATGTAATCAGCCCTAACAAAGGATGACTGTTGTAACAGGCACAGTGCCCACATCTTCCACCTCGACGCATCGTCGATTCGTCGGTCAGCCGGGCGTGGACAGGATTTGATGCATTCACACTCTCCTCCGTCGTTCCCTACCCTTCTGCCCGGGGCGTCACGGTAGTTTCCAAGCCGCGAGGAGAAGGCGCATCTAAATTGTGCACGCGTTGCAGCGCGCGTTGTGGGGGGAGGAAACGATCCATCGATGCTCCCTCTGCTCCTAGCTGCTCACTACTGCCCAGACTGCGGAGCAGAGGCGTGAGGGTTAGCATATCGCGGGGAGCAACTGCTAGCCACAGACAGGCGCTGGTGGGCGCAAATGGAATGCCTGATTGACTGAATTCCATGAGACGCTGTTTCGCGCCAAGTCTTCTTCCAGAACCCACTGTGGGTGGCCCTTGCTCCAGTCATTGACTTGACGACCAAGAGGGCAAATACGGTTCACGGTGAGCAAGGCAGTATCAGGTCAGATTTACTATTCATAGACTAGAATTATGGTTCTTCTTGTTTGTGCGCGCACATCTGACACAACGGATTTGACCTGCGTCATCATCGCCCAAGGAGCCCATCGTCTTGTTTCCATCGGTTCCGGTTGGTCGTTGAAAATGGAGACACGCCGGCGGCCCGGGAGCAGCAGCAGCGAGAGGTATAAACTTATTTGTCATTTGGCATTGCACGTAACTACCTACCTACAGTACAACCCGTCAATCTCTCGCTGGCAGCATTTTTGGCAAGGCGCACATTCTGTTCGCCTTCATGACTTGTGCTTATCATCGAGCCCTAATAAGCGCGACCACACTAACTAGTCGTCCCTGGCATTTAATATCCTCAAGTCTGGATGACGGCATCCAGTTCCTGCAGCTGGACCGGTCTTCGCCAAGCCCGCCCGCGTCGTCCTGCTCCGTCTCCATCCCCCCCTTCGAGGAGAAACCCGGGAGGAGGTTAGTTAGGTAGGTATGGTGGTAGGCTTGGTAGCCTGGTAGTACCGCCAACCCACACTGTGCCACACCTCTGACACAGTCACGTTGGACGCAGACAAGTCCGTGATTGGCCTGCGTCCGGCCACTACGCGATCGGCACACCTGACCTTATCCGTTCCCTATCGTTTTGGTGTGCGAGTCGATCGCCTGTACCAGCCATGTACCAAGGCCCTCCTTGCTGCGACACCGCGACGACTCAGACGTCCGCGTGTGCAATGTGATTCGACCCGGTGCATGTCTCGCCTTGTCAGGCCCCTGCCCACCCAAACGTCCACTCTGCTCTTCCCACGTTGGTGGGTATGCCCGCGACTGGAGAGAAGACACCGAACCGGGCCCAAGAGCAGACGCAGCCGACATGCAAGTCAAGGTACGGAGTAGGCGTTGGGTGTTGTCGAATCCTGGCATGCTCCGCTGCTGCAGAGTCGGGAGCTAAATTGCCCCTCACAAGCCCCTAATGCGAAGCATCGGGCTGGAAATTCCTCTGCTTGCTGCAACCCCGCCGGATGAAGGATAAACGTGTGCCTGACGATACGGTCCTGTTCGTTATCGTTGTTGAGGGGGTTGCAGCGATACTACTGCCCGATCCCGGACCGAGGGCCATCAAGAAACCCCCCCGCGACAGTTGCCGTAATCAGCCAGCCACTTCGTCAACGAGGTTGATCGGGTCCAGACTCGCGATGCTCTGCCTAAAAGCAACCGAGTCTCTGGCATGTCTTCGCTTGGGCCTTGGCTTCACCTCGAGCGCTGCCGGTGCTGTGCAGTCTCGCGCCCAAGAATTGGCTCACCAGCCATTGGCTTCTTCAGCTCCGGCAACGGGATACCGTTAGTCATTGTATGTACGGTTCCTGTATTGATGGTGTGATGTCCATATCGACTAGTCGCCATTGGTTACAGCCGACTCGTTCTCAACCCTTTCACGACTTGGAAGCATCCTGCATAGTGCTTGCTTTTGACATGTCAGAGGACACGGGCCAATATGCCGAGTGATTGGGTTGAGATACTGGAGTTTCTCCCTCAGGAGAAATCATTGGTAGAACTTGGGTAGGCCATCTGCACCAAGCCCGTGAATATCGCCTTAACACAACCATCATGTATTTGCTTGTTGGAATATGTACTGTCTGCAGGACTGCCAACAGATGTTAGTTGCGAAGAAACTCGGACGTAAGGACTACCCGGCCTAAGTGAGCCACTTACTCGCTTCAGAACGTCGAGCTTCTCGGCCGATTGGTTGTAGACATGGCGATATTGCCTGAGACTCTCTCTTAGGACATCGGCGCGCGTCGTACGACCTTCGCAGATTGCCTTCATTCTCAACTCCATCTCCTTTCGCAAGAAGGGCTTGCCAAGACTGGTCTCGAAGTTCATTCGGTCGAACCCCTCGATCAGTGCGACCCCAAGCTGTGTCGGGATAAACACCTTGACGCCCCTTCGGCCGCCCGCTGCAGCCCCCGCCCGCCCACCTCTACCCCGGCCCCCGCGATTACCGCGCCCGCCGCGCCCACCTCTTGCAGCTGGGCGCGATTCTGGTTCATCATCGTCATCATCATTATTCTGGGCGCCTTGTTGTCCAGCCTGCTCTGTAGTCCGTACATAGTCCCGGGTCTGAATCTTTTGAATGTGCTCAGCCATGGTGGCATCGGTCCCAATTCCATTCGCATCCATCAGCGCGATGAGATCCGCCTCTGTCAGATAGCCTGGCGGACCCGTCTTCCCTTCGGTCATGAGCGCCTCGGTGGGTTCGAATCGCTCTCCCACGGTGAACTTTGGCAGCTCAGCCGAGTTTGTCCAGTTCTCGTACGGGTATACGTCGAGATAATTTCTCTCGAGGACTATGACCCCGTGTGCATGGAATGTCTCGTCACCGTACTGAATGTCGACGTCCGTGGCCATTCCTTTGGCATCTTCCGAACAGCACGCCAGGAACCGTCGAACGACCAGCTCGTAGAGTCGGGCCTCGTCTGAGGATAGAACCGAGGGCGCTGCGTATGTGACTGGATGAATAGGCGGGTGCGCCTTGTCATCATTGCGGCCGTTCCTAGGTTGATTGAAAGCACCGTCTGCCAGATTTTGAGCGAAACCACCCCAGCGCGTGTCCTGAGTTTGCTTTTGAACCAAGGCTCTGAGGTTCATCCCTCGGTCGAACCTGTCAGTCTCGGTTCGAGGATAGCTGATAAAGCCTTTGTTGTAGAGGCCCTCTGCTATTGACATGGCTTGCTGTCCACTCATGTGCAGGAATCGTGTTGCCATTTTTTGCAGTTCGACAGTCGTCAGGGGTAGCGGCTTCCATTTCTTGGTTGGCTTCTCCTGGACTTTGATCACCTTGGCCGTCTTGGCAGCGAGGCAACGTTCGTACAGGATAATGGTCGAGACGCGGTCGAAAAGATGGTTCCTTGTCCAACTGAAGCTGGCACTAACTCCATCCTTGGTGTGCTTCACTTTGATGCTCCAGAAAGTTTCCGGGACGAAGTTCTTCACCCGAAAATAGCGGTCTACAACAAAGCCGAGAGTTGGGAATTGACAAGATCCTCCGATGCGTTAGCCTGGCGGTACTGCCCAATGCTGGTCGGAGACATACCATAACTCAGCATCAGCTCTGCCAATGGTCCTCCCAGAGTGCGTAAATTGTTCGTCAGAAACCGAGTGAACGCATATCCAATGCGCAAATCGAGCTCGATACGGGCTGCGACAGCGTCCACCTGTCTATCGTCAAGGTTGATGAGATTGCGTGCGGCGTTCAGAATATGACTGTGTGGTCTTAGCAGCAGCTCTTGCTGTTGAAATAGGGGAACCTTACGCTCTCTCGATGTTGCTGAATCGGGCTCTTTTGATCTCAATGGTTGGCTTGGTCTTTCTTGCAGCTTCACGAATCTCGCTCCCGATGTGTTCTCCCTCCCGGTCACAATCTGTCCAAATGAACAGGGCACGGGCGTGTCTTGCCTTGCTTCCGATGTTCTCTGCAATTACCTTCTTATCCTAGATCGATGCCGTTAGTGCCGCGGAACAGGCTGGCAGGCTGCTACACACGTACATCGTCGATAGCTGTAAAGACTGGAGCTGTGAACAGGCTTTCCGGCGGTGGGAACTTCCAGTCCTTGTTGTCTGGCCCAAATTCTAGACTCGTGAGATGCCCTGTGACGCAGGTCATTGTGACTTCACAATCCCCCCAGGGTGGGCCGAAGTCAAAGTGGAACACATAGTTCTTGATGTATTTTGAGCGAGTGTTTTGCTATAGGGAGCGTTAACTTCCTGCTTGACACATACGAGTCACTGTGAAAATGTGGTTGACGCACAGTTTCGTACTGGCCTCCAGACAAATGACCGGCGACAGCCTTCGAGATGGAGGGCTTCTCTGCCACACAGAGAATTTTCGTCATGTTGACGACTGAGGGGAGGTAGCTGATGAACTCATAGGCTTCCCGGATCTGTACTGTCCATAGTGCATCGCATCTCCATGACTGATACACACGCTTCCTTGAACGCTCGTTATAGGAGCCTCAAGGCGGGCCAGTCTCAAGCTCGTGCGCATGGATGACTGTCGGACCAGACAGCCAGGCAGCGGCAGTCTTGGTAGGCCACGTTGTTGCCTTCAGTACAGTCAACGATGGCTTCGAGACGCGTGTTAGAAAAGATGCGCGTGACAAGAGCACTGGTGGATTTTGAGCACACAAGAAGCTTGTGCATAAGTGGTCCCTGATATCTAGTCGTTCCATTTTGGTGTCTCGTGCCTGGCAGCAGGTCTGGTGCTGTGGGGAGGACTCTCAGCTACCACAGCACTAAAGTACAGTAGCCATCCATCTGCCAGATTCATTAGCGGGCCCTGCCGAATCCCCCTAGAGCTTAACTACAGGTGCAATGACGCGCACATTGTTCTTGCGAAATCCACAGCTCGAAGGATCACATACACATTCTTAACCTTGACTTCCGGTGCTTCTTCACAGCACTCGAAGCTGACTTGGCTGCTCATTGAACCTCGGTATCCAACTTCCAGACTCTAACTGCGTACACGGCACAATGGCGCTTCCCAAACTGTTTGCCTTGGAGGATTGTTCCGACTTCTCCAAAACTGTCGAGCCGTTCCTCCCAGATCTCTACGCGCTCCCTGAACAGCTGCTTCACACCTTGCAGGCTCGCGAGAGCTTCGTCGACCTCTATACCCGCACGAACCCGCTGGTTTCGGGCTTCGCATTCTCCCTCTTTCTGGGCGCCATCTTCTGGGTCGTCTCCGAGATCAACAAGAACTACTCTCAGGTTGACCGATTCTGGAGCATACTGCCCACCGTCTACATTGCCCATTTCAATGTCTGGGCGCGACTCGCAGGCATTCCGAGCCACAGACTCGATGGGGCGCTGCTATTCAGCATTATCTGGAGTGTATGTCACGGGCATCCAGAAAGCTCTGCTCTAGAACGAGAAGAACGAAACTAACTCGAGCTGTCCAGTGCCGATTGACATTCAACTATGCGAGAAAGGGGGGCTATAACATTGGCTCCGAGGACTATCGATGGTAAGAGTACCAGGGAATATCTATGCCTTGACTGTATCTAACACGGCCTTGGACAGGGAAATCGTGCGAAAGAACATACCAGCCTGGCTCTTTCACCTCTTCAACTTGACCTTCATCTCTTTCATCCAGAGCATCCTTCTCTTCCTCATCGCAGCCCCTGCGTATCCTCTCCTTCTATCTAGCCAATTCGAAAGCGAGCTGTCGACCGCTGACATGGCGTATGTGGTCATGGAGCTGTCTCTGGTTCTCAGCGAATGGTTCAGCGACCAGCAGCAATGGGGTACGTTCAATTAAGTCGCATCAGACAGAGTCCGACGAGGTACTCGCAGTACGACTGACACTCGCATACAGATTATCAAACCGCCAAAAAGCAATATCAAACCACTGCCAAAGTCCCTCAAGGCTATACGCAGGCAGAATTGGACCGAGGCTTTGTTACAAGGGGTCTGTGGGCTTACAGTCGGCATCCCAATTTTGCCGCCGAACAGTCCATCTGGCTCGTGCTCTACCAATGGAGCTGCTTTGCGACCAAGACTCTGTATAGTTGGGCGGCCGTCGGTCCTTCCTTCCTCGTACTGCTCTTTCAGGGCTCGACATGGCTCACCGAACTCATTACTAGCGGGAAGTATCCCGACTACAGCGACTACCAAAGCCAGGTGGGCATGTTCGTTCCCTTGGGACTTGGCTACCGGCCGTCGCCGCCGAAGCAACCAAAGGTCATACGGACGAGCGAACTGGCCAAGAAGCAAAAGAAGTAGAAGATGGGCGCGAGGTATGGCATGGCGATACGTCTCATTTGGTGAATTGGACATAAATGCATTACGTACTCGGACCGGTGCAAATCTGGCGTTGAAACGGTCATTTTCGGGATGCTGCGACCACTCCGCATTGGAGGAAGAATCAATTTTCCTGTTCTCAAATCGTTGGTCAGAAGACCTGGCATTGCAGAGATCATGATGCCTACAGCAAAACATGTTCAATATGCCTACGTAGGGGCGGTGCAGCGTCTCTGGCATCCTGAGCTCATGACTTCTTTACTCACTCGACTGGTGACGATTACACTGAGCAGTTGAATAAAGGAGAAAAGTAATGACATGCCATGACTGCTTGACTGTATGTACGCATAATGGATTTCTAAGGGAGCATTACATTTACTTTAGCTTGGTTGGTAGCCAGCATGCAGGAGCAATGTCCTTGACTCGACGACTAGCGGTATCAGAATCGAACGAATTTTCTTAGATGCTTCTACTGCCCACCACCCTGCCACGCCCGAGACACATGTCAGAGCCGAATGAAACCCTCCGACCCGATGCCACGACGTCAGGTGCCCACCACTTCAGCGTTCGTAGCAACCCTCCCAATGCCTCCCAAGCCACCCGCCCTGCCGGCTGTCGGGTCTTGGAGCGATTGCCAAAAGGGGAAAGATAGAGAGGGAACAGTGGAGACGTTCACCAGACTCCAGCTGAAGGCTTCACTGGCACAGTCACTGCAGGGAATGTTTGTCAATCACGGGCTGCTCGGCCTGCCTTGCCTGGAGCCTGCTAGGTACCACACCACAGATTGGAGTTCTCTGGATGGGCCACTGTTGTTCCGCTCTGTGCCCCAGCTTGCTCCCCGCAGCAAAGGGGCATCTCTCGAGAAACGCGAGACAGATAAAGCTGGGCCCGTTGTTTGCGGCCCACACACCAACTGTACAAGTGCTTGTCTCAATGTGTGAAGAGATGATAAGCAACGCGAGATGAGTTGTCACCAAGGGATTGATTATCAGTGAGCACATGCATCTTCACACCTTGCAGTCAGAGCGCCTGCCAATCTTGTACGAGATAGACAGCGTTGCATGCTGAGTGACGCCGGCCTGCTCTTATTTCGGTTGAGGACTGGCTCGTGACTGAACTGAGGCTCCGTAATTCGCAGTTTCGGGAACGTGGGGGGTTGATCCCCCCCAACTCTACAAGTACTGGGGTTGTCGAGGAAAGGCCCCCAGTAAGTTTCGGTTACACGGGCTTGCCCTGGCACGCCCGAGCAACAAAGACAACAGATCTGTCACATTTGCAGCCCTTTACCGCCATTCTGAGATTAGCAGCTGTGGACCCCGGATCTTCATGGGCTTTGCACACGCCCGTAAATTGATTTGCATGCCTGCGTCGGAGCAAGCATCCCTGTCAATGTCGAGCAGGACAAACCACGACGCAGCAAGCGGCAAGAGGAGTCGGGTGCTCGGCATGCGGGCTGAACACACGCTCGTTGACCTGCACACACTTTCCCACCTCGGCTTCCCTCACCTGCATGTGCCCGGACGCAGAACCCTACATCCGGAAGGCTCCACGCCGTGTTGCTGCTGCTCGATGAGTCGTGCACTTAGCCGGCCGTGCGTGTGACGTCAAGGCCGTAAAATCCGTTCATGCTCCGGGGTCCACTCCCGAAATCGCCTCCTCCCACCACCACGACCACCCACCACACCCGCCTCCCCGATGACACGCGAAGAGGGAAAAAAGGGTCTCCGACGCTAATCATTGCCCACCGCCAGTCAAGCGCTGCACCTCCGGGGCAGCCTGTTCCACGCTAGAATGAACAAGATCCAGGGTCAGGGTCCAGTCCTGGATCCACACACCATTTTGACCGCTCCAAAACACCGGAGACCTCTCTTAGCTCGAGTTTTGCCTACCTACCTACACGAGAACGGATTTTCATTTTAATAATCCCCCCCAAGATTAGTCAATCGAATAAAAGAGGGACCTGCCTCCCGTCAAATTTCTCTTCCTCATGGCTCTCACCTTTCCTTCGATACACCTACAAACAACCTGAGCTTCACCTGGCTGACAGCCCTCTCGCTGAGATAACCCAGCCCTCAGCAGAACCAAGTCGCTTACACCACCGCCAAGATGAACACTCCCGTCTACGACAGCCCAAGCTGCCCGCCCAGCGGGTACTCAGACCTGTCCAGCGCTGTCTCCGACGTCAACGCGACTGCACCAGCCGATGGAGTCGACCCCAGCTACTTCCCCCGTTCGCATCGGTCTTCCATCTCATCGGGGTCTACCGATCTGGCCGAGGTTGCGCGCCCGGCACAGCCTAGCAGGGTCACCACCTCCTCGAGCCAGGCGCCGCAGGCCCCTGTCGACCCCCTCTCCAGAGAATACCCCAAGCCCGCTGCTGAGATCGACGTCGCCGAGGCACTCACACGCGAGCCAAGGAAGTGGACGCTGGCACACTGGGCAAAGAACGCCAAGGACACGCAGCCGGCTACCCTCAGCAAGGAGATCCAAGCCAGGAAGTTTGAGGAAGCCAAGAAGGAGCTCCTGAAGGCAAGAGCCGAGATGGCAGCGCTCAGCTTTGGGAAGAAGTAGAGAGGCCCCTTTACGAGACGACGCCTCTTCCCAGCGATTTCTTCATCACGACTTGAACGTCTTTTCTTACAGCAACCTGAGCATTTTCGATACCCCGGCGGATATGGCACATCGATTGATGTCCAATGATTGGTCGGCTTGCATTCATGCTACCGACATGGTGCACTTCCAGTGATCGGTTGTGTCCCGGTTGGCACACCGATATCATCACGAGGCGTTTTGGGATTTTTTTTTGCTTGCTTGTTTCCGGTGCAATTGGATCAACACTCCATTGGAGGCCGGCTGCCGGATCCGCTGGATCCAGGTGACCATTGTATATACCATGTTGTATCCAGGACAAATACAGAGATGATACAGTCCAACGAAAAAAAACTGCCAGACCTTGCCGCTTGTGAATCAGCTGCCCTCTGCTCAGAGCAACCGGGCGGATAGGGTGACGCCGTAGATCAGAGCGGCGATGAAATTAGACAGATTCAATAGGGATGAGATGCCGTGCAGCTTTCCAAAGTTTTTATTGAGCGCTGCCATTTCCTGAGAATGCGGTGGAGGGTCCCAGGACTTTTTGCCGTCTTTCTTCTCTAGGACAGACTAAGTAAGATAAAACACAACTCGCGAGATTTACATGACATACCTTGATCACGGCGCGCGGCCATGACTCTTTGAGTAGCCGGCAGTAGCACAAGGAGATTGACGAGTCCGGTTCCAAGCATCGTGGCCAAGGGTGCCAGCGCCGACCAGCGGTTGGATGGATCCAGGACACCGGCAACACCAGTGAGATTTCCCAAGGTCCTAGAGGTGCCAGGAAAGGTCAGGATGAGGATGGCCGGAATGACTGATTGCATTGAGAAGTAGATTGGGAATATCTTCGTCTGCACGGCCGAAAACTGAGGCCGCGTAAGGACCCTGAACTGAACAAATCCATTGACGAAAGACTGTAGCAAGGTTAGCCTGCGGTTCGAGCCTCTGTCTTACTTGAGCCTGTGTGTTCAATCCTGCGCCTTGCCAGGTTGTATTCGGTCAGAGGCAATTATATTTACCGTTCCGATGGCTCAGGAGACAAGAGATAGAGACAAAGGCTCGCCGTAGCTTCGTCCGCCAATGAGATAAGGACGTACATGGAAGAAGGTCGTGCCCAGCAATGTCCCGTAGCTTTGAGCGTTGTGTAAGCGCTTCTGTTGAAAAGCCTGTAGTGATGGATAGCACATACGAGATTATATGATAGGGTGCAGGCGAAAGGAGGATCGATGACTCCGGCATCTTGGCTGAACGTTTCGGTGCGACGGGTGAAGCGCACTGAGAGATAGCGTTGGCGCAGTGATTGACAGGACAAGCCAGACAATCAAGCAGTGTACAAATCGTATCAGTTGCTCCAACGTGACCTAGTGATTAACCGTTGCATATGTCGATTGATAGACTCGACTGATTTTGAAGGGGAGAGGTTGTGAGCTGGTGGTGTGAATACTTGATGTCATGAAGTTGATTTCCACCCTATGCGGCTCCAGGACCACCAGTTTCGGATTGGCTTGCTATCAGCCTGAAATGCTTTGCGAGGGGGGCCGGGGAGCAGTGACAGGGGTCTCGGCAGCAGGCAAGTGGTTTCAGGTGCATTTCATGACAAGCGGCAGGCGCCAAAAGTGTTTGCATTGCAGGGCGGGGAAGGGGAGCCTGTGCTGCCTGAGTTGCTGGTTCCTGGCACTAACAAACGCGCTTCACCTCTTTTGAGCGCGCCGTGCTGCCTAGAAAGATGGGGACCCGCTTGAGGTTCAGCTGTATCGCCAAGAGCTCCCCCATCTCATGAGAAGCTTCTCAGGGCATTCTCGGTTCTTTGCCTTCCCTCATTCATCTTCTTCTCACGGAAATGCCCCTGGCGCATTCTACTGAGAGCCTGCACCTGAACCGGCGTTCTTTTCTCAAGTGAGCCGCGCCAATGGCCGATAAAGAGGCAACGGTTTACATCGTCGACCTCGGGTCGTCGATGGGTGAGTGCCATAATGGCAGGGTTGAGTCGGATCTGGATTGGAGCATGCGGTACATCTGGGACAAGATCTGCACAACCGTCGCAGCATCCAGGAAGACGTGGCTCGTCGGTGTCTTGGGTCTGAGGACCGACAATACCAGCAATCCTCTGCAGGAAAATGATGGGTACGAAAACATCTCGGTGTTACAGGAGATCGGCCCAATGACCATGACGTCGCTTAAGGAACTCCAAGGCTCCATCAAGGCCAGTGAGAGTATGAGCGGCGACGCCATCTCAGCAATCATTGTCGCAACCGATATGATTGGCAAAGCTGCTCCCAAGCGACTCAAGTTCAAGCGGAGAATCATCCTTGTCACCGATGCACAGGGTCCCATTGACAGTGACGACTTTGACGATATCTCAAACCAGATCAACGACCTTGGTATTGAGCTCATCATCATGTGAGTCTTCCCTCCCTTACCCCTTGGCCAGCAATTCCGGCTCACCTCGTCTCAGCGGTGTCGACTTTGACGATCCGGATTACGGGTTCAAGGAGGAGGACAAACCCAGCATCAAGGTTTGTATACCCATGCCCAAGTCGCCGTCAGTAATTCGCCTCTGATCTTCTTTTTTTTAGGCCAACAATGAGAAGCTACTCCAGTCTCTCGTCGACAAGTGCGAGAATGGCGTATTTGGCACCATCGCCCAAGCGGTCGAGGAGCTGGAGATGCCTCGAGTAAAGCCGGTCAAGCCCTACAAGACGTATGATGGCCCCTTGACACTGGGCGATCCGTCGCTATATGAGAGTGCCATCTCGATCAACGTAGAGCGGTACTTCAAAACGAAGCAGGCCAGGCCTGTCGCTGCGAGCACGGTGGTCGTCAAGAGCGAGACTGACGGCGGTCCATCGCAATCCACGCAGACCCTGGACGATATGGACGGTATTGAGGCGACCGGAGGAAACTTTGCAGCCGTCAAAAATGCCCGAACATACAGGGTCAATGACCCTGATGCTCCTGGTGGCAAGAAGGATGTTGAATTTGAATCCCTTGCCAAGGGTTACGAGTATGGCCGCACAGCAGTCCACATCAGCGAGTCAGAGTACAACATCACAAAGCTGGAGACTGTCAAAGACTTTTCCATCATTGGCTTTATCCCAATGGATAAGGTATGTGTCAAACGATCTCGCTAGTTGCCATTCAGAGACCAACTAACACTATATGGTGCAGTACGAGCCAGTGATCAACATGGGTGAGGCTTGTGTCATTATGGCACGCAAGTTCAGCGAGAAGGACGAATTGACCTTGTCCGCTCTGATTCATACGCTGTACGAGGTGGAATCATATGCGGTGGCAAGATTTGTCGCAAAGGATACGAAGGAGCCGCAGCTGCTCCTGCTCATGCCATCCATCGAACCAGACTTCGAATGCTTGTACGATGTACCTCTTCCGTTTGCGGAGGATGTCAGGACATACCAGTTCCCACCTCTGGACAAAGTCATCACCATAACTGGCGGAGTGCTCACGAAACACCGCCTGCTGCCCACCGACGATCTCAGTCAGGCAATGAGTGACTACGTTGATGCCATGGACATCTCGACTTTGGGGACAGATGATGAAGGGTAAGGTTTCGCTTGAAACAATCTCGAGGCACCCACCTTGCTAAGTACATCCTGCTCTAGAAACCCTGCGGAATATGCTGCCATCGATGATACGTACTCGCCTATCATTCACCGTGTGAACCAAGCCATCCGATTCCGAGCTGTTCATTCAGATGAGCCATTTGAAGCCCCCACCGGCGGTGTTCTGATGCGATACGCTCAACCTTCACAAGATCTGATCAAGAAGGCAAAGTCGGAAATTGATGCACTGATCGAGGCTGCCGATGTGAAGAAAGGTATGACGATCATAAAGCTCTCTCAGAGGCCACTACGAGGCTGACTCTTTAATGCTAGTTCCTCCCAAAGCCAAAGGCAAGCGCGCGCGCGAAGCGAACAAACCCATGTCTGGCCTGGATGTGGATGCTTTACTTGGCCAAAACAAGCGGACCAAGATTTCAGCGGACAATGCCATTCCCGAATTCAAACAGGCGCTCAACTCAAGTGAGGACGTCAAGCAGATTGAGGAGGCAGCGAAGCAAATGGGCGAAGTCATTCGGTCGATCATTGCGTCCAGCACTGGGGACAGCGGTTATGATAGGGCTCTCGAGAATCTAGGCGTTATGCGCGGCGAGCTGATTGCCCTGGAAGAGCCCGGTCTGTACAACTCGTTCCTCGAAGATCTCAAGGAGAAGGTCAGAGACGAGAAGCTAGGTGGTGATAGGAAGTTACTGTGGTGGAAGCTGGGCAAGTCCGGACTCGGGCTGGTCACTGATCGCGAGTCTGATATCTCGACCGTCACCCAGACCGCTGCTGAAGAGGTAACGTCGATCGTCCCTTGCCATCACCAACACTCCGTGCTGACTTGTTCACAGTTCCAGAGGTTGTCGAAAAAGTAGACGTTACACTCGTGCGACTGTGCTGAATGGGACCCCGAGCTGGATTTGACATATCTACTCTTGTAACAATATGATGTTGCTATGTGCAGCGAGGAACAGAATTTGTAGGATGCAGAGTTGTAACTCGCAGACAGTGCCTTGTAAGGAGCTCATACGTGCTGCGACTCTAGCTGGTGATGCTACGGGGGAGTCAAGCTCAGATGCAATCGCAGTTCGTATGTAGGCATTGCTTCTCTAGGTTCAAAAACATAGGCATCTGGCTTTTGCTCCTTCATTTCCCCTCCACATCGTGAATTTTCACTTCAGTCGTGACAAGAGGAAGTCGCATGGAGGAGACCTGCCAAGCTAGGTAGCCCAATGGCCCCTACCTAGGTACTTACTTGTAGGAACTCATTCCCTGGTAGCTCCTGCCTTGAAGTTATATCAACTAGCTGGGTACCAGTTGACGTGTGTGGGCTGCTGCGAGCGCGTCACCCTGAGCCTTCACACAGGATCATTCTATCCTCGTTTGCTCTTTGCCCGTACAAGGAGCTCCAGCGTCACACAAAAGTCATTTCAATATCGAACGCAAACAGATCGTTCACCACACATGAGCCAGGCTGCCGGGATTGAGCGCACCCTTATCTAACTTCGGCATTCAAACAACAGCCCAGTCAGCGTTCATCCTGCTCTCACTCTTTCCTCGATTTTATTCTCTTTGCCAAACGCGCCATCAACAACTCATAAAACCCTGAGCATATCCCGGTTATCTCACGAAACCGCATAAACTTCACATCTGGACTCAGTTTTCGCACAATAACAAACACATTCTAAGCGGCCACGCGGCCTGGCATTCTGCCAACTGCGAGCCCATACCAACAATATGGCAGGCCCTTTAGAGAGACTCGAATCGACTTTCGGCGAGCTGGATATCTGGGATGGGGGTTCAGTGATGGCTCAGACCGAGACCAATAACCCTCGCTCTACCTCCAACAGCATTTCTATGGGCCAAATCCAGCCTGCTGGCAGTAGCTCCGTTGTGCGCCCGGTCAACATCACTGACGGTCACGGCCGTCTGATGCGCAGAGTCAGAAACCCGCTGGCTGTCGTCGAGCCTGATTTTAATGATCCTGAACACGACCAGTATGTCTATTACGACGAGGAGGCATGTTCGATGGGAGGTGACGAGGATGGAAATGAAGTACGATTCTGTCCCTGGACGTTGCTCTTGAACTACTCCCTCCTCTTCATCGGCAAGGAAAAACAGAAGGCAGTCCGTCACTTCTTCACTGCTGAAGTGATCCTTGAGTCTCGTCCGTGGGACTTCTACTACCTTTATCACCCCCGACGGCCTCGTCATTCTGCCGTCTTGTTTGTGCCGACAAGACAATTTGCGAGCTACATCCGCTTGATCAATAGCAAACTCGACAGTGCGTTGGACCTGCCGCAGGCAAAGAAAGCAGACTACATCTGCTTTACTTTCGGAGGAGTGCTGAATACCCCAACGCCACGATACTTAGGGAGATCTACGTCTTTCTCTGAGGGCAGCATCCTGCTGAATGGCATCCCGGAATTTTCCTCTCGAGACACTCTGGGAGAATTCTCAGAAATGGCCCAGGATGATTTTGTTAAGAACCTAGAGATGATCGAACGCATCTCAGTCGGCGCAGACGCTGATGAGCAGAGGGCAAAGAAGAAGGCCAAGGCACGGGAGAAACGTGTCAAAGCCCGGGTCAAGACTGGCCATGCCATCAAGAGGGTTCAGCGTTACCTCGGTCTCCGAAGGAAAGCTAGTGGTGTCCCAGGTAAGCATTTTGGCATCCAGGGGGGCTACCATGGTCACTAACATAGAGCTATAAAGGTTCTGGCACTCAAGCATCTCCAGGAGGAGCTCTGGAGATCAACTTTGCCATGCCCAACCAGCCAGATAGCTGTGTCATCTTCATTTCTGTCGATGTCGAGCTGTTCGAATTCAATCACTCCCATATCACGGAGGTTGGTATATCAATCCTTGACACGCTTCAGACCATCGGTGTTCCTCCTGGCCAGGATTACGAGAATTGGTTTGATCTCATCGAGGCACACCACTTTCGAATCAAGGAATACCGCCACGAGGTCAACCGGAAGCATGTTCGCGGGTGTGAGGAGTTCTTTGATTTCGGGTAATGCCCTTTGAATCTGACCCCAAGCTGACACTACTGACGATGATGCTGAAACCTCTACTATCTTTAGAAAAAGCGAGACGATCAAGCTGAACGATATCCGTGCGAAGCTCAAGGAGATCTTTGCGATCAATCGTTCCTCCCAACCGATGGGTTCTGCGTCTTCTTCGCTCGAAGATCGCCCCATCGTCATTGTCGGGCACGACATTGAGATGGACATCAGCTATCTGAAGACTTTGGGTGTATTTATCGACACAGACAAGTACGATATTGCCGATACGCAAACAATGCATCAGAACTATCGGCGCAGGTTCCAAGGCGCCAAGCTCCAGGATGTTCTAGGAGACCTACAGCTGACCAGTCGGTACTTGCACAACGCTGGCAATGACGCAGTTTACACACTGCGTGCTATGATTGCGCTCGCTTTCAGGACTCGCGAACATAGCCTGGAGAAGCTAGCCACGTGAGTGATTTCTACGTTGTCATCATGTTGCTATCGGGTTCTCTTTGAGGCCTACCCAGCTCGAACTTGACCTGGATCGTCTGTACTCACTACGTAACAGGGACTATGTCGACGAGTCTGAAGACGAGATGGAGGGGGGTTGGACAACTGGCGGGGAGGACAGCGACGGTGGCTCAACGCCTTGGGAACGAGCGGCAGAACAGTCCAAGGTACGCCTGACTGTTGACAGGCAGCTTACTTTGTGACTGTAGCAGCGTTCAAAGGAGCACGAAAGGGGCATATCTAAGGGTTTATACCCAGTCCTCTCTTGTGTCACCATACTTACAAGTTATGTATCAGAGACCGGCGGCACGACCCCGTGGCGGAGGTGCTCGAGGGCAGCGTGGTGAGTTTTTCTCTTGAGAAGGGAGGATAGTATTGGATACTAATCAACATTGAGCAGGTGGACGAGGAGCGCCTGGACCTGAGAGGTGGGGTGCTTGGTGAGCGCGACAACAACCGCCTGACCGCGGTGTACATGATGTTGTACATCTGGGTGGCAGAGAAATGCCAGGAGCCGCCAGGACAACTTAGGCTGAGTGAGACATGGAGGATTTGCGATTTTCGAGAGAAGGGACGCGATTTGAAGACATGCAGAGAAAGTAAAATGCGCTGGGTAGACTGATTCCATAGAGTCAATCGGAAATCATTTTGAGGGGTTTGGACGGTGCATCAAAAGACTTTTGCAGTGCCAGTGAGGAGAGAAGGGAGCCGCGAAACCATCGCAGCGAACCCGGTAACATTCGTCTGTCAAAGGTCTTGCTTGATGTTTTCCCAAATCCCAGACTATCTCGCCATTGTCTCGTCTCCAAAAATCCAAAAGCCAAGACTATTGCCCCTAACGCCCTTGCTATGTCTGCAATTGTTGTACATTTTATACATATATTTCAGCTCCTCTTCCACGAGAGACCAGCGAACCGTCCGATAGCTCCTTCGGTTTGGTCTCATCAAAACCTGTCCGGCGTGGTTCGTAAGGAGGCAGGAGCGTCCCACTCTCTATCACGGGTGTTTCTCCAAGAACTCCTTCGCTTCGTTGACCTTGGTCGCCAGGTACGGGCTGCCGCCTCGGTCGGGGTGGTTGAGCAGCATCAGCGTGCGGTGCGCCTTGCGGATCTTCTCCTTGGTGATGGCGCGCTCACTGCAGACGGGGAGAAATCGCATTGTGTCAGCCAAATGGATCCTTCTTTCTCTGTATCTTTGGGGGGGTGACTAGATGGGACTTACTTGAGCGACAGGATCAGCGACGCCTCCTTCTTGTTCATGCGCGGCTCGAAGCCGCCCTTGTAAAAGGCCTTGCCCAGCGCGCCGACGCCGCCGCGCGAGCGGCGCCATGCGACGAGACCTGCGCGGCCCTACCGGTGTGCATTGTCTCGTTAGTTCTCCTGTGCCGTCCTCGTCGCTGAACAGATTTTGCTTTGGGGGCTCTCGTACCAGGAACGCTGCGACGGCGACGCCGGTGCCGATAGCTAATGCCGAGGCCATCCTTTTATATCTGTGTATAATCTCTTGCGTCGCCGCTAGACGGGTGACAGACTGGGAGAGGGAGAGGGGGAGAGAAATAGGATAGCTTGAAGAGAGGCAGACCAGTGGTCGTGTGGGAAAGTCGTCGTTTCGCGATGCCGAGACTTTTTTTTGATGAGGTTTTGCGAGGATCGGCCGATAATAGGGTGGAAAGCTTATCCGGAAGTAGCCGGTGTGGCGAGTAGCGCAGAGTGGCGCTTGTCGGGGTTATCATCTACATGGGTGGTGATATGCTCTCACCGAATGAATACACCTTTTCTCGTGCAAATGCTTGAATTTGATATTATAGAAAACAAGAAACTAGATACTATTTCAACGGTTCACCTGGTATTATCTTTTATTGTACCAAAACACGTATTTGCTAGGAGCGTACATGCAACGTCCTTGTATATCCGCATGCTCAAAGCACCCTGAGCGCCCGACTAACACCGAGAAAGAGAACCTTCATCAAAGATGTACCAAGTAACCGAGACAAATCCCAGAATTCTTCATTCGTACAATGTCTCTAACAAGAATTTTCCTCTGCCCTATTCAACGACGGTCTGCTTTTGAATAATACACGTACCTAGTCAGTCCCGACCACACCAAGGCCGACGCCCGTCAAGAAGGCGGCCAGCACCCATACGGAGGCGTACACTGCTGCGCCGTACGGCTCGACACCTCTCACGGTCAGGGAGCACTGGAGGTACGTGTTGACACCGGCGATAAACATGAGCACCGCAGTGCGGAAGGCGGCGACCTTGGTCTGGGCGGTATAGCCCAAGAAATTCCACCACAGTGTCTCCCCGAGAGTCGCGCTGGCGGGGTCGAACTCGGCGATCCGGTCGTCCGACGGGACATGGCCGGTCGTGGCGGTCGGGGCGAAGATGAAGGTCCTCGCAGCCAGGCCGAAGAGCAGGCACAGCCCGACGGTGGGGAGGCTCACAAAGAGGAACGAGGTCGCAGAGTAGGCGGGCTCGATGGTCGGAATGTCGTTGAAGTAGACGACCAAGATCCGAGGCAGGAAAGCCATGTAGGCGGTGGACAGGGTCACGCAGTAGACGGCACCGGCGAGAAGAGTCGTGTAGGCCTGGATGGTCTTGTCTACCACGAGCTCTCTGTTCGGGAGAGAAGGAGAAGCGGCGTGGGCGCCCGAGAGCGGCCGAAGCAGAAGGAAGGGCAGGAAATTGGAGATTGCATCAACGGCGAGGCATGCGCCCGCCGTCTGAGGCTGGATGCCGTAGAATGCGCTCAAAAGATAAAGCTGCGAAGTCGGGTAAGTATGAGATGCCTGATACTCCTTTGAAGAGTGGACATGAAACTCACCGAGGGTCCGCGAGAGAGGATACTCAGGGCCGCCAGGTCATAGCTATCAAAGTTGGCGAACCATCCTAGAGCGAGCTCAAGTCTATTGAAGCGGAATCGAGTCAGTATAGATGCACACCTCACGGGAGTGACAGTGTGACGACCGGCATCCATAGTATGAATGACGCGTATTCTAGGTGCCCAAGCATCCCCATCACTCGTCGCCTGCATAGAAAAGTAGGGAATTAGCCACTCACACTCTCCATCCGGCCAGCACAGAGACCTCCCAGTTGCCTTCCAGAGTCCGCGCCACAGCCGCCATCTCACCGCGCGTCCACTGGTTGACGGTCGAGTATCCCAGCGCCGAGAGCGCCATGCTCAGGACCACGACGAGCGGGAAGTGCAGCGCGCGCGGCAGCTTGCTCGTGGGCCCACCCGGCCGCCGCGACAGCGTCGTCGTGGACGAAATGGTCGACGTCGGCCGCATCGTCACCTCCTTGCCCGCCGCCGTCGTCGTCGTGCTCTCGGCAGCTGTCCCCTCGTCTGCCGCGGTGGACTGTCTGGGGGCCGACTTGACGCGGGCCATGTTCGGTTCGGAATGGGACGCTGACGAGGAAGATGCGAGCTTGCGGGACTGCAGATTAGACGGGAGTAATGGAAGTCGGTTGTGGGTGGTCGAGCTCGTCTACGGTCGAGCTTGTGGACAAAGAGCAGGTTCAGTCACGGTATGGTGAGGGCGAGTGTGGAAATATATTCGCGACTGGGTGTCCAGCCACTGTTTGAGGCGTGTTCGAAGTCACAAAGACGCAAGCTTTGAGATACCTCTCGACGTGCAAACTTTGACGCGGCGTCGCGAAAGGTTCATCCGCTGGGGAAAGGACGACGATCAGTGGTAATTGGTGGGGGATTTCCAGAGTCAGTGACGTCGTGGTCTCTCAGACAACCCACAGTAAAATCTGTGTCTAGGCAATGGAGCTACCCAGAATCCACAGCTCGCCCCAGCTCGTCGTGCCTCTTCTTTTTCTTCACTATTACTTAAAATTCCTTTTTCTTCCCTCGGCGGAGTCGAGTCCGCAGTTGCGTCTTCTTCGTCTGCCGAATCTTGTCATTGGCAAGCTCTATTGACTTTCTAGACTTTTGTCTCACTGGACGACATCTGCATGGGCGAACCATTCGAGACACGAGAATCAAGAAGCCTATAGAATCTGTCGTCCCTCACGATTGAACCTCAAGTCTTTGCGCATCTTGTTGAAGAACAACTGTACCATTCTCACGTTACCAGTCTTCATACCCAGCGCATGCCAAAAACGGTACCTCCTGTCCAAGCTACGCTACAGAGCACACAGAGTCCAGTCTCTTCACAAACGTTATGCCTATGCTCTGATGGTCTCTGGATGAACCGTCAGGTTTTGACCATCGCCAGGTAGGTTTCTGAGCCCAGCAACTATTCAGTAATGCTGGGAGCATCCAGTCTCCTTTTTCCTTTTCATCACCACTTGACTATCCCTCTTCTCTTTCCTTTTTGGAGGGTGGATTGAACCATCACAATCATCCGTGCAAAGCGGTCTCAGGAGAAAAAAAAATCATTTGTGTTTGCGGGTGTCTGCTCGACGCTCACGTCCGACCCTCACTTTAACCTCGTGGAGTTTGTCCGTCAAACCCAACAAAATGGGTCATCCGAGCTCTCCACTCTTCGGTGCTGAGTTGTCGGGGGCGGAGCCGACCACCTCATTTACATATTGATAGATATATTGCGCGGTACAAAAGGAAAATCCCGCTCCTTCCCAGGCGTCAAGTCGTAAGTCTTATCACGGGCCAACTATACATGTGCCCTGCCGGTTACCCAAAAAAACAGCCCAGGATCTCTATTCCTCCATCCGCCCAAAGACGCCGTCATCGTCCTCGTCGCTGCGAGCGCGGGACTGCATGTCGTCGTCGTCATCGTCATCCATGGTGCTCTCGCCGCTTCCTTCCATCCGCGTGTCTTCGTGTCGAGACTCCCCGCGCGTGAAACTCTCTGGAGCACGACTCGGGAAGCTGTTGATGAAGCTGGTCCCTGACAAAGCCGCCTGGCCAAGATACTGAGCCGGCAGCGGAGGAACAGGCGGGGCATCGGCCGGCAGCTGGACAGGGCGCGACCCGTTGTTACTGTTGAAGCTGCAGCTCAGCAATTCAACAGCAGCCGCCAGGTCCCTATCCTCTTGGCCCGTGTTACTCTTGCCAGACGAAAGGGGCCGCTGATCCTGGCTGGGCTGACGCTGGTGCCCGAACAAGTGGGCATTGGGAATGCTCCCAGAGATGGACCCAGAGAAAGGCCCCGACTGGTACGACGGAGTGAAGCCACTGCTAGCGCTGAACCTCTTGGCATCCGGATTGCGATAGCCTTGCGAATTGAACCCTTCCAGTTGCGGTGGGGGTGTGGTATCGGCCGAGCTGCGACCATCATGCTGATCCGAATAGCCCGATGCTGCCGGAGACGTCGAGTCCCGCTCGCTGGCAAAATCCCTAGCCGAGTCGGGAGGGGTTGTTGCGTCCTTAGGCACGTTGTTCATCGCCACCAAGACCGAGGCAGCCTCGAGAAGCTGAACCTGTTGGTGCTTGGAGATGAGCAGCTTCGATGTGAAGGACCACTCGGGAGTGTGTTCCCACCTGGACGACAAAAGAGGTTAACACACAGCTCTGATGGATTTGGGGCTTGAGCAGTGCATCTGCCACGGCATGTCACATCCAAGGCAGACCGGCTGGGAGATGGGAAGAAACAAGGAAGGAAAAGGGGGCACGAACAAATGCTTGGTCAGACAACTGCTGTGCTTGTAGCCCTTTCCGCACTTGTCGCAACGGAGCTCGACGCGGCTGTTCTTTCTGCCCTCCTTGACCAGCGGTTGGCCGTCGCTGGCTCTCCGAACCCGGGCCTTTTGGAAGTCGGATTCGCGGTCCGAGACGTCGTTGAGATCGTCTTCAATGGCGCTTCCCTGCATTTCCATCTTCCCCTCTGGGTTCACGAATCGGTGTGTAGGCAGGCTGGCGGGTGGAGAAGGCAGGCTGCCGGTCAGAGCGGACCTCGGGGTGCCAGACTTGGACATGGTGTTGCGGCGAGCCCCCAGGATGGGCAGAGGCGTAGCCTTGTCACCCGCCTCCTGCATGGCGGCGGCGACCGCGGCAACATTGGCGGCGGGATTGGTCATGCTCTTGCGCCGGGTGACGCGATGGTTGGTATTGAGCGAACTCGAGAGGATCGAGTGCGAGTTGTTGCGTGAGTGGCTTTGTCGGGGTGTCAGACCGCCGGCGGCGGGAATGGCAGTGATCGAGGGACGATGGGTCAATGGCCTCGAGGCTTGTTGCATTTCCTGCGATAGACAAAGTGGTCAGCACTCGCGGTCGCCTGGACCCTGAGGCGGGCGAGTAAGGGTGGTGAAAGGGGATCTGCGTACCTTGGAGGAGGCCATTGCCACAGAGTCACGGTCACACCAAAGCAGTCACTTTCGCGGCGGAAGAGCGAGAGGTGAGCGGAGCAGCCCTTGCGTAGGAAGAAAGCAAATGGTCGTTTGAGAAAAAGATAGCAAAGCAAAGCAAATTGCGTTTGCCGTCGAGCAATTGTGGCCGAAGGCGAGCGTGTGCTTGTGCGAGCGTCTGGTGCGTGAAGTGCGTGTGTTGGGAGATCGGCGGCTGCCAGCGAAAGCGGGTTGGGAAATAAAATATTATGGATTGTCTTTTGGGCGGCGGACAGGACGGACCAGTCGAAACCAAGGGTTCAGGCTTAGGTAGGTACGGGGGGAAAAAGGTGTGGCAGCGACTAAGGTTAGAGATTGGGAATCAGCTGGGCAGGAAGAGAAGCTTCGACGGTGTCAGGAAACGCATGAAAGAGAGGCGCGGGAAAGCGAATATCTCTCTTGCTTGTCTGCTTCCTGTTCTCTTGTCTTGTCGCAGCGTTTCCTCCGTATTCTCTCTGGCCCTTGCACCGTCTATTCCACAGCAGCCAAGCCTATCCCGGCGCCTCGGTCTGGTCGCTTTGCGGGGTTCCTTCACTTTGAATAGGGTCAAGGCGTGTTGTAAGAGCAAAGGAGAGAGAACGCAAGGGCACGGGACGGATCAGCCTGGTGAAAAGGAGGGAGAAAACACAGCAACTAGACCGGAGGAAAAATAATATTTTTTTTGTCCCTCGCTGGTTTTGTTGGCTTCGAGACGGGGAATGTTTGAAGAGATTCGAAGGGACAATCGCGTGTGTAAGGGAACCAGGGCTAGGTACCTACCGATAGGGTCGATCTGTCGCAAGAATCCAAAAGAGTCACCTGGAAGAGCGACAGGCAGGGAGGGAGGCCGCAAGTACCGGGTCAGGTACCTCGGTGGTAGCAGATCGGGCGGAAGCGCATTGGGCCGGCGCAGGCCGCGCAGGAAGAACAGGTAAGAGACATTTTTGGGGACCGGGACACCTGTCTGCCTGTCTGTGTGTGGTGTGTCCTGTGGCCTGCGGCCTGTGGTGAGGATGGATGGAGCCCAGAGCAGAGGGAGAAGAAGTGGACAAGCGCCGGCAGGTCTGCCCACAGCCTACAGCCCAGCCCACACAGCCCCATGTCCCACCCCCTCCCTCCATTCGCTGCCTCTCTCGCTCCCCGTCCGTTGGCTTGTGCGTGGTCACCACTCCTGCTCGATCACGGGCGAGCGCAGCGATGAGGACAGATAGATACCTGCCGAGTACTTGTGGAGAGCCCACTTGGGCTAGCCTGCGCTGGGTCCTGTTTGTGGCCGTATCGGCCCATAAGTGGTACTGGGCTGCTGGCGCCGTATTCCCCAGGATACTGCCTGTTTTAGTCCCAAAGTTTAAGGAGGGAAACGCTCGATGTACTCGCCGTTCTGGACCGCCTGTCCGCCCACCTTGGGACCGCCGAATTGGCACTGTGTTGAGCTTGCGGTAGAACCGGTTTGGGCATGGTTCATTATGCAGGCTATGCCCAACTCGTGCTGGCTCGAGGGGGGGGGAGGGAATCCAGAGGCGGGCGGGCGTCCGATGATTGAAGGGAGGATGAACTTGGAGGGGTGCGGGGTTGCTCTAAAGAGGAGGAGGAGTGAGAGGATCAGATTAATGCTGGCGACCAAAGGAGGAGCAGGGGGCTGAGGCCTGCTCGGTCTCCTCTTCAGTACGGGAGATTATAAATTTAGATATCTAGACTTACACCTCTCTCCACGAACTGTCCTGCTGTGGGCTTGCATATTTAATATTGTCAAGTAGGTATTGCAAAGCAACAATGTCAACACCTTGATCTTGTGCCTGCCCTTCTCGTGCCAGTGCCAGGCTGGTCGCCACTGTGGCCTCAGCGACTCCAATATTGTTCTAGTTACTTGGCCTACGGAGTAGTCGCACTTACAAGTAGATCTGTTCCCTCGTTTCCAGATGGTGGGATGAAGGTAAGAGTAGGAGATTTGATGGAAAGGCATGAGGGAGTGATTGGCTACTTCGTTACCTTGAACCACGACACAAGCATGAACAATTAGTGTGAGGAGTAGGAGGAGGAGGAACTCCTCATCCATTGGACGAGCCACACTTCCTCAAACAACACATATATCCGACAGGTCAGTAGACATGTACGTCGTAGAGAGCTACTCCTCACTGGCAGGACATGACAGATGACAACCCCGCCCGCAGCAACCCCCTCATGGGCTTGCATATGTGCACCGAGTTGAATGCCAGTCCAAGGGGAGGAGATTGTTGTTGTGGAGTTGCTAATCACCACTCGATGCCCCTCGGCCCCCCCATCGAGTCCAACAGGTCTCCTCTTCCGCAAAGCGGGGAAAGCCAACTTCAATGTCTCCATGGCCGGCAGTCTTGTCCCGTCTTGTCTTGTTGACTCTGCCAGTCTCTCCTCTGCAGCTATTTCCTTTGCACCGAGTTGATGAAACGAGCAGTGCAGAAGGTCATCGTGAAGGAGGCCCTATCGGAACACTACTGGCGAAGGCGTGCTTTCAAATTGGTTTTAATTTTTCGCCACGACATGCACCAGGTGACAGGCGCAAAGCCATCTCTGTTCAATATGGGCTTAGCCTGTATTGATACTACCTGCCCCATATCGACCCCGGAAAATCAATGTTTGACGACCGAATCCGCGCGGCAGTCGGTCTGCTACCAGTTTACAAACGGTCCTTGCTGGACGGAATAGCAACAGCAGAATCATAGGCGCATGGCCTTCCGTAAGAAATGCCTGGTTTGAACTGCATAAAACAGCACAGTGAGACACATACTGTGTGGAGGATTAAGGTAGGTACACATTCAACTAGACTGGCCGTTACACGCAGCTCCACCCCGCCCGGTCCAACCAATGGGTAGAGACCTGGTGGCGTGGCTTTTAGCGCAGGTGACCACTGGTTCAGCAACAGGTACCCGCTGCAGACCATCCCTCCGAGAGTTTGGACGTGTGTCAGGCACGGGACCCCGACCGTCGGGATTTTTATTTTTTTTATTTTTCTTCCCAGCAGAAGGCTGGTGAACACTCTGCATCTTGGTTTCTTTGGTTCGGTTGTCGTTGTCTCGCAGTTCCGAGAAGACCCAGACCCATGACCGGATTGGTCTCACTGACTATCACTCGGGGGCCAATTGGCTCCAGTCACGCAGCGCGCTATGCTTTGAGAAGCGAAGCATGCGCTTTAATAAAAGTACATCCCACCTGGGCATCGCCCCTCAGCTTTGCTTCCGCTTTCGGACACCTGCCAAGTCGTACGTGAGGCACCCACCGTGCGGTCACACGGCCCTATCAGCGGCAGGATGTGCCACGCTACCCTCCCTTTCTTGGTAACCAACCAATCGCGCGGCATCGCCTGTTCCCACTTGTCATTGGCCCCTTTCCAGGCCTCCGACCCCATCGAATAAATGTCCTCAAGCAGGTACTTCCGTTTAATTGCGCTCCCCTTCCCTGACGGCGCGTGAGAGTGTTGTGTGTTGCATCTCCCCCCTCAAGCCCTCGAGTGGCCACGCATGAACATTGCACTCAGGCGATCGATGCATCCAGCAATTTAGCAGGGGATCCAATTGCAGCATGGGGCGGCTGTTGGAGTGAAATGCGCAGAACGGTGCCTACTTTAGCAGTTGCTGTCGGCCCTCTCGGCAGTGTGTTCGCACATACGAGGAGGGACCAAGGACGAAGCTGACACGAACAACGGAAGCATCAGTGGATCGATCGGCTTTGCTCACCGCACCCAGCCAGCCCATCTGGGCTCGACTGCTAGCGCCAAGGTGGCTTGGGCTGAGCGGGTATGACATGCAGCACGACTTGCCATTTTCTTTCGTCGCGGGCATGAGGCCCAGCCTGGGTCTGAGGATCGTGATGCCCACTCTAGTGGTAGTAGGGCTGTACCTACCTACGAAGGAATTAGGTACCTTGGAACACCCTGCTCGTAGACCTTGGACAGGAGGCTTGCAAGCTGGCCAATACAACGAACAATGCGGCCGAACTCCACCAGGCAAGACATGACGCAATTGTCTAGGGTCAAGAGCAGCACGCAATGGAGTCAACTCCGCAGGACGGACTCACTGTATGACGTTAGGGCAGTGAGCCAGGTGGCCACAATCCAGCAATGTCGAAAATGTATTCTTGTCTGAGACGACTGTTGTTATCTGGTGCTTGTAAACATGTTTTGAGGGCGTTTTGGTTCTGACTGATGATTGACAGGCACCGCCGCCAATCTCCACCCAATGGCGATTTCGTCCCTGCGCATATCATGTCAATCACTCTTGATTAATTAACCTTCTTAAACTCCTTCAGCCCTCTTTTTATGGTTCATATTTCTCCTGTTGATCACCCGCGCGCTATCTCTCAAGGGCCGGTAGTAGGCCCCACCAGTACGGTCAGTCTCTGGGTTTCTCATCACCCAGCCTTGCGATCAACAAGACAAGTCTGTGTCAAGTCCATTGCTCATCATTTCCCCAAAGCTGCCTAGTTGCATAGCTCGACTGGATCTTAAATCTCTCGTCTGCCTGCGCAGCATTCTCACATGTCTGAGAAGTTCAGGCACCTGGTGTCTACCGACAAGCTAGAACAGTTGCAGTCAAGATGTTCCCTATGATGGATTGATGGCCAGCTGAAGACTTGCAAGGGTGACATCCAAAGGCTCCCCATGGTACCGTTGTTGCCGAAAACTGGTTCGTAGAAGTAGAAAGCCGGACATGTGGCTCATGGCCCTCTGAGCTGAGGCTCTCAATTTGACCCCGATCACTTCTTGTGGGTGCCAGCACCTATGAAACATCAAAAAGGAGCTCTGTCATAGTGGCGTTGAAAGTGTTGGTGAAAGTACCTAGAGGGACGGGAGACCAGTGCACGACTAGGGGAGGTCCGGTTGAATGTTATCTAGGCCCTTGGATGGTTTCCTTGACAAGCCCTTTTAGTAAGAAACGCGATAGCAGTTGATACGGACATCGCATCTTCCTCGGCAAGCAGTGAACGGCCGATAGGAGACAACGTTTCTCCCTCAATTCTTCTCATTGTCAATCTTGCAAGCCCATTCTCCACGCGATTATCAGCTTTGAAATTTGCGTGTATAAGCAAATCTGTCACCATGTCGAACGATGATAGCGTGTTCCGCCGCGTTGGCCGGGGTGGGGCCGGGAATTGGTATAGCAAGAAGGATGTCCAAGAGGCTGCCGACAAAGAGACAGTACGTGAAGCATCGATCAGCAGAACAGCAGGGCGGTGCAGTGATTTTTAACGCCATCCGCAGCTTGATGTTGAGGCACAGAAACCTACCGGGACAGAGCCGGGGGCAACAGTTGCACAATCCCCAGAAGGCCCGGCATATACCCGTGCGGGTCGGGGCGGCGCGGGCAACTTCTACGACGCCGGGGCCGGCTCGGACCCCGCTGTTGCAGCGAAGGAAGAAGCTCAGAAGACAAAGGCAGCCGTGGCTGCACACTCTGCAAGGCCAAGGACGACTGGGCTGGGCGGCAGAGGCGGCGCTGGTAACTGGGGAGCTGACCTGGCGGCTGAGCAGCAAGAAAGAGAGGAGGAGAACAAGAGAAGACTGAAGGAGCTAGAAGAAAAGGTGCTGCAGGATGTCGAATCCGGGCTGGCGATGCCCGCGAGAGCATATCGATCGCATGACCGAGAGAGTGAATGATGATTCTGGGTTTCTGAGGCTTTAAGGTAGAGGAAGGTTACGGAGCTAGTTCAATGATACCCTTGAAGATTTCACCACTTTTTGTGCTCTCAATCTGAATCGCGGATATCCCAATCAATTCATCCTGGGAAGCTTCACTGATGAAGCCTCATCATTGTCTACATGTAATTCAATATTCTCGACACAAAGGGATGGAAAATCCAAACCAAGGCAAACTTTTGGTGAGGTCTGGTCTGCAGCTGTCACCCACTCCTGCCCCAGATATCCACAGCTTTAGGTATCGCTAGGCAGGTGGTCCGAGCGTCTTGGGGTTTGAGCTCTGCTGTCTAAAAGTACGACGCGAACCGCCTTCCCAACGCGTAGCCATCTACAATATCCAACTCTCGAATATCGACACTTTCGGCTTCACACCTTCTTAATAGATCGTTTCGGCCGTCTGAAGGTAAAACGGTTCTTTGCGATACTGCGCCAAACACTCTGCGATGATGGAGGGGCCGGGCGCAGACCCTGGAGAAGGGGTGTCGCCGCGGCGCAAAACATCCGTCGAGCAGGCGATGCCCTCCTTTGGTGCCATGAGCAACCCGCTCGACTCACTCGACTTACGCGCCGACCCAGATGCTCAGGCCACAGTCACAGACTTCCTCGATTTCACCGAATATCTACCTGCTGATATCATGCGCTCCCTGACCCTCATCGGACAGCTTGACCAGACCTACATCGATGCGTCGACCAACGTCCACGACCTCACAACGACATGGGGTCGCCTTCCCGATATGCCCCCCGAGGAGCGTCCTGCTGCGGTACAGGTCAGAGCAGACATCTCGCAGAATTTGAACCGCGCACTCAGCTCGAGGGTTTACTCCCATGCCGAAGCAGTGCGCATGGCCGATAATGTCTCCCGCCACTACAACCGTGCCAAGATCATACTGGGAAAGCTGCAAACCATGATGGAGAACTACCCGACGGCCGAGGAACAAAAGAGTCCGGTGGCTGCCCGATCGCCGCAGATGTCTCGCACCCCGAAAATCAGTGTACGCTCCGAGGGAGGCCAGAGGGTTCGAAGGCAACGGGTATCACGTATAACAGTCCCCGGCGAGGTCCTGGCACCCTACGAGCTAGATTACGAATCATACACCGAGGAGAGCGATGACGAATCTGAAGATGACGATAGTTCACCTCCGCGTGAGACTCCTGCCGCGCCACCGCGGATCAAACTCTTGAAGACGCCCAAGACGCCCAAGGCCAGAATGCCACGACCGACGATGACGGGCCAGGGCTTCCATCCGCTGTCAACAAGTGGCGTGCTGGCTCAGCTCAAACCACCCCCTGATGATGCTGTTCCCGGCAGCGCGGACGCGCCGTGGCTGCAGCTGACGGCTTACGAGCTGGCCAAGTTGAGGAAGCGCATGAAGAAGAATGCGCAGTGGACACCCAGTGAGACTATGATTGCACGGGAGCTCAAGGTACTAGGCCGTGGAGTTGAGGCATGGAGAGCGGCGAAGAAGGCGGCAGAGGACGAAGACCGCCCCTTTGAGAACACTCTGCCCGTTTCGGTTGTGGATGAGAATGGTGTGTCTGGCCCACCACTGGGGGCACTCAGCATTGACGCTGCACTTGCGGCCGAGGACAAGCAGAACACAAACCGTGGCATGAAGCTGAACGCGGCGAAGAAGATCAAGCGTGAGTCGCTGGCGCAACTAGCGGCACAGGAAGCGGAGGAGTCCGCCAGAAAATTGCGCGAAGCGGCAAAAGCCATTTTTGCACCCAACGCGGCCGCCGTGCAGGCTCCGGGCAAGACACCGGGCAACGTCAAGCCTCCACGAAAGCGGAAACGTGACTCGCAGCCCGAGGCTGACGCCGAGAAGCCTGACATGTCTGAGAGCCCGGCGCAAAAGCCTCAGCCGAAACGACCAAAGACCGAGACGCCAGTACCAATTCCACAACCCACGCTGCAAGCAGCGTCTTCGAGCGCGCCGGCACACGAGACTCCAGTTCACCCCCCTCTACTGTCGGCAGGAAACCCAGCAGTCAAGCCCAAGTCGACTACACCGGTGCCTGTGCCCATCCCCCCGGGACAGGATCACTCCAATTCCAAGCTTTCGCTGTCCAACTCTCCTGCATCGGTGGCCAGCACCCCTGGATCAAATACGGTGACCACAACGGTGCCTCTCAAGCCGCCTGCAGACACTCACATTCCTCCCCCTATTCATTCACCGAAGAAGTCCACTACACCGATCTTGCCTCCGGTCCGGGAGACCAGGACAAGGGAGGCGGCCAGGAAGGAACAGGCTAGGGAGAGCCTGCCACCGGTAAAACCCCCGTCCCGAGCAGCGACCCCTGCCGCGTCAGAGCCGCTGCGACGCCCGATGTCGAGAGGGAAGGCGTCTAGTCAGGAGCCGCCCGCGTCGCTGGCTGTGGATCGTCCCCGTCGCGCTAGCACCGCGCGGAACACCCCTGTGCCGGAGGTGCGGCAGCCTGGCAAGCGTCCTAAGAGGCCGGCGCCCGGAATCATCAGCCGCACGAACTCTGGCGGCAATAGTGCTGTGGGGAAGAGGAAGGCCGCGCCCAAGAAGAAGCGCGGAGCTCCCAAGAAGGACAAGGGGCAGCCGGACGCCGAGATCGAGGTCGAGGTCGACGACGAAGGCAACGTCATCGACCCGGATGAACCGCGTTATTGTCTCTGCAACGGAGTGAGCTTCGGCACCATGATCCAGTGCGACAACACGGATGTAAGTAGCGATCGCGCCCTTCCTTCTATTTCTTCTTCCATGGCCTAGATTTCCCCAATGCCAGATGCTGACGGTGTGTCACCAGAGTTGCAAGCAAGAGTGGTTTCACTTGGAGTGCGTAGGGCTGACCGACATTCCGGCGCGGACTACAAAGTGGTACTGCCCGGATTGCCGGGTCCTGCTCAATATTGGAGGGAAGGGCGAGGTCAGTGCCAGGGGAGTTCGAGCTTGACAGCATTCGGATCTAGACGACTATGGGAGCCCGTCTAGAAGGAAGCGTGCGATTAGCGCTGGTGCGGGATGAGACATGAACAGTAAACTTGTAATGGTATTGTAGCATGACCATGCTATTACGAAATACAATCCACGATGATTTCAAGCCGGCCCTTCCTCTCCGGTAGTCTCCTTTGTCCTCTACTTTGTAGTTGATGCGCACTATGCCAGAATGCAAAACGGTGTAGATACCTATGGGCGGGACTAATCCCCAGGTCCGGCTTTGCGGGTGTTGGTGTAGTGCCAAACACCGGATAGCGAAACACCCAATGTGTTCCCGTGGCCAACTGGCTATCGCGCTATTCTTTATCAGCTGACCCCACAGTGACGATGTGGGAAGCTGGGGAGGTACCGACTTGGAGGCTTATTCAGGCACGTAATGAAAGTATTCAAAGGCAGGTCGGGGAAAGGCGGTGGAGGGTTTGGTGAAGGCGGTGCCTCCTTCAAAGATCTCCTACGATAGAGTTCGTGACGACTAGCCCGGCCAGGGAGGGCGTTACATGGAATAGGCACGGTTTGTACGGATCAACCGGGGCGCTAGGGTGCAAGTCGGTTGCGTTCTCTTTGTTGAGGGCATTGGGACGATGACCCTGCATGGAGATGAAAAGCAAGGCGTCCAAGCCGGAGGGAGCATTGACGCGCTAACGGCGGACACTTGTCATCGAGAAAACAGGCAAAAAGGGGCTGAAAGGCTACCTCTCTCTACTGTACCTACTTGTACCTTGGGTACCTATATGTATAGGTAGGTTCGTTGAATGGTAAAGTCACGACAGGCGGTCATACACCTCACCCACCCACATAAGACTGACTACACTCCAGCGAGTGGGCAAAGAGTGTGACCAAGGCTGGTGCGTCAGGATCGTGCAAGGGCTGAAGAGGGATGACGACGTCAGACGCAGCTGCGACGGAGGACCTGGACCAGCGTGTCTCGTGGGTTTTGATTCATGCGCCACCTGCTCTTCTAATACCGGGATCCCGATGAGTACATGGCCATGGCCGTACCTGTGCCCGTCTATGCTGATGTTTCGGGGGCTTGTCCTTGTCAACTGAAACCACGAAACGGCCTGAATGTTCGCAGAATACGCAGCAAAGTACAGTAGAGAGAGTGCCTAGGCAGGTCGAGTAGAGAGGCCCGCCGTGTGACAAGTCTGCATGTGGTTGTTCCTGGACACCATTGGCATATTCCGTACCTCACGGGTGTCCTTTTCTCTCACACTCATTCCAGCTGCTGGGCATGCTGGACCAGGCTTGTGGGGTTTGCTACCTATCGGTGCAAGGGTACCGATTATGCAGCAGAAAGTCAGGAACCGCTTGCCTCCCCCCGCCCGCGCATCCCTCCATCAACCCATGCATCCCTAAAGAGGTACCTTTCGGGCCCCTTCCTGGCAGTAGCGAGCCATGTACCGCGCTGAGGGGTGCCAAGGTGCCTCCCTCTCCCCTCCCCTCTCCCCGCCTCCGGGTGTTCGCTGTCTGCTGGGCTGGTTGGAGGTTAGGTACTACCTGGAAGGTGCGGTCCAACACGGTCAGTGACTCGTCCGGCATCCAGTCTGGAGGTTCGCGCCTGCCATCCTCACCTGCCCTGCTCCTCGCTTCTCTCCCTTTCCCAACTCACCCCAGGCTCATTCAACTCGATTGAAGGGGCCTCTTGACTGCAAAGTACAAGCACTGTTTCCGATTTGAATTTCCCACCAAATCGAACCCGCGATCTTCCTGTCGACTGCTGTCGTCGCCAAGGCAGAAGACAACAGACCCGCCGCCGCCCGCTACCCCAAGCATCGACCCCTCCGGCCCTTGAGACAAGAGCGCGCCGCGGTGCTTCACACTCCGCGCGTGGCCTCCTTCACCGCTCTCTCTCCGTCCCTCCGCAAACCGACGCAGCGTAATTGTCTGTCCTCCGCGCGATTCTGTACGATCTTTTGCTATTGTAGTGAAATACCTGCCGTGTTCCGGTCCCGGGAGTTTACTACAGCGCCGGTCTTAGCTCCCAGAGCTTACCCCGGGGCAGGTATCCGCTCTGCCCTAGGATTGAGGGTGGCTGCTTCATGCCGGGTTGGTTTCCTCTGCCTCTCTTGTAGAAGATTGCCCTCCGGCGTGTCAAGGCCATGTTACTGACCTTGTGATCTGACGGTAGGCTCCAAGAGGTCGAAAAAGGATGCCAAAGAAGGCGGCGGCGTTGTTGCCGCGGTCAACAAGCATGGGGCCAAGTTCTCGTACGTCTCTCGCCTTTGATGATGGCTGCTTGTCTTTGTGGCACATCCTTGGTTTCCTTTTCGAGCTCAGTGATATGCAAAACGTGCTGACAAACTGCGCGAAAGGAACGGTCATGCTAAAGGGTCTGCATCTGATACTTCCTCACCATCAATCCAGTCGCCCGAGATAAACGCCATTCCTACCCCTTCCTCGAGCGGGAATCCTACCGTCTCGCCGGCTCTGGATGCCATATCTGCCACCTCGTTTGCCCCTAGTACGGCACCCAGCGCAAACAATGACTGGGCCAGAATGATACCCGGCATGGCAGGGTCACCCGGAAACCTCATCAGTCTCATGGGAGAGTCGCCGCCCACTCAGCCTTCGTCCTATGAAGACCGAGGCCTGCCCTCCGGCTGGTCATCGCCTTCTACTCGTCCATACCTCCAGAGCCACCCAGCCTCGGTCTCACCACCAACTTCCGGAAGACGCCCCTTGAGTTTTCAAATGGACGGCCGTTATCAGCAGCCCCCTGATCTACCTTCTCACATAGCCATGGGCGGACCGCGGCGTAGCTCCTTACATTCCCACATTGCCCAGTCTCGGGGGGGCCCGAATCCGCCGCTCCCACACCAAGCCCAACCACACTTTTATGGCACACCCGAACTCGACTTCGATATGCAATCTCAAGTCGGAATGCGAGCTGGCGAGCGCGGCTACCACTTTGGATTCGACACACTGCCAGCGCAGGGCGCAGCGAACGTTGTGCCTGGTACGGGTAGCGTCGTCGTGGCCGGTTACGAGGGTGGTCTTGACGTTTACTCAGTCAGCAAACGGGGGCTGGAATCCGTGGCCACTCTGAAAGGCTTGCGTGGAGGCGTGTATGATGCAAAGATCCTACCCTGGTCTCCTTCGGACTCTGGACCCGATATTTATCCTCTGATCGCTGTTGTTCTACATGGGCCAGTACTCAATACAGTTCCAGAGGTTCATGTCCAGAGCGAGGACGGGGACACGGCCAGCACTCAGTCACCAGAACGAGCCTTACGCGATGATATGAGTCACAAAGGCAACCTGCCCGTGGAGTTTTACCAGACTACCGTGGAAGTTCTCTCTCTGAAGACCGGGAAGTGCGTCGCTGTTCTTCTGGAAGCGCCCAAGATTCAACTCAGCACCCCAGTTACCAGCCCTATCTTCCAGCCGCCCCCTGTCTCGGGCGCCCTCAGCCTCAAAGCCGACAGCGGAACAATTGCTGTATCTTCCGGCGTGAGCGGTGAGAGCTGGATCTACAAACAGGCGATCATCGCCCAGGATCCATTCATCCAGTTTGTGTGCGTGGCCAAATTGTGGACAACTCTGCAACAATCACCCAAGAGCGATGCACCGCAGGATGGTGAGAGAGCCCGGAGCCCCATGCCGAGGCAAGGCTGTCGCACCCCAATTCTGGATCTCAAAGGTAGATGGATCTCGTACTGCCCCGCCAAAGCGTCATCTCAGATATCTCTACGGGCTTCAATTCCGGTTCCAGTTAGCGGCAAGGGTCCAGGCCTGAGCGCTCTTACGCCGCCACAGCTCCCCGCTGTTACCTGTGAGCTCGACTTGCCCGGAGCCGAAAGCGTGATGAACAAGCTCATGCGTGACGCAACACAAGAGTTGATCTCGGGAGCGAAATGGGTAGGACAACAAGGGTGGCAAGCTTTCAATACGTACTGGAAGGGCTCTGCAGCACCGCAAGCACCACGTTCTCCTCCTCTTGCGTCGCAGCAATGGAACACCGGGTATCCCCCAAGGCACGATACAGCTCAGTTCCCACCGACTCACGGCGCAGTCGCTCCCCCAGTCTCGAAGGATCCTGGACTGATATCCGTTATCGATGCGGAGGCTCTGGCTCACTCTACGAGCATTCATCCGCTGGCTACTTTTCCGGCTCCGCTTGGTTGTAGCTTTCTCTCGTTCTCGCCAAACGGGACCTGTCTGTTTGCTGCAAGCAGCAAAGGCGATGTCCAGTCCGTCTGGGATCTGCTGAGAATCCAGCATACCAGAAGCTCTCCTCTACAGACATCAGCTCAGCCTGGCTCACCAACTGGTCCCAGGGTCAGGCAGATTGCACAATTCTCTCGCATGACTGTGGCCCGGATAGTGGATGTCGCTTGGACAAGACCCCATGGCGAACGACTAGCAATGGTGACGGAAAGGGGTACGGTTCACATTTTGGAACTGCCACCGAGCGCGTTCATCTGGCCCCCTCCCCGTCGGCGCACTCGCACCCAAGAGAGCAAAGCTGTTACTAGCGAAGGCGGAGCCGGAGCCGCTTCTATTGCTTCTAGTGCTCTGACAACTGCCATCGGCGCGGCTAGGCCGTTGCTCACAAGGCCCCGCCGCAGCAGTTCCAACATACCACAGTCGACGGGTGCAACCTTCCGCGATCAGGCGAGTCAGGGCGGGAAGATGATCGCGGCCGGGATCAGCCACTCTCTTGGCAAGACTGGCAGTGCTATCAGTCAACTTCGTCACACTGGGGAAAACAGGGCCGCGCTACCAAGTAGTGCCTTGACTCCTACTCCGTCTTGTGTCACCTGGATCACCGGGAGGCGGTACCACTCGCTCTTTGTCATTGGTGATGGCGTCGTCAGAACGTTCCCAACTGGTGGACGCGGCACAGTCTCGGGCTCCGGAAAAGAGGGACTGCCTCGGCTGAACCGATACAAGGACTTCAAGCTGCCGCTTCTGTCAGAAGACCTACTAGCACCAGCTGTGAAGCGTTTTCTGGACCCTGATGAGTACCTTGAGTTGAACGACCAAAATGACGCTGGCGACAACACGCTGGTACTTGAGCAACGTTCTGGGACAAAGCAGCTGCAAACCTTGGCGGCAGCGCAGTCATCGATCCCTCAAGCCGAGATCGAGTCCAGCGCACCGTATCAGCCATTCCACACTGACCGGCGCGTTGCCCTCTTCGAATATGATCTGAACCAGCACACAGCGGCCCTTCAGCCCTCTGACATCTCGACGATGCTTGCCGACACGAGTTTGGAGGACAAAACCCTACCTGCCCGTCGAAAGCAGCAAAAGCGACAAGTCGTTTCCAAGCCAGAGACTCCGCCGACTGGAGCATGGGTATTTGGCCAACCCATCAGTTCAACACGGCTTGACACCGGTCATATCCAGATCTCGGAGGAGGAATCATTCAACATTAGTGTCGAAGACATGCGGGCATTGCCAGCCTCGGCTATGGAACGGGTCCTCCAACACGTTGGTGACAACGAAGAGCAGATTGTTGTTACGACAAGACGAAGAAGGGGCGGCGGACGCGCGGCTGACCAGGACGATGACGGATTCTTCGAAGACGACTGTGAGGTTCTCGACTTTGCGGATCAGCGTGTCTGAAACAACGCATCAAAAACCTTTATGTCCTCTTGGAAACTGGGGTCGTTCGTTACCGTTCGGAAGGGCCAGTGGCGATGCATGCAGCGATGAATTTATTGTTTATTTCCCACTCAGTTGACCATACCAAAGCATAACGAGGGAACGGGCATCATTCGGTCCTCAACGGCGTTTGAAATTAGACGTTATGAGATTAGGAGTATCTTGTCTCTTCACACGGTTGTCTCTCGTTAGTGATAAGATCCTAGTTAGAGAGTTGCTGCATAAATACCAGATATGTAGCATGAAATCCACAAAAAAAAGGGACATTGTATCTTTGCAAGAAACATACTGGCTCGATGATTGGGAGTCTCTCAGGTAGAGATGCTCTGTACACCGGGAGTATCGCGAGACTGCAACATGGAGAAGAGTTGGGGTGAGTTATAGCTTCAAGTCATTATTTCCGTAATGTTACACCATTTTATGGGATTCCCTCTAATGCGACACCGGCACCCCTCGCCAGCTGTTCTCCCGATAGCCTGCTCTCCGAAGTCACAATGTCACTTCTCCAAGCTGAGTCTCATCATCGTCTCGTCTCCCTCACTCCTCGAGTCTACGCCTTCTTCTTGGCGGCGGCGGCCTTTGCCTTTGCGGCCCTCTTCTTGTTGCTCCTGATCATGACCACGCTCAAGAAAGATCCGACAACGGCGCATCCGAGGAGGATAAGGATGACGGGTATGCGGATGGCCCAGACACGCGGGGGGAAGAAGTTCTGGAGGGGGTGATCCGAGTCGACGAAGGGCTGTTTTGGCACGCGGGGGGTCAGAGAGATCGTCCTTCTGTGCAAGGATATGGAGCAAGGCGGGGAGGAGACACACCATCAACAAGGTCCAGATGGAGTAGTATAGGAAGACAACCGATGCAGCCACGAGCATGGCGAGGCCGACGAGTTTGTCAAGCTATTGCGGCGGGTGTGGTCATGTTAGCAGCGAGTCCAACCCGTCGTAGGGGGGAGGAGGAGGGATAGGCGTGGAGGGGGGAACAAGACGAACCATTGTTGTATAGAGGTTTTGGTCTCGGACGGGGAGAAGAAGGGAAGAAGAGCGACGCAGAAGAAGCTGGTGCGGAGTAGTAGTCACTAAGGTCGTTCTGGTGATTACCGACGGGCTCAATTGCTGTCAGGCTGGTCGCAGAGAATTGGTGGTGATGTAACCTGTCCAGAACAATCGCGGCTCGCGTTTTCTTCTCTCCCCTTGTGCCTAGTGAGTACAGGTACGTGCAGCAGCGATCAGGGGGTTCGTGTCTTTCTGCCAATTGGGCCCCACCCTAGTCGCGCTAGACAAAGAGCTTGAGCCACCGAGAATCTCCACTACCGCCACGACCACAGCCCTCCAGCCACACCTTTAAAATTTACTTTGAAGCGTCGCAAGGCTGCCCGTCTCCACCTACGAGACTGCAGAAAGCCATTTTTCCCACTTCCATCATCACGGGACTCTCCCTCGACACATCGCTCTCGGTTTCAACGAGGTCGCGGCTCAGACCAGACGAGGCATCGTCTGTGCCGATACCGTCTTATCTACATCGACATACATGGCTGCTGTCGAGGCCCCTTCGGTCGGGACGCCGCTCGAGGAGCGATCTCCCAACCCAGCTCCTCGTTCGCCTCCACGCCGTCCTCGCAATGACCAAGATCGCGACGACCGGCCCCGGCGTCCCGCCGCAGACAAGTACCGGCCAGAGCGCCCCGCGAAGCGCGAGCGCACGCCGCCCCCGGCGCCCACCGAGGAGCAGAAGCAGGCCGCCGCCAAGGCCGAGTACGAGAAGCTACTGAATGCCCGCTCCGGGGGAGTGTACATCCCGCCCGCCCGCCTGCGCGCCCTGCAGGCCCAGATCACCGACAAGACGAGCAAGGAGTACCAGCGCATGGCGTGGGACGCGCTCAAGAAGTCGATCAACGGCCTCGTCAACAAGGCCAACGTCGCCAACATGAAGCACATCGTGCCGGAGCTGTTCAACGAGAACCTGATCCGCGGCCGCGGCCTGTTTTGCCAGTCGCTCGTCAAGGCGCAGGCCGCTTCTCTGCCCTTCACGCCCATCTACGCATCCATGGTGGCCATCGTCAACACAAAGATCCCCACGATCGGCGAGCTGCTCATCAAGCGGCTGGTGTCGCGATTCAGGAAGGCTTTCCGGCGCAACGACAAGCAGGTCTGCCTCTCTGCCGCGACGTTTCTCGCGCACCTCACCAACCAACAGGTGTGCCACGAGATGGTCTGCGGCCAGATCCTGCTGCTCCTCCTCAAGAAGCCGACGGATGACAGCTGTGAGATTGCAGTGGCGCTGATGAAGGAGGTCGGGCACTTTCTCTCCGAGATGAACCCGCCCATGGAGATGGTCATCTTTGATCAGTTTCGGAATATCCTTCACGAGGCCGATATCGACAAGAGAACGCAGTACTCTCTCGAGGTGCTCTTCCAAATACGCAAGGACAAGTTCAAGGACAACCCTGCCGTCAAGGAAGAGCTGGATCTCGTGGAGGAGGAGGATCAGATCAAGCATTTCATCGAGCTTGACGGCGATATTGATACCCAAGATACCCTGAACATTTTCAAGTTTGACCCCAACTACGAGGAGAACGAGGAGGCATACAAGAAGCTAAAGGCGGAGATTCTGGGCGAGGGCAGCGACGATGAGTACGAAAGCGATGACGAAAGTTCAGAGGGAGAGGAAGAGAACGAGGAGGACAAAGCGATGGAGATCAAAGATCAGAGCAACGCAGATCTCGTCAACCTACGGAGAACCATCTATCTCACGATCCAGAGTTCCATGGACCCAGAGGAAGCCGTCCACAAGCTGATGAAGATCAATCTGCCGGCTGGCCAGGAGGCAGAACTTCCATCTATGGTCGTTGAATGCTGCTCCCAGGAGAAGACATACACCAAATTCCACGGTGCCATCGGTGAGCGGTTCGCCAAGATCAACAGGCTGTGGACCGACCTCTTTGAGCAGAGCTTCGTCAAGTACTACGAGACCATTCACAGATACGAGACGAATCGGCTTCGCAACATTGCTCGGTTCTTCGGCCATTTGCTTGCGACAGACGCTATTGGCTGGCATGTGCTGTCATGCGTTCACCTGAACGAGGACGAGACGACGGCCGCTAGTCGTATCTTTCTCAAGATTCTCTTCCAGGACATCTGGGAGTCGATTGGCCTGCCGAAGCTCCAGGCCCGCATGAAGGACGAAGCCCTGCAGCCTAGCTTCCAGGGCATTTTCCCGCACGACACCCCGCGCAATACCCGCTTCGCCATCAACTACTTCACTAGCATCGGCCTGGGTGCGATCACGGAGGAGATGCGCGAGTTCCTCCAGAACATGCCCAAACCTACCCTGCCTGCAGCGCCTGTGGCTGACTCTGACTCGGAGTCTGTCTCGAGCTACTCGTCCTACACTGGATCATCCTACTCGTCGAGATCCCGCAGTCCATCGCGGTCCAGGTCTCCAAGACAGGCTATCGACCACCGCCGTGGCCGCTCACTCTCATGCACGCCTTCCCGCCGTGGACGCTCTTATACTCGATCAGTGGACTCTCGACGGTCTATGTCAGATAGCCGTTCTAGGTCGCCACCCCCGCGCAGGGCGGCAGCAGAAGGCCGAGGCCGCTCGCTCTCACGCACCCCACCGCGCCGTTATCGTGACCGCTCATACAGCAGCAGGAGCAGGAGCAGGAGCCCAACGAGGTCGGTCTCGACCCGTGGTTCGCGTTCACCTTCTCCCCGGCGGGCCGCTCGACGAGGGCGATCCGTCAGCCGCTCCGTCTCCCGGTCCCCAAGCAGGTCGAGGACCCCACCAGTTCGAAGGGCTCCTGCGGGGCGCAGAGATTCCTACTCGAGTCGGAGTCCGAGCCGGAGTGTGAGTAGGAGCCCGAGCCCACCCCCTCGGCGGAGAGAGGATGCCGTGCCGCCACAAGCCAGGGGCAGACCTGACGTCAGGCGTGCGCCGAGCTACTCGCGGTCACCGTCCCCACCCGCCAGAAGGAGGAGGAGGAACAGCTCCTCCAGTCTCAGCAGTGCGCCGAGGAAGAAGTACAGGAGAGGAAGTTGATTGTTCGTCGCGTAAACGATGGACTGGGGCTGCTGCAGGACTTTGCCTGGTTTGCTTGTCAAAGTAAGATTGTATCTAGCTATGTATGTATGTATGAATGAGGCTGTCGTCGGACGAATCGGCGGATCGGGAATCACATTGCAATTATTAGCGTTCAAGGAAGAGAAGTCGGCATGTCTTGTCCTACCAGCACATCTCGAAACTACTTGATCCGCCCGTCGTGAAAGTCGCACCCTTTCTTTCCCCTTTCCTGTTTCTCTCCCTTCAAATAGGCTATTATCTGTGCCGCATGGCCTCTTCGTCCGAGTTGCCCGTTTGTGACCATCCCCCAACCTGGATCCGACTTTCACGACGCACAATGTTGGTGTGCCAAACCGGGTAAGCACTTGCTGAGCCACGGCAACCAGGCTCTTGGGTGGAGTGTCATCTCCACGAACCAGACCTGACATCTCGCAAGGGGCCGTCGTTACACGACTGTCCGTGATTGGAGGCGCGGGTGCCCTCTTCCCCCGTTTCCGTCTCACCCCAGCCTCGAAAAAGAAAAAAGTTTGTCCAAGCCCATCAGCAGAGCTGAAGCTCGCCCCGGCGAAGCGTTTGGCAACCGATGACCCGGAGAGTTCTACGGATGGATCATGCTTACGAGGGTCCCAACATCTTCTGCACGAGAATAAGGGAAGGGGGCGGTTGCCCGTCTAGTCCTCTTCCTCTCTCTGTGGCACTATAGGCTGATTTCTGCTGCCACACACAGAAGCAGTCCTTGTCGGGATCTGGTCTGAGCGGTTGCATGGGGCGTTGTTGGGTGAGGTTTTGGGCCATGAGAGTAGACGAGAGAGGGGAGAGGCCGTGTATAAAGCCCGTCGAGTTGTTCGGGTTGCATCCTTGGAGCGTCAACTTTGAACAGTCCGTACTCCTCACACAGCAGAATCTCTGTTCTTGTAAGAAAAAGAAAAAAAAAACATCTATCTATTACCATATCGATATTCCCTCCCTCCCTCCCACAATGAAAACATCCTCCCTCTTCGTCCTGCTGTGCAGCGCGGCCCTCGCCCTCGCGGCTCCTACCCCAGCCAACGAGGCGCCCGACGCCCTCCTGCCGCCACGACAGTGCTGCTGCTGCAACCTCGCGACCAAGAAGATCGAGTGCCACGCCGTGCCCTCGGGCAGCTGCTACTGCCTGGCGGTCGTCTGCCCCGTCGAGAGCAAGTGAAGTCTGCTCAGACAACGGGCAATTAAGCTTATTTTGAGCGGACTGGACGGTACATGTGCTGTCCTGCCTGTCAGGAGATCATAGGTTCGGACCAGAGAGAGATCGACTATGGCGAGCTCGGAAGTTTTCAACTGTCTCTGTCTGGTACGGAGGAGGAATCGGGATAGCGGAAGGGGCGGGTTCTCACGTCTGCACCAAGTATCATCTAGCTATCCAGGTAACCTTACTTTGCCTTTCTGGGAATCCGCAACCTTTCCTGCGGTCGTCCGCGAAATCAGATACTCAAATGGGTAGTTGGTCATTAGTCCCGTCGAGAAGCAAGCATGTTTTCCTAGGTTCGTGGCAACCTTACCAAAAGCTCTGCTCGTGGAATCCCATACGTTGCCTCCGGAAGGGATTTTTCCTCGCCGTGAAAGAAGCAGCAGCAGCAGCGGTCAATGTCTCATCGTTCATGTTGGCTTCTATTTTTATCAGTGTTTTAAAGTTGCCGAGCTGGTTTGGGCAAATGAGGCAATCTATTTAGCTCGGCGCTGGAAACCAGGGTAGCATCCATGGATATATAGCCAGAGTTCCTGCATCGAAACGCTCATTTGGGTGCAGGAAGGCCGTTTCTCGCTTTGTACATCAGAAGATAACCTTCCGACAACATGTAACTGCGGCCACATCGTCTCCTGTCCAGAGGCATGAGTAGAAATGCGTATAAAAGGGGTCAAGTTAGTGATGTATTGGAAGTCAGTGTGGTAGCTGATATCGAAACTGCCATCGCTTCCATCGCTTCTCGGATTTGCTCGAGTCCTTACACTGCCGGGCCAAGGCAATCATCGACCAGCATACTCCATCGCTCGTATGATACACCATTGCAAACCACAATGCTCCTCGCTCAGTCTCTAGTCGCCCTGACAGCGCTCGTGGTCTCAACCTTCGCAGCCCCAGCGCCCTCGGATATCGTCCTGAACCCCACGAACACAGATGGCGGGCTCCTCACACCGACCCTGATCACGGGACCTACGCTGACGACGCGGCCTATTGTTCCTCCCATCCAGAGCTGCTGCTGCTGTCGCACCAAGCTGCCCACGGGTCCCAGGGTGACGCTGTCGCCCGACGTCGTGGCTGCAGAGGATGCCATGGCCAAGCTGTGCGCGCCCATTGCTTGTCCTGCCAACAACAAACAGCTGTGCTTGATGGTCCTCTGCCCTGACCTTCAGTAAAAGTATCGGCGAGTGGATCTATTGTCTGAGGAAAATGTCTATATGTGCTGGAGAAGCCTTTGCAGGATCGAGAGGGCGGGCATGAAAAGGGAAGTGGAGGTAGTTTTAGGCGTGGCCACATATGTTGATAGATATTTCGTTCCAAGACCAACATCAAAAGCTTTGTATCTCGATCGACAAACAAAACTTCTCAATGGTAGTTCAGTTCCGGGTTAGCCCTGAAATTACACTTGCACCGGCACTCTGGCACGGGGCACTCGGCGTGCCGAGCAAACCACTGTCTCGCGTGATCCAGATGCAGTACATGCTCGCACTTCAGACAAAACGTCGGAAACTTGGCAGACAGGCCCGCGTCGCCATCTGTCGCGGCCTCCGGCTTATTAGAACGGGGCATGCCGACAATCTCGAGGCACACAACACAGCGAGGCAGATGTCTCTTGCAGTTCGGACAGCTGACTCCGGCCATGGCCATCTTCGACGTCAGCTGCATGTCTTTCTCGGCCGACAGCTGATTGGAAGTGGCCAGCCGCGTCTCTGCATCGCAATAGACACAACGCAGGGCGATCTGCCGGAACGGCGGCTTGATCGTCGGGCGCCCGTCTCGCTTGCTCTTCTTGGTCGATTCGCCCTCGAATTTGGTTCTGTGAAAGAATGCCCTGTGCCGCTGGAGATAGGCGCGATAGGCGTTGCGCCATGCCGTGCAGCGATGGTCGTCAATGAAGCGAGGGGCACAGATGGACATGATCAGGGTGGCTGTCTGCAAGTCGTAGAACCTCTCAATGTACTTGGCAAGGATGTCGACCATTTTGTCGGTTATGCCAGTGAGGAGTATGCCTTCGATATCTCCAGTCTTGATCGCCTCGTCCACCTCATTTTCCAACCACTTGGTCAATTGCTGGTCAGTAAAGTATCGAACAGCAACCGACACTCTGTCTCGCATGGAAAGCGACTTCTGGTTCGCTATTTTAGTCCAATCCCCTGTTGCAATGATCGTGGAAATGGCTTTGAGGTAGGGATCCGTCTTGGATGCAACCTTGTCGTCAAAGTCTAGCTGCTCTTTTGATAGATTTCGTTCCCCTTTGCTGATGAGCTGTAGTGCCAAGGAGACGAACAGAAGCTCGGGATGTTCTGCACTAGCATCTGTGAGTATCTGCACAGCCTGCTTCGTATCTCCCCGGAACAACGCCTGGGCTGTTGCCATGTTGTAATGCGTCGTTGACCGCACCGTGCCCGGGAGCTGAGCCAAGTCGATGAACTGATCACCTTCCGATCTGCCCCAGCCACAGATATCAAGACACAACCGGCGATGATGGGACTTTTTGGTGTCTACACCGTCGAACCGAGCGATTCCACGCTTCTTGCAGATGGCGTTGATGGATCGCTCCCAGACGGAAACGTCTGGCGTAGTCGACCCACCGTCAGACAGCCTCGAGGACTTTTTCTTGCCTGCTCCTGGTCAATAAACTGAACGCGACAAGTCCAGAACGCTATCGCTTACCAAGGTCATTCATCCAGACACTGGCGACACCCATGTAGCCAAGGTCCAGCGGGTGAGACATCATGCCACCATCAGCGACAGCTTCCTCAGCCCCTGTTACAGATGTTAGCGCTACAAAGAGTCCCGGTACAGAAACTCATTCCGGGCGCTCACCATAAATCCACGACCAGACGGATCGAAGCCAAGGGTCATCGGCCACAATCTTTTGGTTTAACTTGAAGTCAAACAGATACTTCTCCTTGGCACGAAGAAGCATTATGTGATTGAGGACCATTTTTGCTTCTTTCAGGAAGCCTCTGGAATCTCTAGAGAGGGTCAAAAGTCTTTCGTGCAGCTCCCGCGACGATGGGAGGAGGTTTGATGAGGAAGCATCCACCAAGCTCTTGATGGTGCCGTTCGATTCAGACCTGCGAAGTCGGTCTAGCTGTTTCTGCTCAGCCTTTTGTATATGTTGTTCCGAGTAACGCCTCAGAGCCTGGAGCTTTTCTGCGATAGTCTTTGCTTCCACAAAGTCCGGTGGTAAGGGATCGGATCTCTTCAGCGCATCTATCACAGTAGTATCTTGCTGGGGCTGGGACCGTAGGCAGTTCTGTATGACGGCGGGGAGATCGGCCTTCTCGGGTCCGAAAATCGGGATGTCAGACAGATGATCCTCTATAGCAAGTGGTCCTAGAACGTCGGCGACTTGTGAAGGCTCGAAGTCGAGAACGCTCAAGAAAGGGGTCCCCTCTGGATGTCTGTCAGTACACCACGAATACAGGCGCCTGCTACGTGGAAAAACACGTACCTTCGAGACCTCGATATGGGGATTGCCAGGGGATCAGTTTGTATGGATAGGTTGTCGTGGGAGAAGGCACCTCAAGGATATCGAATGCACCATTTGCCCTTAGAGCAAGCAGCCTCGGTCGTAGGACTGGATTCCCCAGCGTAATCCAGTCAAATGATACTATGCGGTCGTTCTTTCGAGTTGCGTCCATGTAATGGGTGTCCATCTCGTTCGACACCCGGACCGTGAGGAGTTCAGGACTACCCTCAGTCTCCATGCCTGGGGCAGTGTGCTCTGTCCTAGTAGACAGAACCTTGAGCTGGCCATTGCGGGATAATACGGCGAGCATCCCTCTGTGATCACGGCAATATCTCAAGGCCCGGATGAATGAATTCTTACTATCATGCATGGCCTGGTCCGATTCTGAGTTCATTGCACGGTCTAGTCTCAAGGCACCACCCCAGGGGACATCATCGATGTCAATCGCATCGAGGTACGCAGGGGAGGCCACATCGCGAGAGACAGCGCGACGATCCCAAACCATAACACCGGGCTGATCGAGCGCGGAAGAGGCGAAGTAATTCTGATCGGCATAGTCGATGGCAATATTGTTGTTACACTTAGTTTGAAAGCTGATCACAGAGTAGCTTGGATCTAGTCGATTGCTTGCTTAGCCAAATACACACAAGACTTGATCGGATCAATGTATGACATGATTAAGGAATGCTCACCACGGAGATCGTGAATGCGAACGCCCTGGGTCTTGACACCGGCGACCAAGATGTTGGGGTTATCCTCAAAGAACTTGATGCTCGATATGGAAACACTGGGCTCGCGCCGTTCGACAGGCTCAAAGAATGGGGTCACATCCGAGGGAAAGCCGGTGGTAGACGTAGTCTGCAGACCTGAAAGTCGATTTACATCCCAGATATGAAGACCTTGGTCACTCCTAACGCGATCAAGGCCAACAGCCAGGAGGTTCGATGTGCTGAAGGCGACGGCTTGGCAAGTTCGGGACACCTTAAGATTGAGCTCCAGATAGGCATTGGAGTCGTCGTCGATCCTCAAGAGGTTGACGACACCGACCTGGGTGCCGACGGCGACCAGCCCCGGTATTGTGGGCGACCAGTCATATGTGGTCAACGGCGGAACATCGTCATGCTTTGATAGTTTGGTGTAGTCGAAGCGGCCGTGTCGCGCATGGCCAGTCGGCTCATAGACCTGTACAACGCGATGTTGCAGGTTGACGTGCATGAACTGGTCATGGCTCGCAGTGGGCGACCACTTGATCAATCCGGGCTCGGGCCTGTCCATCGCAGATATGGACTGGGGATGGACTGGATGTCAACACCGCCCGTTGTCGGTGTATCCCAAGGGTGTCTCTCTCAGTAGGACTGCTGTGGAAGCTCTTGCGATGGCGCAAGTTTCACCAGTCCTTGAATGAGCAGCCAGAGTTCATAGTCCTTCACGCCGGTGCCTTCCGAGTCGTTGTCTTTGACATGAATGACGTCGAGTGAGAGTATGGGTACTAATGTATCGGCTCGCAGGTAAGATTCCGAGCAAGAAGATCGCCTTCCCGTTCAATTGGCGACCGGGACGAAGCAGGTCTCAATCATACTTTCAAGCTTGAGGTTCATGTCCCTCTCCACCACGGACGGGGCTACCACTTCCTAGCTTGTACTGACGAACACTGGTCTTGCTTGCTGTGTGGGTCGGCGTGGGCCAAGCCAGCTCGAGCTGAGCGCCCACCAAAACCACCTCAGTCCAGCGGGGGTTCGGCAGGAACTACCTAGGTATCTTATCTTATCGGAAAGAATATAGTGATGCGGACCCCTGCTTCATTGGCTCTTAGTACCCAAATTTTTTGGACAAAGTTGATCTTGGAACTTCATCTTGCCTGTCTATCTTGATCTGAAGCCCGAACACTCGACTTTCCGCCTTGACCTGTCCAGACTTGGCTTCACGGTCGAACATTTCCCGACATGGCTACCAAGCGATCATTTTCGGAAGTCGACACTCATCCTGACCGGCAACACCTGATACAGGGCGACTCGTCTGCCCAAAGACAGAAGAAGAGCACCCACAACCCCAGAGAGGATTCGACCAACTGGGCTAAGAAGCGAGCACGAACAATTGAGAGACTGTTCCAAAAGGGCAAGGATGGCATTCCTGCCGATGTGCTGGCCGAGCTCGAACGCGAGTTGGCAGCGCACAAGAAGCGGATTGCTGAGGCAAGCAACAAGAAGCTGCGATCCAAGATGATTGGCAAATACCATATGGTTCGGTTTTTTGGTGCGTCACCCATAGCCAGCATCTTGTGAGACTTTCTAACCAGGAAACCATAGAGCGTAAAAAGGCCCTGCGGCTCGAGAAGCAGCTCAAGCGCAGACTCGAAAACACGACGGACCCCGAAGAGATTGCGGCCATCAAGGCTGACCTACACATTGCCGAGGTGGACAAGATGTACACCATGTACTTTCCTTTCTTGGAGCGCTATATCAGTCTGTATCCTGTGTCGGATGGCTTCAAGACGAAAGACTCGGAGGAGTCTGCAGACAAGAGCTCGGCAGCCCTTCACTTGCGCGCCGAGCGACCACCGATGTGGAAGACGGTTGAGAAGGCCATGGAGAGTGGTACACGTGCTCTGGAAAGATTACGGGACAGGAAAGATGGCGCCGAGAGTCTATCAGCCTCGAAACCACAAGCAGCAAAGCGACCCGAGAGGCCGTCTCGCACAAAAGCTCTGGCTGCGGAGCGCAAGCCTTCCTTGCGGGAGCCCTCTTCGGCCCAGGCTAAGAAACCCAGCATTAAGCAAGACGCGCCGGCTCCGATGAACAGGCGGCAGCGTAGAGAGCGCGAAAGGGCCGAGGCAGCCGCCGCCGCCGAAAATGAGAGTGACGGCGGAGGTTTCTTTGAGTAGGGCTGAGACTTACAAGCTACTATAGACTCATGAGCATTTACGGATAGATACCCACAATTGCATTGTCTTCTTATCCTTATTCAATCTTTCTTCCTGAGACCTAGTAAGGGTCGAGTTCGTTGCTGTCCTAACCAGGTAGTGTTTCAATTTCCATACCGGGGCGTTCGGACTCAGTATCTGCAGGTTTGCGGTACCTGTGCAAGATAGGTCGCGATATGATGAGCGAGTAAGTGGGCGGATATTGAGGCTCAATTAACGTCAATTCACTCTCTCAAGTCCACATCACATCACTCTCATTCACCCCAACTAACAGGGATGCAGTTCTGCCCGAGCAACATAAAAAGCACGCCTGGCTCTCTCATCATTACTGATATCACGATCCATCAGCGCATTTTCCAAGCTCTAACCATCTCCTTTTCCCGACTATTGTCGTGCAGCTGTTCCACGTACAATTGCAGCATTGCTTCAACTCTACAACATCCTTGAAGTCGGCGCGCAGAATGATCCCTGAACCGGACAATAGAGTCCCAGACCCTGTTGATTAAAGAAAACCGGGCGCATTTGCGGTCGCAACCAGTGCGTGCATTACTACCTAAGGTCTGTCAGAAGAGAACCCCATTCACCTATCCTTGGTTGCACAACCCGATGATTTTTGCGACTGTGAGACTGCTATCCAGTGGTCTGCTGGTCCGGCAGCTGCTCCAGCCTTCAACACTCTCGCCAGCCTCACAATACCTTCTCTTGTCAGTCGCCATACCATGTCTGACAAAGCACAATAGGCAGCAACAGCTCGAGCCTTCCAGCATGGCATCTCCGGCCTCTCCAGGCCCGATCCCGACACATTGCGCCATCGAGCCTGACCCTGTCAACTACGAAGATCTCACGAGCTGGATCGCCGCCGAGAAAGGCGTCACATCCGTACCTGAGGCCCTGACAAAAGGGCAGCGCAAGGCTCTGGCAACGTCCAAGTTGCCGCCGCTGGAGGAACCTGTCATCGGCGACACGGACTGGATCAGCCTCCTCATGAGTGAGTCTAAGGTCTTGATCCTGAACTGTCCCTCTCTCTGACACCACCGCCCAAATCTAGGATACCGTGATGCCCACAAGGACAAGCAGGGAATCGCATTCACAGAGGCCCCATGCCCGTCGCCGCTGAACCCCGGAGCTCCTCCGCACTGGACCTGCTGCGTGACCATCTCCGAGGCCCCAGGCTCCTCTTTCCCACCGGGGCCTAGGGGTGCTGGCGAGACCCAGACCCAGACGCTGCCGCCCCTCCCCTCCTTTCAGCGCAAGAAGGATGCGAAGCAATACGCGGCCAAGATAGCCGTCACCTGGCTGATGGAGCAAGGCCGGATGCCCACCAATGCCGTCGACGCGTGCTTCCCCAAGATCAAACCCGCTGCAGCAGCGAAGCCTGCGCCTGCGCCTGTAAAGGCACGGCCGGCTCCCTCGCCCTCGCCGAGCACATCAAGCTCCTCCCAGACTCGCGGCGAGAACTCGGCGGCCGCGCGCGTCGCACAGCTCTGCCACCAGCTCAACGTCCCCCTTCCACGCTACGTCGTCATAGCCCACGACCGGGTCCCGGGCTGGTTCAGCGGCTATGCGGACTTTGGCGGCGACATGCGCATCCCGCCGCAGATCGGCAGGGTGGAGGACGTGTATGGAAGGAAGGCGGCCAAGGAGCAGATGGCGGAGCAGGTGCTGCAGTATCTGCTCGAGGTCGAGGCCGAGAGAAAGCGGCTGGTCGAGACCGTCACGGAGAAGCTTATTGATGTTTGATGATCAATAGACAACCTGAAAATATGCACGAACAACAAAAGACACACCGAGGGTAGTGTGGTTTGGGAAAAAGGCTAGGATAGATAGGAGTTTTACGGAGTTCTTCTTAGCCAGAGCAGTATCAACATGATGGATTTCACTTGCATATTATTCTCCTGGACTCGTGTCAATTCATAATTATCAAGCACACTTGCTTGCTTGCTCTTTCGTGCCGTAGAAGATCAAAAGACCCGCCAAACAGCGCCCGCCCTGTGGGCGTCGCGGCGCGGCTCCTCCTCGTCCGCATTCATCCTGCGTATCCACTCGTTCTCCTGTCGCAGCGCCTCGCGCTCAATCTCCTCCATGACGTGCAGCTCGGCCAGCATGTCGTGGACCAGGCTCCGGCACCCGCCCACCATCTGCGCCAGGCTCGACCGCTCGTCGGCGTCGGCGTCGGCGTCGTCCTCGTCCTCGTCCTCAGGGAGGTTGTCCCCCAGCTCGCGCAGCAGCCGCCTCCAGCCGTCCAGCTTCCTCGCCAGCGCGGCGCACTCGTCCCTCCACGACGCATCCAGCTCCCCGATGAAGAGCGGCATCCCGTCGCCGTCGTCGCCGTCGCCACCCTCCACAACATCCCCGAACAGTCCCTCGGGGCCCTGCTCCCCCTCCCGCCACCGCCGCCGCCGGACCACCTCGGCCATCTTCTGCATCCACCGCTCGAACCGCCTCACGACGCGCGGGTACTTGCCCGCCCCGGGCTCGCCGAGCGCCCACACCCCCGAGACGACCTCGCCCAGCACCCGCACCCTCTCCCCGAGCGCGGCCTCGCCCCCGTCGCGCCCCCACGCCCGGCACAGGGCCGCCGCGTTCCGGCCCTCGAGGGCCCGCGCCTCCTCGCGCCCCACGGCCTCGGCCTCGCGCGCCAGGTCCCCGAACCGGCGGCCCAGGCTGTGCCGCGCGCCGGCTCGCCACTGCGCGTCGACGGGCGCCGCGTCCCGGTGCAGCAGGTGCAGCTGCAGGAGCTCCGTCTGCAGGCGGGCCGTCTCGGCGCCCACGGCCACGTTGGCCGGCAACTTGGAGGGCGAGGGCGGCGCCAGGAAGGTCGAGGTCAGGGGCTTGGGCGCCAGCGACTTGGCGGGCGAGTAGTGCTGCTGCATGGTGCTGAAGGCCGGGCGCGCGAGGCGCTGCGACGGCGGGAGCATCTGGCCTCGCGGTTCTGCTGTGCCCACTGCCACTGCCGCGGTAGCGGCACTTGTCGTTGCTGAGCGGGTCCGGGGCGGTGTGCTCGACGTCTCGACGTTAGAGAGTTGTCTGCGGTGCATCGACCTGCTGCCGGTGCCAGACGAGGGCCCGGCCCGTGTAGATGAGGTCCCGGCGGCGGCGGCGGTGGTCGTCGCTCCGGTCTGTGATGGAGGCCGCAGCACGGTCTGGCTCGTGAGGGCCGTGGCCGACGACTTGGCCCGGCTGTGCGTCGGCATTCTCTTGGGTGCCGGTGCTGGCCCTGCCGCAGCCGCAGAGGAGCCTCCTATGGCTGACGAGCTGGCGGCTGCCGCGGACCGCGTGGTGGCCGAGCTAGAGGGCTGGATCATGGACCGCGGCCTGGACGAAGAGGCGCCGCCCACAGCACTGCTGCTCGTCTCTGGTGCCGCGCGCTTCACCGACGCAGACCTGCCAAGCCGCGTGGCCCCGATGTTGGTGCCCACGGTGCCGGACCGGGTCTGTCTGGTGCTAGGGGCGGCGGCGGCGGCAGTGCGGCCTGGGCCCGCCGCCATGGGCAGGCGGCTCGGGGACGCGTTCCTCGGGGCCTCCTTGTCGGCGGAGGAGCTCGCGGCGGCGGGCTTGCGCAGGGATCGCGTGCGGGCCAGGCCCGTGCTGCCCGCGGAGGAGGACATGTTGTTTCTCTCTCTCTCTGTCCCCTTTTTTTTGCTCAAAACTTGGCCTTTCCTATCACGCGTGTGTGTGTGTGCGCGCGTGCGTGAGACGGTCCTGCCGTTCAGCCTTGCCAATGGTAGTGTCCTTTGTGATATTGACAGCGGTCAGTAGTTGGTGGGGCGACGGCAGTAGGTACAATAGTGACCTGGGAGAGCTTCGAGCGGCAGTCCGATCTCCAGCTCAGTTAGCGAGCTGGCCTGGCCCCCCCCCCCCCCCCCCTGCTAGTGGTCGTTAATAAGCGCCCAAGGGAGCTCGATGCGATGGGTGGCATGCGTTTCGGTTCGACTTCCGAACAGGCGAACCGGCAAGAACGACGAGTCGAATAGCCAGCTCTTAGGCTGTTCTCTCGGACCATGAATTTATTGATTGAGGCGTGTCGTGTCGGTATGTGGCCCCCCAATTGATCTGCGCATATGCACGCGCGCACAGACTCGAGGCTGCTGCTGTTGGTTGCTGCAGGTCTCACCTTCAAAGTACTCTCTGTAAAGTACAAGTAGTTAGATCCTGCCAAGGGTCCAAGCAAAGCTAAAGAAGAATTAAAGAAAGACGCGTTCTGACGCGTCTTACAACATCTAGTTAGCTTCCAGCTAAACGAAGAGGGTCATGGTGGCTCAAGAGCTAAGGTAGGTAACCCAGCCTGCAAACTCAATGGTACCCGTTCTCAAGAGAGGGACTAAGTGTGCCAGACAGTTTGGAGAGAACAGTTTGGAGGGAACAGTTTGGAGAGACGACTTCAAGCTCTTGTATTCAGCAAGCAACCTATGCAGGCATCAAGATTGCAAACCCTGTGCCTTGTCACCTTCATGACGGGGACTCGTCAAAAGCATGCTCATCGCTATGAATTCAAGCCACCGCTATTGCACGGTCTCTAGAATCGAATGTGAAAAAAAAGATAAAAGGTCAATGATGAATCCTGCCTCTTCCTATGAAGCGGCCATAGGTCAAAAGGGGGTGTGTGTAGTGGTATCCTTAAAAACAAAGCCAGAAGAAACGCCGCAACCCAATCTATACACAGGTGTCCGTTGTCCGTTGACCTCCAGGATCCCTTTTCATGTATCGTACCCATACATCGTAATGCGATACCCCCTTATCTAGTGATTTCTTCTTTTTTTCTTTCTCTTTCGCTTTGTACAATCTGCAAATTAGTCCGCACCTTGCGCGACAGGTACTGGTGGCAGCACGTCTCCGAAGGACGTCGTCTCCTTGGGTGTCTTCGCATCGTGGCAGTGGTCGATCAGGTACTTGAGGTCCCGCCCGTTCTCCTGGAAGATCTCCATGCAGCTCTGGCAGATCCGCAGGTAGCACCACCGGCACTTGAAGCGCACCTCTGTATCCTGCTTGAGGCACACCTGGCAAGCGAGCGGGTAGTTGAAGTTCCTGTCCGCGCCCATGCTGCGGTGGCCTTGATAGCACTGGAAGTGCTTCTGGCCCACCGGCTTCGCCGGGAATACCGTGCCTGGCGGCTCCGGGTTCGAGAAGGCCAGGGGGAAAGCAGGAATGTCGACCGCGGGCGACGCCTCCTTCGCGTCGAAACCGAGATTAGGCTCTGAAATATCCAGAGAAAGCTGAGGGCGCGGGGCCCTGATCGTCTCGAGGCTCTTCTTCTCCTGGCTCGAGCTGCGAGTTGGCTCCGCCGCCGCCGGAGCCTTGTCGCTCACTGGTGACACCTGAGATGCGGGCTCCCGTCGGAGAACAGCGGGGGCGGGCTGTTCGACGCCTCTCGAAGTCGTGCGTGCTGGAAACTGTGCTGTCTCCGATTGCGGCGTCGCTCGGTTGGGCGCAGGGCTCTTTGGTAGCGGGGACCCCCTCGGGAGCGGGGACGGCTGCGGCGTGAGTCGAACCTGCGTCTGATCCTTCTCGGGCGGCACGGGACTTTTTGGGAGTGGCGACGGCTGGGGCGATTGTCGAGGCTCGTTCAGTCTCCTCTCGGGAGCCTTGCTCGGGGGTGTTGGAAACTGGGGTATGCTCTTCATTGGCCTTACATTGGAAGGCAGACCTACACCGATTGCCTTTCGCGAGATCGGTGCCTTGGCGGCATCCTTCTCCTGCGAAGGGAGCTCTGGCGAAGACGCTGGCGATTCCGGGGAGACGATCGTTTCCACGAGCGGCTTCTGCACATCGTGCTGCTCGTACTCGGGCGTCGGCAGCCGCTTGATCGGGGACTTGGGCGTTTGGGAACGCTGCTGAGCCTCCTCGGGCTTCGGTTCCGTCATGGGGCTCCTTGCATCCTTCTTCGCCAACCTCGACTCGACCTTGGTCTCGACCTTGGACACGACCTCGCCCATCCTTGGCGCTGGCTGAGCTAGTTGCTCTTGCGAAACTGCTGGGCGAATGTTGCGGCCGGGCAGTCCGAGCGGAGCAGAACGGGGTATCCGTGGCGAGGCAGCTTCTTCGCGAGCAAAGGCGGGCTGAGGGGGGAAGAGCGGGCTGATGCTGGGCGGGGCGTCTGGTAATTGTGACTGCGCAGTTGATCCATGACTGACCTGCAATCTGAGATCGGGCAGTGCGAGGCTCTTTTCCGATTTTAGGGACCGGCGGCGCAAGAGCTGCGAGGGCGAGGAATTGGTGGGTGTGGACGATGTTGTGGGAGAGCTGGCCTGCGCAGACTCGGCTGCCGGTGCGGTGGTCTTTGACAGCGGTTGCTGCTGCTGCTGCTGCGGCGGCGATGGCCGCTTCGGATCCTTCAAGGGAGGCGGCGGCGCAGGGCTGTCCCTTTCGTCCACAGGCGACCTTTGAGCCTGCGCCGCGGGTCTTTGTGGCTCATCGTCAAAGGAGAGGAGCGACAGAGGAGTGAAGATGCTGTCGCGCTTGAGGTAGCTCAGGGACGTCTCCTGGCTCGGCGAAGTCGCGATGTAGGACGTCTTGGTGCTGGCCGTGCCTTCCGAAGACTTGACCACCGACTCTTCCGAAGTCCGCGAGTAGGCAGACAGCAGACTCGATATGGAAGCCGCAGGCGACTTCTCAGCAGGAGGCACCGTGTTGCCGACAGGGCGTCTAGGAATAGACATGGGAGGCGGCGGGTTGGCCTTCCTCTTCAGCATGGGCAGCGGGGGCAGAGGCGAGTTCAACGGCCTCGCAGCTGCATCCTCTTGCTTGGGCGGAGGTGCCGGCACACTCGGAAACATGTCTGCGGTCGTTTCCATCGTGGACTCGGGTATCGTCCGGACAGGAGCTGTGTTGTTGGCGAGCTCGGGAGGAGGAGCTGGCAACGCCTTGGAGAAGCGCGACCGCCCGGTTTTAGGGGTCTGGAGGGACTGCGGCGAGGCCAACATGATTCCCAGGTACCTATAGGAAGGGCAGGCAGGATAAATGAGGCGCAGCGGGATGCGGTCGGGATACCCGTGCTATGATTCGGCCAGGGCCACAAAATGCTCTTGGTCCTCCTTTCTTTTACTTTCCGAAGGATGACAAGAGGGCCCGCATCTGGTGTTGCGAATATATCCTCCGCGGGAAGGGGTCCTGTGCGAGGGTCTGTTTTTTTTGGATATGTGTGTGTGTGTGTGTGTGTGTGTGTGTGTATGTGTAAGTAAGCAGTAGGATGAGGGCTGCCGAGGATGAGAGCTGCGGAAGCGTCGGACAGACCAGGAAGCTCTAGTTTCGACGGGGTACGGAGTACGGCCTCTGGAATATCACAAGGTTGGGAAAAGACTGGAGGTAAGTAGGTATGTACGTAGGGTTTTCTGTAAGGACTGAGGCGATGCAGCTGGAGAACTAGTCCCATACATAAAACACAAGCCTGGCCGAGAGCTGGCTTGCTAGGGAAATCGAGTTTAAAAGAGAGGTCAAATGCAACACATCAGGATGATGCGAGGGATGAATGACACGGACAAGAAGAGCAAGAGGGCTCCAGTTCCTGGCACAGCCCCTGCAAAACCCACGACATTTGGGAGCGAGCCCATACCAAGATTCACAAGCATCCAGGTCGCCAGCCAACCAAACCCACCATCACCCCCATCCATCCCATCCATCCACACTGCAGGTTCCTCCACACCCACGCTACTATGAGATCGCGACTAATACCTAGTCTACAATACAAGTACAATGCTGGTGGGGACCAACGCTGTCTTGGCTGTTCGCTCTCCTCCGTATGGCATGCAGTCAATGTCCACCCCTGCTCGCCCGCCTTGTCGACAGACGTTCCGTTGGCGATCAAATGAGGTGGATCGATTTAACCATGCCCACCCCTGGCAAGCTGAAACAACCACTTACCGGCCTCCCGTTCACAAGACGCCAAAGAAGCAAAAGAGAGAAAAAAAAAATGCAGGAAAGGTGAAGCTGTGGAGGTACCCACGATCAAGGCCGGATTGAACTCTGGTAGCCATCCCCCAAATACCTACGTAGCACGGTGAGAAATACGAGTATTACACGACCGCAAAGGACAGGAATCCATACGCACACTGAACCTTGATGACGGCAGTTGGCATTGGATGACGCGGGGCGTCGGGGCAAGGGAATGCGCGCGGGTTGGCACGGCAGGACAGCTAATGATTGATGATATGACTTGGGTATATTGTGTGCCACGGGGGCCTTGTTTGAAGCCTCATGCCGTGCCTGGGCACCGACAGACTTGGTGGACTTTTGCCATATTCCTCTGTGGCCTCTGCGGCCCTCTTGTGGTTAAAAATGCCACTTCTTCCACATTGGCCGACTCCACTGGCATGAACCCAGAACCCTGCGGAGCTGAGCAACGGGGCGCCACCGCGTGCCTGAGCAGGTTCTCCGTCCTGTCCGTCGCTGCGCTCCAGGACGCTAACGAGGGGGCGGGTTTGGAGTTTGGAAGTTGTTCGCTCATGGCGGGAATGTGGCTACAGGCGAGAAAAGGCTCTGGGCATCCAGGCGCGCGATAGTGTGCGTCGCTAGCAAGCGAACAGATGCCGCAGCAGGGGGGGGTTTTCTCTTGCCCTCGGCTGTGGCAGTGGATCGAAAAAAGCGCACATCACGGCGTTTTTCAGACGACAAAAGCCTGGGATCGCTGGAGTTGCAGGCCAGGAGCCCGGTTCACGCAAACCCCGTCGACCGTCGAGGGGGACAGCTCGTCCCAAAGACCGGCTGCGGCGGCCACACATCCCCAGGGGCCTGCACCGCGATCGACGCAGGGACTAATTGGAGGACCGTACCGGTCCAGGGGGGACCAGTGCTCTCCCACGCACTCCGCACCGCCACGCTGAGATTCTGAAACGCCCCAAGGAAATAAGATTAACCTCCGAGTCCTTGGGCAGGCCCAAAGTAAAACCTGGGTTTTGGAAGACGGTACCACATCGACAACAAGGCAGAACAACAAAAGATCGCCCTGGCAGGCATGACGTTTGAAAGCCGGGATGCTGCCTTATGCACGGAGCAAAGCAGGGCCCCTGTACGTACGTTGCAACTTACCGGGCTCTGGACGACAAAGCACAGACAATGGCGTTGCAGCGAGCTAAACCTTCAGCGTTGCGTCGAGAACCACCTCTCCTCCGCTTGAGTTCCGGAGCAAACAGCCAAGGTCGCCTACAGCTAGGTAGTTACTCCGTACTGTCAAGAGCCTCCTTGCGTCGCAGCCTGTATTGTACGGAGTTCAGAGCACCGCAGCTTTCTCGGCAACAACGGTATCTTACGCACGGTAGTCAGACCTCGAACTACCCCGTAGTCTTTGCTTTTTTCGACCTCGACTTTGGTTACCAAAAGTCCCATGAGGCGTCCGCGTACCTGCATCCGCTTATGCCGGGTCCTGGTAAGCGATATTGCTCCTCTGCAGCCACCAAGTGCCGCAGGTTGGAACTGGTGTGGCACACCGCGTCAGTTGGTGTCCTTTCTTCTGCCTGTTGTCATGGTTGGTCCCTTTACCCCCGAGAGAAATGTTCTTCGAGATACCTATCCAGATGCGGTTCATCTCATCTGATCTGCATGGCTGGCGGCTCGCAGGCCGTTCTCGTCCCACGCGAGATACATCAGTCAATTGCAGAGAGTGGGTGTGCCCTGAGTGAAACCTGCATGCGCTAAATCTGCGTAATTGCTTCAACCGAGTCTCGCCCTCCACGCGTGGGAATGTACGAGGCTCGCGATCCGAGGCGACAGTGGAGACGAGTCTTGCTCCTAGATCCTCTCTCAACGGCTGGCAGGGGCCAGCTCGGCCCTCAAGAAGCCATTCTGGACCCATCATGGTATTCTTTATATGATGCAGACATTCCCCCATTCCCCCATCATGCTCTAGGTATTTCATCCCTACCGAGAGCCAATTCTTGGCATTCCTTCCAGTCAGGTCTGTCTGCTTCCACACGAGTTTCCCAGCTCTGATGCTAGAATTCAAGCCACTGTTCGAGGCTCATGTGGACTATTCCGAGGACATAGCCATGGCTGTCGACGGTGCGAGGGAACGCAGGCCGGATGATCCAACCATAGCGCAGCTATTTACAGTGTTCGGCCTGGTCGGAGATTGACCACGGGCGACGCGCCCCGCATCGTGCATCCCACGGTGCGCGACGGCAGGTCATTCATCTAACGGCTTACTTTTTATCACATGGACCACAAGGATGGGATGACTTGGGCAGATTGGCTCAACACACTAATGCGCCTGTGAAAGTGACGGTGTGTCTGGTCTCGCCGCAAGATCCCGAAATGACAAAGGTTGAAGGAAAAGGGGAAGGGTCATCGTTTGCTCAAAAAAGTCGCATGTCTGTCTGTTCCTTATCAGTCCAGCAAAACGCCGACTTGACCAACCCACCCCATGACATTTCGACATTTCGCGAATTGGCACCGCGCGGGATTGCTTACCAACCCGTGCGGGGGGGGTTCCGGGGTTGGTGGGCTCCCATCTCCGAGGACCGGCCCTTTGCCCGCACTCGCACGCGCTCTGCCGATCAGATAGGGAATTCTTTGATCACAAACTGGTGAAACTGTAGCCTCCGTAAAGGCAAGAAGGCCCCCGAGCGTAAGGTCAATTTGGTCTGTCTCTCTCGTAAAGCAAGATTCACCACCAGGCACAGAATAACTCGGCATCGCCTCTCCGAGTGCCATAGCTCCGCCGCCCAGGTACCCGCCAAGAACGAGAGGATGCGGGACGGGGGCGCACAGGCCGGGCCCCGGGAGACGAGCCCTCTGCTCGGAGGCTCAACCGTCGCGGCCCGGGACTCTGCCGATGCGGAAACGCCCGCCTCGAACGGAACCTTTGGGCAGCCTAACGGCGCTGCCACGGACTCGGCCGAGGCAGCGGACTCGGAGACGCGGGAGGGCCTGCCCGAGGTTGCCGCCAAGCTCCCCATCTTGGTGCCGGCCATTGGCATCGGTGTAAGTTGAGAACCGGGCTCGAATCGGTGCATCACCTGTTTGCTAAACGATCCCTCTAGATCTTTCTGTGTGCCCTGGACCAGCTGCTGGCGGTCGCCACCTACGCCAAGATCGGGAGCGATCTCAACGCACTCAACAGCACGAGCTGGATAGCGACAGCGTAGGCAGCTCACACACCAGTGTCTGGCTCCCTCCCCCTTACTTACTGACTGACTGTCCCGTCCATCCCAGGTATTTCTTGACCTTGACGAGCTTCCAGCCCCTGTACGGCAAGCTCAGCGACATCTTCGGCCGCAAGGAATGCCTGCTCTTCTCCTACCTCGTCTTCGGCCTCGGGTGCCTGGGGTGCGGCCTCGCGCGGGACATGACGCAGCTCGTCGTCGCCCGGGCCATCGGCGGCATCGGCGGCGGCGGCATGAACGCCGTCGTCTCCATCCTCATGACCGACATCGTGCCCCTCCGCGACCGCGGCGTCTGGCAGGGCTACATCAACATCATCTTTGCCGCCGGGACGGCTACCGGCGCGCCCCTGGGCGGACTGCTCGCCGACTCGGTCGGTTGGAGATGGTAATGCCCCCCCCGACTGTCTGTTCCTGCTTTCTTCAGTCAAAAACAACAAAAAAAGAGATTTCGCTAATCCCCTTGCCGCCCCCTGTCAGGTCCTTCATCGGCCAGGCCCCGCTCTGCCTCGTCGCCTTCGCAGCCGTCTACTTCGTCCTGCACCTGCCGCGCAAGGACCACGCCCACTGGCTCGAGAAGCTCACGCGCGTCGACTTCCTCGGCGCCTTCACCCTCGTCGCCGCCGTGGCCTCGCTGCTCGTCGGCCTCGACAACGGCTCCAACAACGGCTGGCGCCGCGGCTCGACGGTCGCGCCCCTCGCCGCCTCGCCGGCCCTCTTCGCCGTCTTCGTCGCCGTCGAGATGCGCGTCGCCTCGCACCCCTTCGCGCCGGGCCACGTCATCTTCGACCGCTCCCTGTTCGCCTGCTTCATGGCCAACTTCTGGGGCACGGCCGGCCAGATGCCGACCCTCTTCTTCCTGCCCCTGCTGTACCAGGCCGTCGACGGCCTGTCGGCCGTGCAGTCGGGCCTGCTGCTCATCCCGGGCTCCGTGGCCGGCGTGTCGGCGTCCGTGGGCGCGGGGCTCGTCATCCGCCGCACGGGGCGGTACTACTGGGTCACGGTCGCCAGCTACGCGGCCCTGCTGCTCAGCTGCGCGCCCCTGGCCCTCTTCTCGGGCGGCGTCGTCGGCGGCGGCGCGGGCGCCCAGTCCGCCATGAAGGCCGGCACCGTGGCCGGGCTGGTCCTGACCTCCCTGGGCGCCGGGGCGGGCCTGACGACGACGCTCGTGGGCCTCATCTCCAACGCGGCGCGCGAGGACGCCGCCGTCGCCATCGCCTGCTCCTACCTCTTCCGCTCGCTGGGCTCCGCCCTCGGCATCAGCATCCAGTCCGCCGTCCTGCAGCAGGTCCTGCGCACCCAGCTCGCGGCGCGCCTCGGCAGCGGCGACGCCGCCCGCGAGGTCGAGGAGCGCGTGCGCCAGAGCATCGACTACATCCGGCAGCTCGAGCCGGCCGTCGCGGCCGTCGTCAGGCGGTGCTACCAGCTCGCGACCATGACCGTCTTCGCCTCCAACGCCGTGTTTCTGGTCCTGGCCTTGCTGGCTGCCTTCTTCGTGCGGGAGAAGAGGGTGGGCAAATAGAGAAAATTCGGGCTTTGTCGACGAAAGGGAAAGCGCCCTCACCTCATACAACACGTGGGCGACATGGCGTTTCCTAGCCCGATCCCGTTGCCGCCATTATCTCGAGTACGGACTTGTGCATGAAATTTCCAAAAGCCAGAGTGGCTCAACCAAATACCTATTATATATTGGGAGATATCTTTATACAAGACAATATATCCACCGTCATATAGTCAACATTCTTGGATCGTAAACCAGCAAGTTCACGAGACTGGTCAAGAGCAAAACAAGAGCAGTACCAACGGACCGAAACAGTATAGAATAGAAATAGTTCCATTTATGATCTAATGCAATACCTTACGCGCGCGCAAGAAAACAACAGTTGACCTTCAGCAACGTGTACTGCGCTGCCTGCTAGACGGTCGGCGGGCGTGCCCCGCATCGCCACGGCTTCCAGCGTCAAGGCCTCTATTCCAGCGCAGAGAGCCGCCGTTGAGTCCCCGCCGGGACTCCATCTTTTTGATATCTCCTTCATAGGTTGAAAGCTCGCTTGGGAAAGGTAACGCCCTCGATTGCGGGGTTGTCGACAAACCAGCTGCACCTGTCCCCACAGCCCTCGTTGACCAGGGTCGTGGGGAGACCGCTGTCCTCGTCGAAGATCTGCTTCATGATATCCTTCTTGCCCGCGCCGGTCGCGACGAATGCGACGCGCACGCTGTGCGTCACGACGGGGAGCGTCAGGGTTATCCGCTTGGGCGGCGGCTTGGGGCTGTCCTCGATGGGGGCGACCCAGGCGCTGGTCTCGCGGAGCAGCTCGTGGCCGGGGAACAGGCTGCAGGTGTGGCCGTCGGGGCCGCAGCCAAGCAGGAGCAGGTCAAAGATCGGAAGCTTGACGCTATCTCTACTCGCGAAGGATCTGACGAGGACCTGTTCGTACTGATCGGCAAGCTCCTGGGTGTCGTTGAGATAGGTCTCGTCGATCGTGTGGACTGTGGGTTGGCCAGCCTCGGCGGGGATCTTGTCGAGCAGCTCCTTTTTCAGGAGGGCATAGTTGGAATCTTCGTGGTTGAGGGGCACGGCTCGCTCATCAGCGAAGAAGATCTCCCACTTGTCGAACTGGACTGTGTCTTCGGGTCCCGAAGCAGGCGCGAGCAGTGCCTTGGCCAGAGTGGCAGGTAAACTTCCTCCAGACACGCCAACCTTGAATACGCCATGGCGGTTGAGGCCGGCATTTTGGCACTGTACGACGTAGGTTCTCAGCGCAGGCGCGAGAGCACCTACGTCTGGAAAGTTGAAGAGGTTCGTCTGCTGTCCCATATTGTCTGTTCGCAGGACTTATGGGGTAGGCGGCTTGTCTAGGGACGAGCGTCGAGAGGCCAGTTTCTGTCGATCGGGTGCTTGCTCTTAGCGATGAGGCGTGCGTGGATGGATAAGGTAGTTTGTAGTTAGAGGTTAGAGGATAAAGTAGGTAGCTGATGCTTTGCGCTCCGCTGAGCGAGTCGGGCTGGGCAGATGCGACAGGGCAGTCTTGAGGACGATGTCTTGGAGGATGATGTCTCGTAGGGGATATCGATATCTACCTAAGAATAGGATTGCCCGCATGGGATGTTTTGAACAGAAAGTGCCCGTTTCCTGGAGATTCTAGAGAGATGATAATGGAGCGTTGTGGCCGGTACTGAGCCTATCAAGTGGGGGGCGTGGCACATTCATGGATTTTTTTCCACTGACAAGGCGATACGGGCACTAAGTTTAAGCATCCATCCCAGCGCAACAACCGTCTGTGCACGTCGATCCCCGCTCCCACCGCTCATCCTAGTCGTTTCTACGGCAGGCATAGTTATCGCCATAGCTCTGGAACCGTGTCGAGCTCTGCCAAATGGTTGTACCTTCGTCGAATTGACATCATGTTGATGCCCGAAAAAGCCTCTCTTGGCACTCTATTTGCGGATACAATTCAGGTACCTCGGAGTGCTAGGTTACCTTGCTGCCTCCCTACAGATAAGAAAAGTTCCCAGGTTGTCAGGCACACCGCCCACCACCCCTCCTCCCCGCCCCGCGGGTCTCCCTTTTTGCATGGCATTTCCATTCAGGGCCCGGGCTTATTTGCAACTTTCAATAGGTATCTATCGTACTCACTCACTTGCTTCAGCGGCAACGAGCATGACAAGAAGCTTGCTTACTCATGGTCTCGCGCTGATGCTGCCCGGTTGGCGGATCATCACCTCAACAGGCTATGGCGGGAATGCAAAGAGATATCATATCCTCTTGCCCTCAGGAGCATCTTGCTTGTACGAGTAGGACAATTCTGAAAAGAAACAAACATGAGGCACTGGGCTTTCAGATCTTTGGAAACCCGGTGAGCAATCTCCGAGACCCTCGTAGCAGACGACTGCGGGGAGCCAAGTGGTGTGGCGATGGCGTCATTCATTCACCGGCATACCAGCCAGCGGCTTCTTTCTGATTGATACTAAGGTAGGAGGTAGGTAACGATAAGGTAGGGGCCAGGTGGGCTGTCCAGCGGGATGGATGAGTTCTACAGATGGGTCCCTCTGTGGAGGGGAGAATCTACCAGAATTTACAGTGGAGGTAGGTAATTTAGGTAGAGAGCTGGCAACATGTACGGAGTCGAGGGAGTACAAGTAGCTCCAGATGTGCTGCTCCGCCTCTCTTGACTGGTTGTCTGTTCGAAGCAGCACATGTCTGAGAGCCAACATAGCCTGCACAGTCAAGTGATGGTCAAATTACTTGACAGACTGCTAACAGAAGTACTTGACTGCGTAAGATTGAGGTAAGGTAAGGTAGCTCCTGATGAACTCCCATCAACTATTCAGACGCCCACTCGACAGTTCATCTGAATGACTCAGCATCTCAGCCTGGCTGTTTTTGGAGCAAAGCTCCATCCGACTTCTCTGCGGCTGCCAAGACCTGAACTTCAGCTATTCGATCTTCCAGCTGGCCCAACAACGTGAACCATAGCTACTTTCATAATCACTGCGTAGTCCTTCTGAAGACCGTTCACCGTCACGTAAGTACATTGGCGCACATTTTGAGGCACCGCTGCCTGTCCGCCATCGCCATGGCTCAAGCAGCGCCTTCCAAATACCTCACCGGGGACATACCCGCCACCAAGGAGTTTCTCAACAAGTTTGATGTATGTCCTGCCCCAGCCGACTTCGCTTTGAAGTATTTTCAGCCTGACGAGATGTTGTAGACCTTTCTTATCGACTGTGACGGTAAATTTCCACGTACATCTCTTCTTCTGCCTCCAGGTGACATCCTGACCCCAAAGTAGGAGTTCTATGGTCTGGAGAGCACGTCTTTGATGGTATACCGCAGACAATTGAGTTTCTACGATCTCAGGGTGAGAGAGCGGCGCCTTTCCTCGTTTCATTGCATCATATCCTCACACCCTACGGACAGGCAAGAGGACCGTCTTTGTGACCAACAACTCTACCAAGTCACGGGAGGAGTACCTGAAGAAGCTCGAGTCAAAAGACATTCCCAGTGGCGTGGAAGACATTTTCGGCTCCGCTTACTCTGCAGCCATCTACATCTCGCGGATTCTCAAGCTACCAGCCCCCAAAAACAAGGTCTACGTGATTGGCGAGGCCGGCATCGAGCATGAGCTGAGCAGCGAGAACATCCCCTTCATCGGCGGTACGGACCCTGCTTATAGGAAGGACATGGACCCGGAGGCCTGGCAGGGCATCGCGGATGGTTCCCTGCTGGATCCTGACGTGGGTGTCGTGCTGGCCGGCCTCGACTTTCACATCAACTACTACAAGATCGCGATGGGATATCAATACCTCAAACGGGGTGCTGTGTTCCTCGCTACCAACCTTGACAGCACATTGCCGCTGAACAAGAACTTCTTCCCCGGCGCGGGTTCCATCCTGATTCCCCTGATCAACATGACTGGTCAACAGCCACTTGCCTTGGGGAAGCCAAGCCAGGCCATGATGGACGCGGTGGAAGGCAAGTTCCAGCTGGATCGTTCACGGACGTGTATGATCGGCGACAGACTCGACACAGACATCAAGTTCGGCATCCAAGGGAAGCTCGGCGGCACACTAGCCGTTCTCACCGGGGTCAACAAGAAGGAGGACTGGGAGAAGGAGGGCGCGGTCGCCGCTCCGGCGTTTTATGTCGACGCACTGAGCGACCTTCGAGCTGCTGCACAATGATTACAGCCATCGTCGCCAGTGGGCAAGAGGAGAGCCGCGGGAACCGTAAGCACTAGAATAGAAATTTCGCATCTAGAATAGACCGAAGCAAGAGTTCGATCCCGAGCGCGCATGACGCATCCACGCATCGTGCTGAGCAGCCTGCCGGTCTGGCCCCTGTCATGCCAGCCTGGCAAGGACCACTTCTTATTCTGCCGGCTGTGCTTCCGTCTCTGGACAAACTCGAGCTTTTGAGGCGATGACTAGTAGCCAATAGCGCCGGGCAGTCTGCCACACCTGTTTCTGTACTGGTCAAATGATTTCAGCGGTGGTCACGGGAATGGCACGAGGGCAAGTGGGTGTCTGAATAGTTGACAGAAGTGCATCGGGAGCTACCTCAATCTTAACAATCAATATCCTTGTCATATCCTTGTCCTGAACTCGGAAGGGCTATCCCACTACCTCAAACCAATGAGCTTGATGGATAGTCAAGTATTTCTGCTAGCAGTCCGTCAACTAGGTAATCTGACCAGCACCTGGAAGAAGCAAGGATCGCGCCGCAAGCGAGCTTGTGGCTTGGAAAAAGAAAGAGGACTTCCCCGACCTCTATTACGGGCTGTAGTGCGACGCTGAAGACACCCCATGCAACGATTCGGCACCAATGCTGTGACCAGACCGCTGCATGATTTTGGGCCGCTCCCTTCTTTGCTTCTTTTCTATCATGGATGCATCCATGGATGCAAAAGAGGCCAATGATAGGGCGGAAACACCCCTACAGCCCGTGATGTGAACCCTGCTTCTACTGTACAAGTAGGGATCTCCAGGGGTTTGAGACCCCTAATCGGTGTGACGACATCTAGCCCTAGGCTAGTATCGGTCAGTACTTGTAATGGGCCGTTCTGGACCTCGTACTCTGCAGCCTGTCGGTCTCTACCCGCCAAGTTTTCCACGACGAGGACTTCTCCTCTTCAGGAAGAAGACGCCTGTCGACTGGGCATTCGCTCACCGCGCATTAGCCTGTCCCGTCTCTTTGCTGTCCAGGGGGGCCCCGACCAGAGTGACGACACGCCTCCACACTCACCAGCATGTCCCAGCCTGGGTCAGGCCATGAAAACACGCCCGGATCTGGCATTGCTTGCAACCTAGGACTGCAGGCGCCCGAGCTTTTCCAGCACATTGCCCCGAGCGAGACAAGGGGGCCCAGGGCCAGGATCAAGGTGCAGTGCGGGCGCCAAGCACTCCGATGACATGACCTTTTCCGGCCGAGAAGCTGGCTGACCTCGCTGATGCAACATGCTGGCACGCATGTACATGCGGGCGCTGCCGACCAACCGGTTGGGGCTAGGCCGTTCGGTATGGCTTCGATCGACAGGAGACGTGTCGCCTAGGGCTTCCCGCCTTGGGGGAAACAGCCGCGTGCTAAGACAGAGACAGAGGACGATCGTCTTGATCCTCCGACATTTGACGTGCTGCAGGGTTCCTCAACCAGCAGGTGGCCCAGCGAGCCTAGCGACCAAGAGGCTAGCCCCGGATCCAAGACATTCGCGCCTTTGATCAATCGCGAGAAAAGACCTGGCCTGAGTAAGACCTCACAAATCCGAGGGCCTTTTCCCGACAGCGTAAGAGGGTAAGAGGGTAAGAGGGTAAGAGGGTAGCGTGTCTGTCGTCTTAGTGTCAATGGGGACAAACTGGCGGACGGGTACCCCCAATCCATCCATCCGTCCATCCATGCATTCTATCCACTCACATCTCGTCGCAAGAGTGAGGAGAGAGTACTTGTACCTGAGATGGAAGAACCGCAAATTTGACGGCGAGGAGGTGTGGGACAGCCCGGGACAGGGTCTTCTCACTAGCGGAAGAAACTTTATCGTGTGCGCGAAAGGCAACGAGCCCGGTGTGAACCCCTCGTTAGTACAGAGGGGCATCTCTCAGTGCTGGCCTTGTCTTCTCCTTCTCTCTGCTTCTACTCCTTTTTCCTTTCCTCGACTCTTCGCACGTCATAACACTGTTCCCTCGTGGCGTGTACCATCTGTGCCGCTGTACATACAGCAGGTGGGAAATATCGGTCAAAAGTATAGAGAAGAAAAAAAAAGAAGAAGAAAAAGAAGAGAGAAAGAGAGAGCTGCGCTGCCAGGCCCTTTCCCCTTCCCCTCCCCCAAACAGGCAAAAACTTTGGAAAATCAGGGTCGATCTGTCTCGTGGCACCGCTGACAGCCTCTACCCCTCGTGCTCTCGAGCCCTTTCATATCGTCAAGACTCTGGACCGCCGTCATTGTCCCATTTTCTGTTGTCAGATCTTTGAGTTCTCCACTCCTTCCTCCCCGAAGCTTCCATAGCCGTCGTTGCGATACTGCTTGCTTGCTGCGCCTGAAGAGTAGAGCTATCAACCAGTGGAGGACTACCTCTCTTCCTCTCCTTGTGTAGAGCTGCCCACCCACAAACAGCCATCTCTGCTTTATTCCCTTGCCGTCTCGTCCCCTGCCCGTCCCGTCTGTCGCTACCAAACAACAGTCGTCCGGGCTGGTTATCGTTGTCGTCCAGGCTCCAGGCGGTGCGTCCATAGACTCTCCAAACGGCGGCTATCCTGGTTGTCTAGACCGGTCCATGCCCGTCCCGATATGACAACGATCTTCACCCCGACTCTTCGCCCTCTTCGCCACCACCTTCAACTACTACTATGGACGACTCGGCCGATGAGACCGACCCCCGCGTAGCTGCTTTACTCGAACGTCGCCAGGAGCTGACAGAGGCGTTGGCGGCTTCTCCTTACGACCTCATTCTCTACCTGGAGCGTGCCCTCGTCTATTCGGACCTTGCCTATCCCGACCTTGCCGCTGGCGATGCGTACCGGTCCCTCCTGCTCACTGATGAGGTCCGGGACGAGGACTTTGAGTACCATCAACAGGCCGTGGATGCCCTTGCGGCCTACTCCCACGAACCCTTTCCCGACGTCCTCCAGTATGGCACACTCAGGAGCGGCCTGTCCGATCTGGCGGCCGGCCACGGAGCCGACGGGGAGGAAATCCACCTTAAGATCGCGGCCGTCGCGTCTATACGGTGCTTTCAAGTCTTGTCTTTGAATCTGCTGCTGTGTGGCTGCCTGAAAAGCGCCTACACCTTCTGCGAGCGGGGTCTCGAGGCCGCCCCCAACAACCAGGAGCTTCTCAATACCAAGGGCTATATCGAAACGGTCGCCACCCGGAGACTGCGCCAGGACAAGTTCAACCCCAATGACCTCCCAGACAGCGGCGTCGTGCGTCGAGAGGTCTATCCCTGGAACACGCACGAGCCGGACCGGTTCGCGGACGAGTCCTTGGCTTTTCTGAATGGAGAACTGGCATCCATGGCGCCCAAGTGCGCAGTACAGGTCTCGGAGCTTCCCGTCCTGCTGGAGAACGCCAGCGAGACCGACAGCTACGACATCATACCGACATGCCACCAACTGGGGCTGTTTGCGACAGAGGACATTGCACCTGGGGAGACCGTGCTACAAGAATACTCCCTACTGACGGCCAACAACAGGCACAAGGAGTCCACCTGCGACGCCTGTGGCACTCAGCTTCCGCCTCTTGATGCCAGCTCGACCGCCGTCAACTGTCCCGAGTGCTACGACACGGTCTTTTGCGACGACTTCTGCTTTCAGCAGGCGCAAGAACTCTACCACCCGGCCGTCTGCGACAAGGATGTCGATTCAATAGCCAAGGACCCCGAAGCCAAGGATGCCGACGAGTCTTTATATCTCCTCCTCCTTGCCCGACTTCTCGCCATGTCAAACCATCAGGAGATCCATCCCCTGGAAGTCAAAGAGATCAAGTACATCTGGGGAGACTTCATCCCGACCGATTCAAACGCCATCGACCTGTCCCCCAACGCCGGGCCCCCGCCCGAGTGGACGCTGCCCTTCAACTTCAAGTACAACATCGAGACGCCGCTGCACATCCTGGAGAAGATGGACGTCGACGTCTTCGCGACGCTCGCGGAGCACGACGTCTGGGTCTTCAACACGTGCTACTCCAAGTTCAGGGGCACGGCCTCGGCGCGCAAGAGCCGGCTCGACGGCAGGCCCGACGTGGCGGCCGTGCACCCGCTCTGGTGCCTGGCGAACCACGACTGCGACCCCAACGTCACCTGGGAGTGGGGCGGGCGCATGCGCCTCTGGGCCCGGGAGGAGCGGGTCGTGGGCGGCCGGCCCGGGGGCATCAGGGCCGGCGAGGAGATCCTGAACCACTACTGCGACGTGGACCTGCCGGTCCAGCAGCGGAGGGAGTGGGCCAAGGGCAGCCTGGGCGGGTGGTGCATGTGCCAGCGCTGCAGAGACGAGGCGTCCGGGGCCGTCAATGGCGGGGGAGGAGCCCATTGAAGAAGAAGAAAAAAAACGTCTTTTTATCCCCCATTTCGAGAGCCTGATTTAAGGCTGAAAGAGTCACGCAGAGGGGAGGGGGGGAAGTGGTCGACTGCTCTCGCCATGTTGCTCTCTAGACACGGGAGACCCCGAACGATGCTTTACGACTAGCGCAAGGAGTTCTTAGACGGGGGGGGGG